ATAAAAATGCAGGAAAAAACCACACAAGCTTCCAGATTCTTGCAAACCCCTGCCCAACACCAAGTCCTTGAATTCCAAACACCCCAACCCAAAATCCAAAAACCCCAAAAAAAGTTTTAAAGAAGTTTTGGAAAAGCTTCAAAAATCACCAAAGTCTTCAAAAACCTCAAAAAAGGCTACCACACCGCGTTCTATGAGTTGCTCCTCGATGTCAAGTCTCAACTGTATTTACGGTGTTAAGATAAGGAAACAAACTTGCAAGACGTTTTCGTTTTTCGTCTTGCGAAGCAAGCCCATAGGGAAATTCGTCTTGTGAAGCAGCTCAAAAAACGGAAAACCCTTTCGTCTAGCGAGTTTTTTGTCTTTCGAGGCATTCGTCTTGCAGGGCACCACTGTACAATGACTTGGCCATGTCCACAGAATGGAAGATGGCAGGATTCCCAAGGATGTGCTCTACGGTGAGCTGGCTTCAGGCATTACAAAGATGTCTGCAAATGTGACATGAAAGCTGGCAACATCAACTTCACCCTTTGGGAATCCCTTGCAGACGACTGCAGTGCCTGGAGACAGGCAGACAGGTCGTGCTTTCATAGCAGTAACCAGAGGAGGAAGGACCGCTGGGAGGAACGCAGAGAGAAGAAACACCATGGTGCATCTGCAACAGCACAACCAGACGCCTTCATCTGCCCTGGCTGCAACAAAACATGTCTCTCTTGTATTGGAGTCCACTACCACAGCAGGTACTGCAGCCTTCTAACGGTTTGAGTACACCCTAAAAGGCACACTCCTCCATTGTCTCCTGAGACAGACGGATGCCAATTACAATAGGAATGGTGCCTGTTAACTTATACACCCCTTCTTGGAAGCAAATGCCATTGAAAATGAGAGTCACTTATGCCAAGAAATGGTTAGGAGCCCCACTCACAAGTCTGATTGGGCAGCCTAAGCAAGGTTTAACTTGTAGACCAAGATGTGAAGAGAGCTGAAAGCAGGAAGAGAAAGTGAATCAGCAACATCAGCTGTAGCAAAAATAGCTCTCAACTTTGTCAAGTCAAAGCAAAGCAAGCCAATGTCTTTCCATTGGGGAGATTCCAGTTTCATTAAATATGAGTTGATCGAATGTTTCTATTTCTGTAAATAGGGCTTTGTTGTTGTTTGTTTGTTTGTTTGTTTGTTTAAAAAAAGCTCCAACCCTATGTATATTTGCTCAGATGTAAGCCCCAGCTGGGGACGCAGGTGGCGCTGTGGGTTAAACCACAGAGCCTAGGACTTTCCAGTCAGAAGGTTGGCAGTTCAAATCCCCGTGACGGGGTGAGCACCTGTTGTTCGGTCTCAGCTCCTGCCAACCTAGCAGTTCGAAAGCACGTCAAAGTGCAAGTAGATAAATAGGTACCGCTCCGGCGGGAAGGTAAACGGCATTTCCGTTCGCTGCTCTGGTTCGCCAGAAGTGGCTTAGTCATGCTGGCCACGTGACCCGGAAGCTGTACGCCGACTACCTCGGCCAATGAAGCGAGATGAGCGCCGCAACCCCAGAGTCGGTCACGACTGGGCGTAATGGTCAGGGGTCCCTTTACCTTTACTAAACCCCAGCTAGCACAATCAATCCTACTCTTGTGTCAGTGGCACCGGGTGCCTCAATTTATACTTCAACAGGGGCATCTGCAGCTCAGGTTTAGCAGTGGTAGTCTTAAACCACCTGAACTGATGTCTTGCACAGCACGCTTGTCGTCAGTGATGAATTTCAGCTATGATTTCCAGGTTTTAAAAAAATCATTAATTTTCAGAGGAGCTTAAAAAGGAGTGGCGAAGATAAGTCCACCAAGGGTTGGTGTCTGTTTGAAGAAGCATCCCATTGTAAGAGGGAAGGAGACACACCCCGCCATCCAGCCGGCTGTCTACCTCCCCTTCCTCCCCACGTCCCTTTCTTTCTGCTTCGCTCGGCTTGTGTATTAGAAGGACGCGTGTTTGGGTGTGTGCATTTCAGTCTGAAATAGAAGCAATTTCCCTTGAAAAGGCTGTGAAAATCCCCCTGCCTTTGAACACGGAGGCACTCGCTCCTTTCCCTGTAATGCTATAATTGCCTGGGATTTTCACCTAATGCAGAGGGAAAGTCCAAGAGAAGAGAGCGCGGCTGTTTTGCTTCTCTCTCTCTCCATCACCCCCGCCGCTCTTTTTCCATTATCCCCACCGACAACCACCACATCAGATCCTCTTTGGCAGAAGCGCATACAGCAGAAGGCACGGGTGGGGTTCTGGGAGCGTCATCCGTGCAAATGTGGGTCCAAGATGCGTGCAAGTGTGGGTCCAAAACTAAGGGGGTCGCAATCGCTGAGACACACCAGACTACGTAGCTGGCCAATCCCACGCCATTCAAAAAGAGCCCCCCGCCATATTTCAGCGCCGGAGGGGCTTCCGATGTGAAACCGGATTGACTCCAGATTGGTGAGGGACTGCCCGCAGCACAGATCTAGGCTGTGATCCCAAACACACTTTCCTGGTATGGGCGTAAGCCCCGTTGGCCACAGCGGGATTTCTTTGCATAGGGTTGAGCTGTGAACTAGGTACAGCAAAGTTAAATGCATCTACTCGGGTGTAAAACCACACTGGTCTGCAACAGAAGCTACTTCCGAGTGGGCGTGTTTAAGTGGCTGACAGGGCAACCGTATTCGCGGGCTACTCAGGAGTAAATCCACTGTGTTCGATGTGGCTTACTCGCGGGTAACCGGGTAGAGGACTGCAGCCTAAAGGGTTGGTTTTCAAAGCAAATGCGTCCAGATTCGGAGTCTAAAGCTGATTGGAACTTTTAGTGGATTCAGTTCAAACAAATTAGCGCACAGTCGCGTCCGGATTCCTATAGATAAGCATGCATACGACTGAAATGTTAAATAGGCCGCGGATCGGGATCTCTGGACGCTGGGAAACGGAAGAAAGAGTACAATTGTTTTTTTAAAAAGAAGGATTTGGGGACTAAGGGACTCACATCCACCACATATTCATTCATTCATTCATGTCTATATCAATATCAATATCTCGGATTCCTTAACACATCAAGGTTTTAAAATACCCGCAAAATATAATCGCACGAGGGCGGGCTTTTAAAATATAATTTCCTTCCAGGCCTCGTTTGTGTGTGATCTTTTTTTTTTAATGATTAAAAAATTAAATTTTAATGTCAATATTAAGATGAGGTGGAATTTCTGGTACGTCTTTCAAGGCATGGAGGATGTGAGCGAGTAATCCCACCGGATGGATTGGGGCTTACTTCCAAGTAAACGTACAGAAACCCAGGCTCTGAAAAGTTCCTTCCCCAAACCTATATGGGACCTTCTGTGTAGGGGTCAAGAAAAGTCTGGGGCGATGGGGAGTGGCAAGGAAGGTCTCCATTAGGGCCGAAATCTGTCAAAACACACCGTCGTCTCCACCTCTTTGTCTAACGCCCAGCAAATAGCAAACAGAGGATCTGATGGGTTTTAACTGGGGATGTTGGGTGTTGTTTTGGCACGCTTGTTTGGGTGGATAGACTTCTTTTTCTAGCGGGTCTTCCTTCCTCTGTGGGGTAATGGACGCTGGTGCTTGCAGGAACCGAGGAGATTTGGGAAGGATCGCTGCTGGTGGGGGAGGCGGAAGAGATCCACCCTTTATTCTCCCAAACGGCTAAGGCTACATGCACTCGATCCTCTGAATCTGTACTGTGAAACGATCCCCCTCCCTCTCTCTGTCTCTCAGTTTGCCTTATTGGCGTTAGTTCCAGACGTTTAATAGAACACGTGTAAAGCAAATTCTCTAAGAGTGCCTCCTCAGAAGGTAGTCCATTTGAACTCGATGGGGCTTACTTTCGAGTAATCGTAAGAATGCAGCCTCAAAAAGCTAAGACGAAGGAAGGCTGCGATCCTACTCCCCATGTTTACTGGAGCTGGGAGGAAGCGCCGCTGAACTCACAGTGAGGACTTACCTCCGAGGAACTATCTCAATTTTGCCCGCGCCCGGCTTAATTGAGTTCTGGATCACGGAGTGAGATTCCACTCCACCTCCCTTAACGCTGCAAGGGCGATCCCGATTCTTATGTGCGGTGATCTGTTCAGAGTTCAGCTAGGCAGCGATTTAAGCGCGCCGCCGAACTAGAGGATATGGAAATTAAGTGTGGTGGAAATCCCAGGTAAATGTGTCTCTCTCGGTCTGGAATGTGGGCTCCTGAGGATTCATCCGGATGAAACCGGTTTAAATCCAGATTCCTCAACTTGAATGTGTTGTGGATGAGAAGCGTCTCTCCCCCGCCCCGGGTGCCATAAGGAAATTGACTCTCCATCCCTCGACAATGAAGCAATCTGCCGCAACAACTTCACTGCCCGGTGAATTCGGAGCGCAACGGATTCGGTCCTGCTCCGCTTAACCGTCCCAATCCTAACCACCGGCGCAGCTCCAAAGTAACTCCCTGGTGTTTTTAAAGGGGCTTACTCCAGAGTAAGAGGGCAGAGGGTCGCCTCCAAGTTCTGCCTTGGAAGCAAACCCAAAAAGGAGCCTTTGAAACCAAAGAGTTGCGTTTCAGGGACCCGTGTACTCCGCCTCAAAGAGGTCGTGCGGCTCTCTCACATACACACTTAAGCCGGCTACTTGGGAATAACGCTGTTGGGCGCGAGTATTTCCTTCCGCTCACACATAATAAAATAAAAAATATTGCATCCAAACGCCAACCTAGCGATGATTTAGTCGGGTAAAAGCAGAGATCGTTTGAACTATGACTGGAACGTTCCGCCGTGGGGGGCGAGCGGGCGTGGGGTGAAATGGGGGGAGAGAAATAAAGATTCGCCCCCCCCCCTTCAGATCACACCGGTTCCTCAAAGGATGTCTCGCCTTGGCTGAAAGTTCCTGAATTCCTCCGATTTTGTTGAAATGTAAAACAAGAGGGTTGGCTTGCCGGGGGTGGGGGCGGCGGAGGAGGAGGGAAAGTCCTTTGAAAATGATTATTAATAGAGCGGGAAAGCGACTCTTAACATTGAGCAGGAGCCTGATGCTGGTGTGTGGGAGCGATAAAACACATATAATAAATATTTATTTATTTATTTATTTATTTATTTATTTCGGTAGAGTGATATGCACACCCGCTCCCACATGCAAGGAAAAGATCGGCGACTCAGGTCTTTATAACGACCCAATCCTACTTTTCCCCATATTTTATAGGTGGATTTCCTCCCCCCCCCCTTCTTCTTTTAAAGCATTTTAGTGGCTCCTTCTACCCAGGGAGTGAAGTCCGGACAGGTTGTTATAGCTACCCTGAGCCACAGGGGTCCCCCCTGTCTATTTAAACCCCCTAAATCTTCCTTTCCCCTTTTCTTCTTCTCCGCCCCCCCTTTTCTTAAACCAACCCCCCTCTCTACTTCCCATCCTCCCCACCCCTCCGGGGGCTGGTGGGCCAACATGTCCTTAATGAGTATTAAAACACTATCTCTTCGCAATTAGCTCATTCCTTCGCCTGGCTTGCTGGATTGACGCACAGCGCAGAAGGAGCTGGAGAAGCCCCGGCAATTTCCCCTTTGGCGATAAGTGCTGATTGGGTCTCTCGCTCAAGCAAGCCTGCTCCAAACTTTTTTCTTCTTCTCCCTCCTCTCTCCCCTGCTAAATGTTTGCCTTTAGTGTCTCTTGGCTGCGAGAAGAGGGATTTCCCCCCCCTTAAAAAACCCACCTCTCCGATATTTATTTTTTTCTTATTTATTGTTTTCGTCTTCTTTGAGAGAGAAGACGAGAAAGAAGATAATTTCTATATAGATATTTCTATATACCTATATACATCCATAGATAGATATATACAGGGAGAACTAGCTACCTGCTTGGGCTGGGTTGGTTTTTATTTTTTTCTGGGGGGTGGGGGTATTTTCTCCGCCCCCCTCCCCTGCATCCAAGAAGAGAAAGTTGGACGTTTTGCTGGTTTTAGAGGGGGGAGATATTAACAGGCCTTTTTTGCCAACTTTTGGGGGGCGAGATGGCCCTTTTGGGATATTTCCTGTTTCTTTGTGGGTTGACCCAAGGTCTCTCAAGCTATCCCATCTGGTGGTAAGTTGACTTTCTTATTGATTGATTATCTGGGGGGTAGGGTGAACCCCTTTTTCTCCCTCTAGCGCTCGCTTTTCAAAGAGATGTCGGATCCCTCCCGTTCCCGAATATGTTGAATGTGGAGGGAAAAGAGATTGTGGTTCCTAAAAGGGTTTTTTTAAGAACGCACTCCCCAGCCCCTGTCGAAAGTCTTTTTATTTATTTAAGCTGTATGTTTATTTTGACTGTGTTAGCCCTGATCTACCGTTCTCCTACTGTAAAGTTAAAAAAAAACCAAGAACCTGAAAAGGTGGGGAGGGGGTGAGAGAGAGAGAGAGAGAGAAGAGATCAGAGTTGCAGGGTTGTGTGTTTTTTTAAAAAAAACTTGCTTTGATCCTCTCCTGCCAAGAACAAAAGGTACTGAGTGAATTAAACAGATAATGATACAAGTCGACACGAGTTTTTCAAGGTGATTTTAAGCTAGTCATGTGGAAGGAGAGGAGGAGGAAAGCAAACGCTCTCCGACAAGAGGAATATATATATGTATAGATTGACGTGCAAAATAATGTGTACGTGTGTGTTTTAAAAGCACGAGCAAAATATTGTACAAGCGCGCAAAAGATATATTTTTTTCCGTGGCGACAGAGATGGACTTGCCTTCCCCTTGGTAAGGTGGGAGCCTCCCCGCCCGCTTCTTAAATAACAACAAAAACAACAACCGACAATCATGGGATCTTGAAACTTGGAACGAAATTCCTAAATATTGTGCCTGGATGAAATTCTGTCAACATGTGGGTGCCAGGACCTGCGTCAATGCTCTTTCGGTAGAACTGAGAGGTGTGTGTCTGTAGATACCTATCGCCAAAATATACACAGATTTTCCTTGGTCTCTATAGTGGCTGCAGGCAGATTCAGTGGAGACAGGGCATCATCTACACCCCCCCCCCAAAAAAATCCTCTATTCCGATTTGAGACAGTGAAGGTTCTTAAGCACTCAGTGCAGAGATATGGACCCTGTATCTAGATCCCTAATTACCCGGCGTCCTTTCTCCTTCGGTATATCAGAGATGGTCCTACTTGGGTTCTTAGGCTATTCGATCCCTCTTTTACGCCTGGGTCGAGGCGCCTTTCGGATCCGGCTCTTCTTCCAAGGAAACGGCTGAGAGCCTTGTGCGACTCGCTGGTTCAGTCCTGGAAAAGGATCGCCTTTTCTCTCTTTCTGTCCGGGGAGCCGCGCCAGGCTGCACAGAGACTGTAGGCGGAGGCGTTTGAAATTGACCAGCGTCGAACTAAAGACTTCGGGAAGGGAGGCGAAATTGACTCGGGCTTGCGCGGGTGTCCGGAAGGCAAAGCCTCTTTTCCTCTCTCCACCCCACCCCGCCCCCGTCCCGCAACCATTCCCAATGATTCCTGGAAGCAAAGAGAAACGCGACCAAGAAGGAAATGTGATTGTGGGGTGGTGGCGAAAGGTTAGGCAAAGATGAGGGTTTGGTGGGGGGAAAGGATTGCCCTCGGAATGGAGAAACCATCAAGACTCTTAAATGAATGGCTGTCAGACGCTCGCTTCCTTCATCAAAGCGCAGAGCGCTCGCCCAGTTGGTGTTAATGTTTCTGATAAAAAGTCTGGGAAAGGTAACTGGGAAAAGCTAGCGACGCTGCGCCCTGCCCCTTTAAAAGCTCGGATTTGGGGCTTTTTGCGGCCAAATGTGAAGGGACTAAAGGAGAGAGAGACTTGGAGAGAGAGAGAGGAGAGTTAGGCGCGCGGGCGTGTTGCGGCACATCAGCCCGATCGGCGGTAATTACAGACTCCAGGGAGTCGGGAAGGAGGAAGGAGGCGGCGGCGGCGGCGAAGCCACCGCGGTCGTTCGCGGGCTTCAGCCGGGCGAAAAGTGCGCCCCCGAGCCGAGCGCCGCAGGAGCGAACCCGAGAGAAGGCTTCGAGGGGGGCGGGTAGCGCTCTTCGCCGGCCGGGGCGCGCATTCCCACGAGCGCAGAGGGAATCGAGGCCTTGGCGAGCGCTGCAAGTTCTTACTAGAGGCTGGGGGCGTTCCTGGAATTTTAATAGCCCTCCGCCACCCCCATCCCCGGAGGTATTGCCTGAGCGCCACCGACTAGCCAGCTGCAGAGCCGAGTCTTGTGTCGAGTCGCCCCGCAGGCAACCCCACACAGAAGCCCCACACACGCACGTGCTCCCGGCAGAGGCTCCGCTGCAGCAGTTGGTGCAGTCGGTAGAATAAAGCGGCATAAGGTTTCGCGGACTGGGACACTTTAGGCAGCCGTGGGGATGGGGAGGAAGGGGAATGGACCCGCACGACCGTCGTCCCGCCGGCAAATTTCCTTGCACATCCAAAAACAGCACCGTCTTCGGGAGTACAAGGGTGTGTGTGTGTAAGAGGGAGAGAGCGCAAACCGAGCGTGCAAACCTCCCCACCGCCCAAGTGGTGCAGTCCGGGGTTAGCTTCACCACTTGCTCGCAGCCTGCGCATAAAAAGGCCCTCTGTGCGCAAATCCACCTGCCTGTTTGTAGCTCAGATGCCCTTTCTTAAAATGTTAAAAAGTGTGTAAAAGGTCTAAACTAAAGGCAGTTGGTTTACACGTACATAGATGGTTTCCTGGTTTCTCAGTGTTCTGCTTCTGGGGATAACCTTTAGGACATTTTAAAAATTAAATTAGATTTGGATCTCATGAGTGATGCCCTGTGTCAGATATAGGCAGGCGTGAGCATTGGCGAAGACGGTTTTTGCAGAGCATCTATGCACATCGTATTAAAATATTAAGTCCGGCTGCTGTCTGAAACACAGGACAATATAAGGGATGGATATTCATTTCGTTAGGGTGAGCTAAAGACAGAAGAAGATACACTCGATCAATCTCTTTTTTTTATGCGGTCATAAAGCCGAACAAGCTGATACCCTAGCAAAAGTCTGTGTAGGGAATACAGGAAGAGCTTCTGCTGGTGTACAAAAACACAATTTCCCTTGCACACACTTTAAAAAAAAAAAAGCCGATGTAGTCTCCTTAAGCCACCTTGCTTTTTAAAATCCACAGGAAAGGACAAAACTGGCATCTCCTAAAAAACTCGTGTCTGTGTTTGTACTCACCACTCGTCTTTATGTCAAAATGCGGGGCGGAGAACTAGGGTCACCCAGATTCCCAGAGGAAACAGAAGGGAGTTAAGACAGTTTCTTGAGAGTAATTCAGTACTCAGGTGTATAATGAATTACTGCTTCTACAGCTCTGTATATGTGTGTGGGACAGTGGCGGATTGAAGCACACTTGACTTGCACGTTCAGTTTTCATTGAAAACAACAGACCATTCCTTGCAAGTAACCGTGTTTATGAGGATCAGCTTACAAAGGCTCCTTTTATAGCAGGTCCGAAAGTGGTTACAGAATTTTGAGGGCTTTTTATACATTGTTTGTGTGTGTGTTTTAGAGGCACGTATAAGGCAATTTGAAAGAAGCGGCTCCCTTTACTAGCAATGCAATCCTTTACATGTCTACTCAGAAGTAAATCGATTCAATTCAATAGGAATTGCTCCCGGGTTAGTAAGCATATGATTGCAGCCTAAATGATCAGCAATATGTGCGAGATTGCAAATACGACTTCGACCCAAAATCCAAAATACTGTACTTAAAAAATCGCTTACAAACATTCCCTCCCCCCTTCGGAAAGAATTCCAAAGAACATTCGTTTTTTTCCATTCCTTAAAGAACGATATTTAATTAATATATAGGAAAGTGGGTGGGCAGGGGGAAGGAGGGAGAATCTCTTCTTTTAGAAAATAAGATCGATTAAGGCTGCAATCCTATAGCCAATAAGGCTTGCTTCTGAGTAGACCCATAAAGGAACGCGCTGCGGGGAGAAAGTAGCAAGGCGGGCGTGTGAAGAGGGAACGCGGTTGAGGAAAAGGCCACTGTGTCTGTCAAGCGCGTTTGTTTTGTCTGGACTCCTATAATGTACACGTCTCTGAACATACATTCTCTCTCTCTCTCTCTCTCTCTCTCTCTCTCTCTCATTTTCTTTCGGGGGGGGGGGAGGCGGGCGTCGTCGTCGGCAGAATTCCCCAAATAGTTCAGGTATGACAGAGGGCACAAGATAATAAAATGTAAATATTAAATCCTTGATAAGACAGGTTACCTCGCACACCTGGGCTGCAAGTAACGTGGGGGGAGGGAAAGCAAGTAGCTACGCATTTATTCAAATTCGAAGAAAGCCCCAATAAGCGAAGCCCTTCAATTTCACTATAAATGCCCCCCCCCCAAAAAAAAACCCTATGGAAAGCGACAAGGAAGAAGAGGGCAATTTCCTTATATTTTCGCTCAACCCGCCCCCTATCCCGCCCTAAAAAATATGGGTTACGACCCTACACACATTTATCTAGGAGTAAGTGTCATTGAACTCAGTGGGCTTACTTCTGAGTAGGCATGGCTAGACTTGCACTTGCAAGTCAAGACCAGAATCTTCAGTGCAAGCGTGATCTTTACAGGGCAATCCTAATCAGATTTATTCAGAAGGAAATCTTTCGGATCCTGGGATTTATTTTCCAGATAAATATGTTCAGAACTGCAGCTTCTGTTTCTTAAGGCGGGAGTCCAAACCTGCCTGGAAATGATACTCGCTGTCTTTGCTCCCAGTCTGCAAATGAGATGGCAGTGTTTAGCCGGCAAGCGCTCTGCACATGCTCAAAGGCACTAAAATCAGATTGAAATGCTGAAATCAAAGTTTATTTTATACTCCTCGCCGTCCAAAACAGGTTACATAGCGAACAATTTACATTAAGCATCTCCGCCATGCCATCAAACACGCACTGTATTAATTTTATTTATGGGGTAGAGAGCTCTGAAATCTTAACTAGTGTTCTTCCAAACTGGGGTGGTTGGGGTATCGTGGCGAAGCTCTCCATCAAGGTATAAACCAGCGAAATAGGTGCCCCAGTTTACGGTGTGTCTGGAAGCCTTAGTACATTTGCACCTTTTCACACGTGACGTCTGTTTGCTTGTTTAAAATCGTGTGCGTTGCAAATGCAAACCCATTGTCAACAAAAACATACATTTTAGAGTCTTTTCACACCCTATGCTAAAAGTGACTTTGAAGCTCTGCTATTTGTGGCACGTGTGGATGTTGTTAATCCGAGCAAGAAAGCTGAGTGGTTGTATCGAAGCCATACACTGTAGCCAAGGTTCTACAACTCCGTTACAGACCGACTGAAGGAAAAAGCTCCCTTTCTTCACGTGCTATCCCATTCACACGTGTAGTAAACAGGCAATATCCTTTTGGGGGCACGTGAGAATGCAGACTTCAGGTGTTGAAACCTGGCTATTGTTTTTGATAGAAGACTAGTAGATTTCATTGAACTGCGGTTTTTTTCTTTACTACCGTCTGCCCCTTTTAAAACTGGCTCAGACCTGCTGTAATAAATAAAACCCTGTTTCAAAATAAAATAAAAACCAAAGGACGGGAGGAACTCAGATTTGTAAAGTAACCACTCATATTAAATTCAGGGAGCTTATCTCATATCTCATCCTCCTAAACATGATTGCTTGGGAATAAGTAGACTGGAGGGCACAGTTTTAATGTTCAGATCCAAACGTTCCCATTTAGGATTACACTCCATTGAAACCTACTAGACTTATATCCAAGTTAGGACAAAATCCTTGCCATGCACACTTCCTTGAGAGTCAATAACCCTCATGGATGAATGCAGTGGGATTTACTTTCGAGTAAACACACACTAGACCTGACCGCGTCTGCCTTTGGAATCTTCAGTGAAATGTCACATTCAGAAGAATTCTAAACTCTTGGAATGTGATCGGGACCATTTTGGGGGGAAACATGATAAGTTCCACTTAGTTCACTTACACAGGAGTAAACCTCAAGAATTTAACCAACAACTTCTGATCATCTGACTGGCCACTGTGAGAAGAGGGTGATGGACTAGGTGGGCCCTTAGTCTGATTCAGCAGACTCTTCTTGTGAGTAGACATCATTGCTGTGAGCCGCTGGTCTATAAATTGAAATAATGGGATCCCTTTAGAGAGTACCTTTGCTCACACCCAGCCTGATCCTATGCATGTTTATTCCCACTGGGTTCAGAAGTAACACAGCATCATAAGCATTGCAACTCAGAAGAAGGTCTTATTGAATTGAACGGGTCTAGGATTGTAGCCCAGAAATCCTCCGCTTTCGTACCCCAGTTCCGTATTCTCTAAAAGCGGTTGTAAAAGTCACACTCCTCATTAGCAGCCCTCATCACCTTTGTCCAAACCCTCCTCTCCCCCAAAACCCAGCCATTTCCATTTGATTTAGGAACCTTATCCAAACCATTTCAGCAGCAAGATCCACAAACAGCTTTTTGTTTTTGTTTTAACTGGCCTGAGTGGAAAAAATCCAGCAAAACCAAGGCTGCCATTCCGTCACCGCCACCACCCCGCAAAAAAGCGAAAACATTTTAATTTCACAATCATAATATAATAATCCCTGTAGCACCTGCCTCTAGAAACCCGTGCTATTTTTATTAACGCATCTGGAGTCACGCCTCTTTTGATTTATTATTTTTTTAAGAACAAATTGTAGGGTGTTTTTTTTAAGAACAAAGACGTTTTCTCTTATAGAAAAAGCAGAGAAAGAGAGAGAGAGAGAGAGAGAGAGAGAGAGAGAGAGAGAGAGAGAAGGCCATCAAATCTTGCATCTCTTGGTGTGCATATTTCTTCTCCATCAGACCAAGATTTGAACTGCAAAGGGCGGAGGGGGGCGTGTCTGGAGGTGGATGTTGTGGAAAATGCAGTCACCTGCCTGCTGAGCAGCCACCCCCACACACCTAATTTGTTTCCCTGTGTAAACTAGTTTCTGGATAGTTAATGACATTTAATTATTATTTTTGGGTGTGTGTGCTTGTGTGAATAGGCAAACTGTCCTGGACAGTTAGTTAATCCAGCTTCTTTTACCCTTTCCCCATTTCAGCTCTGTGTGTGCACATCTGCCTTAGCGAGTTGGGTTGGAGCCCAGGTCACACGGAATTCTCTCGGAATTCTCCACCCTGTTTTGTGGGCATGGAAACTTGGGGGACCAGTTCACCCCATTTTTCTCCAGAAATGGAGGAGAAACTGTCCCAACAGTTTCCATTTTGGGGTTTAGCAGGAAGTACTTTTTACAGAGCACATAAATTATGGAACTTGCTCTCACATGGAGCAGGGATGGCCACCAACTTGAATGGCTTTTACAAGAGGATTTAGACAAATTCATGGACGAGGGGAGAGTGCTCTTGCGCTCAAATCCTGTTTGCAGGCTTCCCACAATGGGCAGCTGCTTGGCCAATGTGAGAACAGGATACAGTGGTACCTCAGGTTAAGTACTTAATTCATTCCAGAGGTCCGTTCTTAACCTGAAACTGTTCTTAACCTGAAGCACCACTTTAGCTAATGGGGCCTCCCGCTGCCGCCAGAGCACAATTTCTGTTCTCATCCTGAAGCAAAGTTCTTAACCTGAAGCACTATTTCTGGGTTAGCGGAGTCTGTAACCTGAAGCATATGTAACCTGAAGCGTATGTAACCTGATGTACCACTGTACTGGACTGGATAGGCCACTGGCATTATCCAGCAGGCTATTCTTATGTTCTTATGTTCCCCTTCCAGCTGTGACACCAGCTGCAACCATGTTGGCATCCCATGGACATCATTTTGCATCATCTGTAAGGCCCAGGACCCTGGCTTCATTCCTGGCATGGAGAGTGGATGAGAATGGTCTCTGTCACCAAAACATGGTTGAGACTATTCAGAGTAAAAACCGAAAAATTGCCCTTTTCTGGGGGGGGGGGGAATAAAAATATCATAAATGTTCTCAAGAAACACATTCTCTGAGAAGCTTCTTCTCAGCTCTACGCTGGTGGAAAGCTTAGTCCTTTGCACAAATCCTAGAGATTAAGGCTGTACATAGCCCCTCCCCCCTTTGCCAACCTAGCAGTTCGAAAGCACAAAGTGCAAGTAGATAAATAGGTACTGCTCCGGTGGGAAAGTAAACGGTGTTTCCGTGCGCTGCTGTGGTTCGCCAGAAGTAGCTTAGTCATGCTGGCCACATGACCTGGAAGCTGTACGCTGGCTCCCTTGGCCAATAAAGCGAGATGAGTGCCGCAACCCCAGAGTCGGCCACGACTGAACCTAATGGTCAGGGGTCCCTTTACCTTTAAGCTGCACTGAACTCAGTAAGAGTTACTTTTGAGTAGCCTTAGACTAGCATTAAACTCAGTGGGACAAGAGCAACTGTGCACAGGGTTGTTTGACACAGCTGGATTAGTAGTGTTGAGTGCAGAATTAAGATCTGCTTTGTACCCAATATTTATTCATCCAGCAGCAGTAGATCCAGGAAACACACTGGATGTTGTTATGGCAGTCAGCGGTTTGCCCCCTAGCATTTTGTCCAGAAAGATTCAAACATTTTTCCTCTGAGGGATTCTAGGATTGGCCAGCAAGTGTTCTAGTAAGTAGCCAAGTTTCTCAAAAACTCACCAGGGACCAGCCATCTCTGCTATGTCAAGAGATTTTGCTCAAAGTGAAAATTGTGAATTGAAACCTGAGGACTTTCCCCTTTCAAAATATCTGAGGAATTTTGTGAGAAGCTCCCCCTCCCCCCCAAAAAAAGATGGAGGGAAGGGAAAGCAAGCATAAGAAGAGTCCTGTAGCTTCAGGCCAAAGGCCCATCTAGTCCTGTATCATGCTCTCACAGTGACCAACCATTCACCATGGATATTTTGTTAACCCTGTTGATGGACTATTGCATGGAATAGTTAAATAGTTGATCTATTAGATTCACTCCTACAAGCTAAAGCGATGGCCAACAACTGGGGTAGCTTTAAACGAAAACTTGACAAATCCATAGAGAATTCCCCCTCTGAGTGCACAGAGTTCTTCTAAACTATCAATTTGAACTGGGTACCACCTTTTGAAAAGGGACGCGGGTGGCGCTGTGGGTTAAACCACAGAGCCTAGAACTTGCCGATCAGAAGGTCGGCAGTTTGAATCCCCGTGACGGGGTGAGCTCCAGTTGCTCGGTCCCTGCTCCTGCCAACCTAGCAGTTTGAAAGCACGTCAAAGTGCAAGTAGATAAATAGGTACCGCTCCAGCGGGAAGGTAAACATGTGCTGCTCTGGTTTGCCAGAAGTGGCTTAGTCATGCTGGCCACATGACCCGGAAGCTGTACGCCGGCTCCCTCGGCCAATAAAGCGAGATGAGCGCTGCAACCCCAGAGTCGGCCACGACTGGACCTAATGGTCAGGGGTTCCTTTACCTTTACCTACCACCTTCTGAAGGGAGCCAGCGGTGTGAGCTGCATGCACTGAGTCCGTTGCTGGGTGCATGGGTGGTGCTGGAGGCTCTTGTCAAAGCCTCCAGATTTGACTGTAGCATGGGAAACTCTGCAGCCAGGATCTGACACCTCAAACAACCTTCTCTGGTTCTACCTTGACCCGGATTGTGGGCCAGGGGAAGAGCAAATGAAGGTGACTTGAGGGAACCAGATGACTGGAAGTGGTTCTCCATGGTTCCAGGACAGGGGTTTCTCGCAGCCCTACCTGGAGATGCCACTGCTTGAACCCAGGACCATCAGCATGCAAGTCAGCTGCAGTACCACTCAGCTACAGCCCTTCTCCATACAAGGAAGATAGTGATCTGCCTTGCACCACCAGAATGTTGGTCCATCTTGCTCAGTATGGTCTGCACTGACCAGCAGCGGTTCTCTAGGGTCCCAGGACAGGAGTCTTTCCCAGCCCACCCTGGAGATGCCAGAGGTTGAACGGCCCTTACCTGAAGTATTCCCATCAAAGGTATGCATTAAGTTGAAGGAGTTAGAATCACTCTTTCTGGAACTATTTAAAACTGGATAGGACAAAGCCCTAAAGAATTTACAGTAGGAAACACGTCCCCGGGGAGAATGGAACGCATGAGCTCATCGTAAGCCTTCCACACTCTGTGCTCAGGTATGTGAGTCAGGGAAGGAAATGTCTTTTTAAGTTTATGGGAGCTGCAATGTTGTCACAAAACAGAGGCTAGGTAGGGATCACAGCAAGTGCCATACCTTTGTAAAGGGTGATGGTTATGTTTTGCCTCCACTGTTGGAGGCAGAAATGCAATTCTGAGTTTCAGTTGCAAGAAACTGCAGGAGGGATGTGTGTGGGTGTGTGTCCTTGCATTCATGTCTTGCTTGCAGGCTTCACATGGGCATCTGGCTCGTCACTGTGAGAACGGGATCCTGGACTAAACGTGCCACTGCTCTGATCCACCAAGGCTTTTCTCACATCCTTAGGAGAACAGCAATCCTCAGGAAAAGAAAGAACACAACATCTTTTCTGGAGATGTCTCTACATTGGTTCCTGTTCCTAGAATGCATGGTTTGAGTAACAAGCCTGCTGACCTGAAAAGGACTTTATGAGCCATAATAATAGCATTTACCAAACATTTCACAAGCACGTGTCGCAAAGGGGAAATCCTCTCTGAGTCACACTGCATCATGTTTGGATGGCTGAGGTTTTTACTCCCACCAGGTGTGCAGGTGCTGGGGCACCTGAATGAGAATATGGCATTCCATGGTCCGTCCACAGACACCGCTGGGATGTTTCTTAAGCTAGGCCTGTGCTTTGCAGAAACCTGGCCTCTGTCTTGTCGAAAGCTTCCTCCCTCCCCCCAAAGAGGTTTCCATTTTTTGGCCTCCTTTTTCAGGCACTTAAGAATTTCTTTAGAGGGTTTTGAGTTCCCCTTATCATTAAAAGGCAAATTGGGGGTAGGGTTGCTAGACATCTGGAGTTGACCTGAAGCTTCCAAATTTGCCTGGCCCCCACCAGGTGGCAGAGGGAGGGCTTGAATCTCGAGGTGGACAGGAGTGTCTTTAAGTTTAAAAAAAACATTAAGAAGGCTATGCATACAACTTGCAAGCTTCAGCCAATTATTCCATCGTCTCGGGGAGGTGGGATCTATCCTCTTCTGCTCCCTCCTCCCCTCTCCCAATTAACCTCCATCTCCAGGGCTCAGTGGTGAGAGGGAGAACAGAGGAAGAATCGTTACAGCTCACCCCCATAATATCATTAGGGGATGCCCCTAGGTCTCATGTTTGTGCCCTGAAATTTGAGGGTCTGGGCTGCTCCTGAGCTGGCAACCTGGCAACTGGCGGTGGTGTGTAGTATAAGCTGCCTTATAATAATTCAGACTATTGATCCATCTAGCTCAGTATTGTTTTCACTGAGTGGCAGTGACTCTTCAGAGTTCCAGACAACGGTACCTCCAAATGCTACCCGGAGATGCTGGGGTTTGAACCTAAGACCTTCTGCATGAAAGTCAGATGCTCTGCTACTGAGCTACAGTCCTTCCCAATGTGTTTGTTTGGTCAACCTGCCCAGCCAGTATGGTTAATGGTGGGGGGGGGGTGATGAGAATTGTGGTCCAGCAATGTCTGGAGGGCCACAGGTTCTCCATTCCTCCTGTAAAAAGAATCGCCAGCTCTCTGCAGCCTCCCTGCCTGCCTAATCTGGAAAAGCCCCAGGGTAGGAGTTATTTAGTAATGTCTTTCCATTTTCTTTAATGGAAGTACACGCACCCAGTAAGGCTGCTGAGGGCAGACAAATAGTGAGATGATTTGTAGAATGAAAGGAAGGACACTCACAAACACCCCACATCCATATTATGGGGCCCAGAATGGAGCTATACAAACATACAGACACAGGGACATTGCAATGAGAACAAAACCTGTCCTTGGGGAGAGGCTGCCATTTGCCTCTGAATATGGAGTGTAGCAGGCACCTTGCATCCTATGCCAGGGGGTGTCTGCATCACACAGACCTGCCCATCAGAGTGACAGGCATTTCACTAACTGAAACTGCAAAGGCATGACTGCAACGAAGGCTTTGTGCGTTGCTCTTTTCCGACAGTGTGGAGCTAAATGCTGGCATCATCTTCCAGTGTGGAATGAAAAGCGGTTAATAGCTGTCTTCAGTTGATGTTGGCAAGCAGACAGAGTGGGCCACCTCCATCGCTATTATGATATCAGCTTAGCTCTAACAAAGTCATATTAAGTTACAGCACGGAGGTGTCTGTGCCAAGGAGCGAGCTACTGATATACGCCATTAATTTGTGGGTTTTCCTCCACATTCTGGCGCTGCCGAGACCTAGTCTTCCTAAGGGCCTCCACAAAGCAGTTTGCCACACGGGGTGGGTGGACCTTCCTGTCCCCTCCAGGAAGCAAAGCAGAGAAACAAAAATTTAAAATTAAATGCTATGAGGAAACCAAACCCACCCCACCATTTATGATTGAGAAGCTGAATGTTGGGAGATTCAGAACATATAAAAGAAAGTATTTCTTCATGCAGTGCATTTTTAAACTATGGAACTTGCTTCCAGAAGAAGCAGTGATGGGCACGAATTTGGATGGCTTTAAAAGAGGATTGGACAAATTCATGGAGGAGAAAGCTATCGAGGGTTGCTAGCAGTGCCGGATTTATGTATAGGCTAAGTAGGCTGAAGCCTAGGGCCTTAGATGCATTTTCTTTAAGAGATAAGTTTAGGATAAAATCCTTTATTCCTATATTCCTATATTAGATGCACTTGAAGCCAATTTAAAAAGAAGTACTGTGTACAGTGATGTTGCACAATTGTTTTCTATTCTTGCTCCTCTGAAAGCATCTAAGCAAGAAATTTAGCAAGGTGTTGAACTGTTGATGGAAGCATACCCAGAAGATATGGACCTAAAACTTATTTAATTTTGCACTTTCACCTGTACGTGAGACAAAGCCATAGGCTTACAGCAGACCACTCTCTGTCTCATACAGACCTTTATAAAATTATATACAAGGAAAAAATTCAGGTGGCCTTTCCTAATGTGGAAGCAATCTTGCGGCTATTTCTTAGCTTTATGGTCACTAACTGCTCAGGAGAGAGGAGTTTTTCAAGATTCAAAAGAATTAAAAATGAATTAAGGGTCACGATGTCTCAAGAGAGGTTGTGCGCACCGAGCATTCTGTACATTGAAAGTGACAAACTTAGACAATTTTTGATGAAGTTTTCTAATATCCTTTAGAGGAGAAAATGTGAATTGCAGAATTTTAAACACCCATAATCACCCTTGGCTTCAGTTTTGTTTATAACCCTTCCATTTTCTTCTAGTTGTGGGGGTGGGGGGCTCACAAGTGGAGTAGCCTAGAGTCTCTCTTCATCTAAATCCGGCCCTGGTTGCTAGACACGATGGCTATGCTCTGCCTCCTTGGCAGAGGCAGTAATGCTTCTGAATAACAGTTGTTGGGAGCCATAGGGGGGAAGAGTGGTCAGATCCCGCATGTGGGATTCCCACTGCTGGTCACTGGGAGAACAGGATGGTAGACTTGTTGGGCCATTAGCCTAATTAAGCAGGCTTATATTCTTAATGCAAGCAATTATGGAACATTTTCACCAACTGGAAACCAAAGTTGTGTAAGGACACTGGGCATAATCCGGCAAAGTGTGAATGAACTATGGAATGGAGCTGAGGACAGGGTAGAGGACTTAGCCATGATTTGGTGCCATAGCTCAGTGGTAGAGCATCTGCTGTGAACGGTCACAGGTTCCATCCCCAACATCTCCAACTAGGATTGAAGGAGAATGCTCCCTGAAACCCTGGAGAGCCACTGCATGTCCATGTAGACAATAGTGAGCCTGATGAACCAATGGTCTGACTTGGTATAAGGTAGCTTCCTATGTTCCTAACAAATATCTCATTTCTTTCATTGGCACTTAATAGTGATCAGTTTTTCAGGACTGTGCTGCATTAGTTCTCTGGAGCAACAAGAAGACACACACTTACCCCTATCATTAACATAACACTATTCAAGTACATTGGTAGTGTGGCAATGATACAAATGTAATGAAGATGAAGGTGTGGAGGACTTCAGATGTTGCTGAACTACAGCTCCCATCAGCCCCAGTAAACATGATTGACAGCCAGGGATTATGGGGGTTGTAATTCAGCAACATCAGGAAAGCTGAAGTCCACACCTAGGGTATCTCTTCTGCTTCTCTCCTCCTAAGTGCAGTTATCTCCAAAGCATGGCCTCATGCAAGTTAATGGAATGGTGAAATTGACTAAACCAGACAAGTTTGGTCTAGGCAATTTCATGCATCAGGGGAAATTCAAGTTTGCTGAACATCCTCTACAGCTTGAACAATCCACACAAGTGTGGATATGAGGATCAGTGAACTATACTAATTATTGTAATTGTGAAACTAGAACATTACTGGTGTAAGGGCAATTTCCATGAGTGCTATGTGTAGTTGAGTGCATTGTAATGTTGCGAAAACAACTCTCATTGATGTTGAATGTCCAGTCAAGTGCAATAATACAGGTGCATAAATTTTTGTGTGTGTGTTCAGGACACTCCCAAACCATGAAATGTTCCCAGAAAGAAGCGTCTCATGAAAGATATAGCAATCTGCTGTGGGCAAAAATCCAGTTTGATTGGTAGAGGTCAAGGGTCTTTGAGTGACCTTGCATGACCTCAGTGACTTACTTTCCATCTTCTGTTTCCTGCTTGGATTATCCACCTTTCCCCAAACTGCTTCTATGTAGCTGGGCTTTGGTTTCTATCTTCCCTTTAACTCAAAGACTCTCTGTTGAAGAAAAGGGTGATATGGATCCTCTATTCCATATCACTTTCTAACACCTCTATACTGCTGTCTGTGCTGTTATCTGGACAAAAAGATTGGAACAGGGGAGGTGTTGTGTGGATTTGAGTGGCTAAGCTTAATAGACCTGATCTATCAGCTGTATGATTCCTTAGAGCTGCTGCAGATAGTGGCAAAGACAGTAAACTAAGAGATTCTGAATTCTAATCTCAGGGACTCAGAAGATGGTCTTAGAACAACCTTGACTGCTGAGCCTCAACCTCCCAGCTGCAGTATGCTACTGGCTGACCTGCCAGGGTGATTTCTGTTTGTTAGGATTACCAAAAGAATATGTGTGAAGTGCTCTGAAAACATTCAAGTATTGGATAGGTAAAAGGTAAAGGGACCCCTGACCATTAGGTCCAGTTGTGGCTGACTCTGGGGTTGCGGCGCTCATCTCGCTTTACTGGCCGAGGGAGCCGGCGTACAGCTTCCGGGTCATGTGGCCAGCATGACTAAGCCGCTTCTGGCGAACCAGAGCAGCGCACGGAAACACCGTTTACCTTCCCGCTGGAGTGGTACCTAGTTATCTACTTGCGCTTTGACGTGCTTTCGAACTGCTAGGTTGGCAGGAGCAGGGACCGAGCAACGGGAGCTCACCCCGTCGCGGGGATTCGAACCACCAACCTTCTGATCGGCAAGTCCTAGGCTCTGTGGTTTAATCCACAGTGCCACCCGCGTGCCTTCTCAAGTATTAGATAGATGCCGTGTTATTAATTATAATACTGTGCCCTCCAAAAGTGGGATTCTATCAGGGCCAGGCCACCGATGAGGCAAGATGAGTTGACTGCCTTATGCAGCAGGATCCATAGGAGCATCAGATCCTAATGTATCTCTTTTATTTTCCCCTGCCATTGTTCTGATGTAGGTCTTCACACACTCCTTCTTTCCAGCTGGGAAGGGGGCTCCATTTTGTGATTGGGCTGTCCCCAAATTCTACTACATGTGTACATCCTGCAACTTAAACAATTTACATACATTTCCTTAACTTGTGTAATATCTGCAGCTTCTGAGGGATTTTTTTGGGGGGGGGTTGGGGAGCAATAAGGAACACAGGTCACAGAAGCCTCATTTTCCAAGCACTTCACTCTCTGGTTCCAGAGACTATCCCAGCCATTGCCAAGACACTTTGAAGTTTACAGTAAGCATAAGGAAACATAAGAAGAGCCTTCTGGATCAGGCCCGTGTCCCACCTAGCCTAGCATCCTGTTCTCACAGTGGCCAACCAGATGCCAATTATGGGAAGCTTGCAGGCAGGAACTGAGGTTTCCAGCAAGTGAGATTCAGAAGCTCTCCTGCCTCCATTTGTGGAGGCAATCACAGCCCTCATAGCTTCTCTGCATGTATTTTCAGGGAATCCTGAATCTGTTTTGTGAATCGGTTTTTGGACTGAATACAGATTTCTGCGGGATGCGGGTGGCGCTGTGGGTTAAAGCACAGAGCCTAGGACTTGCCGATCAGAAGGTCGGCGGTTCGAATCCCTGCGACGGGGTGAGCTCCCGTTGCTCGGTCCCTGCTCCTGCCAACCTAGCAGTTCGAAAGCACCTCAAAGGGCAAGTAGATAAATAGGTACCACTCCAGCGGGAAGGTAAACGGCGTTTCCGTGCGCTGCTCTAGTTCGCCAGAAGCGGCTTAGTCATGCTGGCCACATGACCCGGAAGCTGTACGCCGGCACCCTCGGCCAATAAAGCGAGATGAGCGCTGCAACCCCAGAGTCGGCCACGACTGGACCTAATAGTTAGGGGTCCCTTTACCTTTAGCTTACAGATTTCTGCAAGGAGATCATTGCTGCATTTTCTTGCAATGCAGAGATCATGTAAACAACAGACAAGCCACCCCACAATGCTATATTACATGGAACTAAATCCCGTTTATCCTCTCTCCCGATGTGTGTGTGAGGGTGAGTATAACTTGCACCCGACCCTTGTTTGTGATCTATTATCATGTGATGGTTTGGCCGAGCTACACATATTTTGCTCTTTGAAATTCCTCATCCCCTCTGGCCTTGCTTTCAGCACCTTGAACTCCCTCCAGTCTGTCTGCACCTATCTGGCAACAACACAAACGCGGAGTCAAATGCAACCATCCCAGGTGCAAAAATCCTTAACTACAAAGCTTGGGGGCCTCCGTCCTGGTCTACGAAGGGCCTCTTAGAAGCTGCAGGGGGGAATTATGGTGGGTAAAAAACTGGGCTGTTGTAGTTAATGCTGCACAAGATACTTCATCTGCAATGGAGGCTCTCTTCTGTGGCAGGGATGGGGGATCTGTGGTCCTCCAGCTCACACTCACCAGTCCCAGACAGCATAGCTAACGGTCCGGGATGTTGGGAGCTGACCTCCAGCAACATCTTCTCCACCACTGCTTTGTTCTTTGAGCCATGGTGGTTATGTATGGGGGGGGGTATGGCTGGGCCAATCAAGGCCACCACATTTTAAACTGTAGCCACTATTGTGACTTTTTATTTTATCTGTTATGAGTAGGGTTGAGTAGGGAGGATTCCAGAGGAAACAGGAAAACAGGAGCCCAAATTGCCAGTGTTTGGTTATTGATCCCATGTCTGGAATGGAAATCAATCTGTTGTTGCTTTCTGCCCACAAGCAATATGGGTTAATTGATTACATCCTCTGCCCCATTTACACTGGGCTTCCCTTGCCTTGAAACTAATGGAGTGGAATAATGTAATGACAATGTTAAGTTACATGATTTTGCTGCAATGGACAGCACAATGAATTGACCTAGTTTTTTTGATGAAAGGCGAATTGCAGGAGAACAGAAACCCCGCTGCAGGCATGTGGTGAATGCAGGGCAGAATGGAAAATGTTGCTTTCTTACGTCTCTAGTCATCCATGTTTATTGCCATCATCAATAGCTCTTGTGAGGGTGAGCCCCCTAGTTTAATTATGGGCTATGTAAATAGGTACTTTCTTTGATTGTTCCTTCCAACATTCAGCTTCACCGGGTGCAAGTATAGTGGGGGAGGGAGGAAAAAATCAATGGAGGAAAGAATCATGTTGTTGTTGTTGTTGTTGTACTATTTATATAGCAACTTGTTGTTGTACTATTTATATAGCACCATCCGTGCTCATTGTGCTTTACATACAACACGTCCATGAGGACAAAGGGGTTGGTAGAAATATTCCTATGGGGCACAGAACCCGAATTGTTTTATTTATTTATTTTTGAATTCATATCCTGCTTTTCATCATGTAGGCCTCAAAGCAGCTTTCAACAATAAAATAAGCAACATATAAAATTTAAAACATAAATAGAACTTTCAATATTTAAAACCTCATTTTTTAATATATTTTTTAAAATGTAAACATCTGAGAAGCATGCAGGGTGCAAAGGCCTCCTGAAAGAAAACAGTTTTGACCAGGTATCTGAAACTCACTAGGGATAATGTCTAACATTCTGTAGAGCTGGGCCCCAGCTGTTTCTGGGTGTGTAATGAATTTATGGGGAAATGAGTTGAGTGGAGGATATTAATTTGGGAAATCAATTTAATTTCAGAAATTTTTAAGAGATGATTTGTGGGGGCTAGTGAAATGGGGTGAAATGAAGAGGAATTGAATTGAATCGAGGCAGCGTCTGTTGGGAATTAATTGGGAGTAAATGAATGGAAGAAGAATTCTATCAGAGTGGGATGTAACCGAACTGAAGAATTTACCTGATTTGGAGAGGTAAATTACTTGGGTTGCTTCTGTATTATCAATATGTGTGTGTGTGTGTGTGTGTGTTTATAAGCATATGCCAGTTGTGTGCACATTTGTATCTATCAGCCCATGCCCTGAATCTTTTAAGTAGTAATACTCTTTCCCGATGAGCTTACAATCTAAAATTAGAGACAGGGTTGTGGGTGTACACCGAAATGGAGGGAGGGGGAGGGGAGGCAGGGGTAAATATTGGGGAGGCAATGCATGGTTGTATCAGTTGCCCATGCTTTTAAAGGGTTCATCCACACTTCCGCTTGTGTTGTGCCTAGAAAGTATGGGTCCAAGCAGTTTCTCCCTTGCTCTGCTCCTTTCCATGGGAAAACCCACTCTTTAGCATTAGATTGGAACAAATGGCAATCTGGGGGAAACCCAAATTGCCATTTTCTCCGGTTGAGCGCTAAAGAGTAGTTTCCCCTGGGGAAAAGCAGCAGGACAAGTGGAGGTGTGGATAAGCCAAAGTTTAGGGAATTTGCAGACGGATGCAGAAATGTCATGGAACTTAAGACTGTAAGAATGAGAAACTGAGAGAAACAGAAACTGACAGATTTGTCCATCCTGATACACAACCAGTGAAGAGCTTCCGGTGTGAAATTCAGGGAAAGGGTTTCCTTGGGAGAAGGTCCAATTTCCAGGCAGATTTGAAACTCAGGACTTTTAATTTCAAACAATAAAACCTGCAAGGTATCCATCATGGACATAGTTTGGGAGCCGCTGGAGATGAGCTGCAGGCACAGCGTCAAGGCCACCGCAGAGAGGGAATTTCACAAGAGGTTGCTCTTTGGAAATTTCCAATCCAAAGTTTAAAGCACCTGGGGACCTGGTCTCTCAGTGAAGCATCCGAATAATTTTGGGTGCTTATCTCAAAATGCCCCAAACTTCATTGACTTTCATCATTTGATCTTTGCAAAAGGACCCAAAGGGAGAAATAACTGCATTGACAGAAGACAGAAAACTCTCATGAATGGCAAGATTTTGCTACAGGCTGTTTCTATCCTTTTCAAAAATCCATATCAGATAGATAACAATAAAGGACACATATTTTAGCTCAGGTGATCAGCCTTACAGTTCAGGTGGTTATCAAATTATCTGGCTGCATTTCACATGTCTGTGGGCCCATCACACATGGAGAGGAGCTAGAGTTCTATGATTTGGCATCCGCAGCTTTCTCGCTAAAAGCTGGTAACCAGGCTTCTAGCCCTCAGGGTGGTGATGGTAAGTCCAGTGTGTTTCTTGAGTTTGGGAAGAATTAAAACTTGTAATAATTGTTGTAAAAATCTCAGAAGAGCTTTTTCTGACGAGATCTTTAACTCTACTCCTGTTGGAGGATTGTCCCATGTTCAGAAGGATGTGGCACAACGACAGACTGAAGTTAAGATGTTCTGGCTCACTGTATGAAGTCCATGATCATCCCTGCCTAGGTGTGTCTGGCACCTTCATTGTATAGCTGTTGTCGTATACGCTGAAGATGTGCCTCTTTACCCTGGATATCACATTCACACCATACATTTAAATGAAGTGGCTTCCCTGAGAGAAGCCTGCAAACTCTAGTTTACCCTTCACAGAGCTACAATTCCCAGCACCTTTAACAAATGACAGTTTCCAGGATTTTACGGGGATGCAGTGCTTTAAACATGCTATAGATGTGTGTGTGTGTGTGTGTGTGTTTAGTGGCTTATTTTTATTGAACTCCAGAGTTTAACTATGTGCTGTGTGAATAGATGCTTTCTCTTGCCTCTCTTGAATTTTTCAGCATGTGTTATTTTAAAAAGGTAAAGGACCCCTGACAGTTAAGTCCAGTCACGAACGACTCTGGGGTTGCAGTGCTCATCTTGCTTTACTGGCCGAGGGAGCCGGCGTTTATCCGCAGACAGTTTTTCTGGGCCATGTGGCCAGCATGACTAAGCCGCTTTTGGTGAAACCAGAGCAGCACACGGAAACGCCGTTTACCTTCCTGCTGGAGAGGTACCTATTTATCTACTTGCACTTTGACGTGCTTTCGAACTGCTAGGTTGGCAGGAGCTGGGACTGAGCAATGGGAGCTCACTCCGTCATGGGGATTCAAACCGCCGACCTTCCGATCAGCAAACCCTAGGCTCAGTGGTTTAGACCACAACGCCACCCGCGTCCCTCATGTGTTATTTTAGTTGGCTGCAATACCAGTAGGCTGGCCATGTGTCCTTCATTAGAGGAGCAGTCTCTACCTACATTGAAAGTCTGGCAAGAGGACATTATAATGATGGGGTGGGATTGAGTTGTCTCACTCTAAATGCTGAGCGCTGACTGTGGCCCTTTTATAAAAAGAAACAGTCTGGAAAGGGCTTATATGGCTGGAAGCTATGGGGAGGCTTATCCAATGCTCATCTGGGCAGCTATTTATGACAGGACATGCTTACTGGATCATTCCGCTTATCTTAACGCTTTGCCCCCCCCCAAGGATGTTTTGCGGGGGGTGGGCAGTTGTTGATTGCATACAGTGGTACCTCGGGTTAAGTACTTAATTCATTCCAGAGGTCCGTTCTTAACCTGAAGCACCACTTTAGCTAATGGGGCCTCCTGCTGCCACCGTGCCGCCGGAGCACGATTTCTGTTCTCATCCTGAAGCAAAGTTCTTAACCTGAAGCACTATTTCTGGGTTAGCGGAGTCTGTAACCTGAAGCGTATGTAACCTGAGGTATCACTGTACATTGGGAAGAAGAAGAGTTTGGATTTGATATCCCGCCTTTCACTCCCTTTAAGGAGTCTCAAAGCGGCCAACATTCTCCTTTCCCTTCCTCCCCCACAACAAACACTCTGTGAGATGAGTGGGGCTGAGAGACTTCAAAGAAGTGTGACTGGCCCAAGGTCACCCAGCAGCTGCATGTGGAGGAGCGGAGATTCAAACCCGGTTCCCCAGATTACGAGACTACCGCTCTTAACCACTACACCACACTGGCTCTCAGTTCATGATGCTGTGTGGTGCTTGAGCATGGATCCTGGAGATCTGAGTTGGGAAGAGGAGAGAGGGAGTCTGGGTCAGGAGAAAGTAGTAAGGGTTTGTTGAGGCCAGAGGTAATCTGGAACTAGGGGTGAGGAGAAATATGATTCCGTTTACATTTAAAGGTGAACCTGCTGAATTCACCCTTTCCAAAGCAGCCATCCTTCAAAATCCACACTTTGCTGAATTTTGCAATGCAGTTCTCTGGGCAAGTAATGTGTACAAAAATGCATATAGAAGTGTCCATTAAAATGAGTAACTGAAAGGAAACATTATTTTAAGGAAATTGCTTTGCATGAATGTGACTATTAGGCAGAACTGCATACAAACATGTACATATGAGGAGAAATCCACACTAAAATACTGATGAATTTTTGTGAGGACTTTTTAAAAATGCAGACTGATGAAGAAATATGAAGAACTGAAGTTTAGAAACTGAAAATAAAGCAGTCTAACGGATGGTGCAGGGAATCCTGCAAAATCCATGTCAATGGAGCTCCAGCAATGTAAGCAAATGTATGATTTGCACAAGATGCTTAATTTCAATCAACGTCTGGGCTGAATGGTTGATTAATATGCCCGTTAACAGAATAATCAGTTGTTCAGTTGATTACATCAAAATATATCTGCCAGCACTTCAATTAACATGTCTTTTAAGCACAACTAAAGAAGAATAGGAACTTTCCCTTGATTTCCAAACTTCAGACTATAAGTGCCAATAAATATGGAGCCAAAACAGCACCATCCCAAGCACAAGAGAAAGAAATCGGCAGAACAGAAGTAAAAAACCAAAAAGATTAAAAAAAAAAATAGAATCTTAAGCGGGTGGGTGGGGGATTGCCAAGACAGAGCAGTGAGGAGTGAAAGTGCTGAGTGGCCACAGAACACTGTCCCACCTGTAACTTACAATTTACTAAGTAAATCCTACTGCTCAGTGGTCACATGCACACCATATATTTAAGGCACATTTGAAACACATCCCTTCCCAAAGAATCCTGTGCACTGCAGTTTATCCTTCACAGACCTACAATCCCCAGCACACTTAACAAACTACAGTTCCCAGGAATCTTTGTGTAGATGTGACCAGTGTTAGGTTAAATAAGGGATGTGGGTGGCGCTGTGGTCTAAACCACTGAGCCTCTTGGGCTTGCCGATCAGAAGGTTGGCGGTTCGAATCTGCACAACGGAGTGAGCTCCCGTTGCTCTGTCCCAGCTGCTGCCTACCTAGCAGTTCGAAAGCATACTAGTGCAAGTAGATAAATAGGTACCACTGTGGCGGGAAGGTAAACTGCATTTCTGTGCGCTCTGGTTTCCGTCACGGTGTTGCGTTGCACCAGAAGCGGTTTAATCATGCTGGCCACATGACTTGGAATGCTGTCTGTGGACAAACGCCAGCTCCCTTGGCCGGAAAGAGAGATGAGCGCCACAGCCCATAGTCGCCTTTGACTGGACTTAACCATCTAGGAGTCCTTTACCTTTAACCCTTAGGTTAGAATCCATCTCACTGATGGGGTAGATCTCTCTCTTGGAATCATAGAAGTGTACAGTTGGAAGAGACCCTCTGGGTCATCTAGTCCAATCCTCTGAAATGCAGGAATCTCAACTAAAGCATCCATGACAGATGGCCATCCAACCTCTGCTTAAAAACCTCCAAGGAAGGAGAGTCCATCACCTTCCAAGGTAGTCTCTTCCACTGTCAAATAGCTCTTACCATCAGAAAGTTCTTCGTGATGTTTAGTTGACATCTCCGTTCTTGTAACTTGAAGCCATTGGTTCACATTCTACCCTCTAGAGCAGGAGAAAACAAGTTTGGGCCATGTTCCATGTGACAGTCCTTTAGATATCTGAAGTTGTTAGTTTGGGCTCAGTTCTCCAATCTGTTAAGGTCATTCTGAATCCTGATTCAGTCTTCTGCAGCATTGGCTACTATTCCTAGTTTGGTGTCATCTGCAGATTTGATGAGCGTTCTCTGAATTCCTTTGTCACATTTAGAAAGGTGTTGAACAGCAATAGGCCCAGGACAGAACCCTGTAGCACTGCACTTATCTCTTTTTCCCCAGGATGATGAGGAACTATTTGGGTTTGATCAGTCAACCAGCCAACAGTTATCTCATCCAGCCAACATTTTACCATTCTATGCAAAAAAAATACATTTGGGTACTTCATCAAAAGCCTTACTGAAATCAAGATATACTATATCCACAGCATTCCCCTGATCCACCAAATTTGTAACTCTATCAAAAAAAGAATGACTTATTTTTGACCCATGATGGATCTTAGTAATCTCAGCATACTTTTCTAAGTGCTCACAGACTGACAGTTTAATTATCTGTTCTAGAACCCTTCCTCGTATTTATGTCAAGCTTTAGTCAGTGGTTATCTGAGTCTTCTTTTTCTCCTTTCTGAAGCTGGGGTTCACATTTGCCCACTCCAGTCTACAAGGGTGTCACCTGTTCTCCAAGAAATCTCAAAGATGATAGACACAGGATCTGAGATTACATCTGCAAGCCTCTTTAGTACCTTTGGGTGCAGCTCATCAGCCCCTGGGCATCTGAATTCATTTAAAGTAGCTAGGTGTTCCCTTACCATCTCTTTTTCTATCTTGGGCTGCAGTTCCATCCTTGCTTAGTTTATTCTGTTATCACCAGGTTGGGCACCGCTTTCTCTCTCTCTGTGCATTCAAATTTTATTTTGCATGGAGTCGTTCCCCCCCCCCCGGGCAGTCTGAAATGGTGTAATCGACCCTCAGCTGTTGTTCTTCTCCATGAGAACTAGGAGGGCCATCCAAATCCCTGACCCTCCTTGCTGGGGTTGGAAGCACTGACCCAGCTTTCATAGAATCATAGCCAGAAGATCAGTAGTAGTGAGCAAATGTTCAGGAGAAACAGCTTGCCCACAGCTCCCATTTTTCCTGCAGACCCAGGAGGATGTTGTGTGTGTTCCAGGTAAGGATCAGCAGATCTGTCACTTTCACTCAGTTCCTCCTTTTTCCACTCTTGAGTTCAGTTCCCCACATTTCCACATCAGTTTTGTTTTGTTTTTAAGATGGTCAAGTCCTCACATTATGGAAAACAGGTACAGGGCTCCAGCTACTTTTTGAGCATAAATATAGAATTGTGTCCTTCTTCTGTTGTGGTTTACAAGGGATATCCTAAGGGACAGACATGCACATGCTAAATGGGCAAGTGTGGTTGACCTGTCAAGGATGGGGAATCTGTACCCCTCCATATGTTACTGGACTACAACTTCCATCATCCCTGACCATTGACCATGATGGCTGCTGGTGGCTGCTGGGATATGTAGTCTGAGACACCATCTGGATTGCCACGGTTCCCCAAGCCTTCAGTATCTCAACAAGGGTGGGGAAACTGGAAGAAAGGGCATCCGAATAGAGCTATGACAAGTGGGAACACTACTGAAAAGACACCAAACATTATTGAGGTTTAATAAATGATGCATGCTGTGCAGGAATTGGAAAAGAGTGTTTCCCCACGTCTCAAAATGCTAGAATTCAGGAGGATCAGCTGATGAAACAGATTCAGAAGCAGAAGTGGGACAAAAATAACCAGAAAAATCAACCAGAAAATCTGTGGCCTAAAAAGTTATGAGATTTCAACAGGAAATTATGAGATGTGCACTGATTGGAAATGAAGCCATGTGACTGCCGCAAACCTGCAAGTATTATTGAAAGTGGGATGCGTATGATTGCCCTGATAGCATCATGAGCACAAATCATCATGAATGAGCAATTAAAAAGACACCTGGAGGGACTCTTAGTTGCTTTTAAAGGGGGGTTAGAGACATGAATGGTGGAGAAAAGGTCAACTGTCAGATATTAGCTGTGAAATAGAACCTCCATGTTTTGGGGCATGATACCTCTGATGGCCTGATGTTAGGGGCAAAACAACGGAAGACATCTGTTCCTTTATGCCCTGCTTTGAGAACATCCTAGAGGCGTATGACCAGTAGCTGCTATAGGGAGCAGGATACTGGGCTTGATCTCATTCTGGCTTTGCTCAGTCAATGATGCTGAGGTTCTCCAAGCCCCTGGAACCACCACTTTCCAAGCCCAGAATGCCATAGGGCTTCCTCCACAGGCCCGTTGTGCAAGGATGTTACAACCTCTGCACAGCCGCCGCTCACCTGGATGTCTCTCCCTTTTTTTGCTCGCTGTGGCTTTTTCCTGTGTGCTCCAGATAAATAGCTTGGGGTGAAGGCCTGATGCTGTACATTCTTTATTAAGCAAAAAGAAAAAATGCTGTCAAAGTAAGGAGGCAAAATCTGTGGCCCGGGGCACCATGTGCAAAGGAAAGCGTCTCCGATCCTTTGCACGGGCTTGTTTGAAATATGCAGCAACAGCAGCCGAAGTAGCTGTCTTCTGCTTGGAAGGAAAGCGGGGGAGGTGGGGAGAATCATCCAGTTTGGTCAAGCAAGCAGATCAGCATGGAGGTGAATGGGGGTGCCATGCCTGGCATTTAGCAGGACAGTCTTAAACACACCTAAGTACATATCCACGTCTCAAAATGCTGGAACTCAGGGGGATCAGCTGATGAAACAGATAAGTGGGACAAAAACAACCAGAAAAATCAGAAAAATAAAACCAGAAAATCAACTAGAAAATCTGTGGCCTAAAAAGTTACGAGATTGCAACAGGAAATTATGAGATGTGCACTGATTGGAAACGAAGCCATGTGACTGCCGTGGATATCCAAGTGTGTGTGTGATATGTATATATTATATCTTATATACATTTATATGCACACATATGCTCTGTGTGTATGTATATGTGTGTGTATAATACTTGGGACTGCTCCTCTGCTCACCAACCCACCCGCCCCGCCGTTCCTCCCAAATTAACCCCCTAGAGATTCTCTCCTCCCACTCTTAAGCAACTATTAAGTTCACTTTTTACCTTCCCAACTCCATTTCTTCATGCAAATCCAGGTTTGATGCAGCAGTACAAATCCTCCAATGGGAGCTGTGCAATGACAGCCTAACATTTTTATGTATAGTGAAAGAGATACGCATATGGCTTAGGTCTCCTTCACACATCACCATAGAAGCTGCTTCTGACCTCCCCATGACGTTGTCTCGAGCCACCCCACAGATGTTTAAAAGCAACAGAACCACATAGGATGAAAGGAGCCAGTTGTGTGGGTCCTTCCCACATGAAGGCCATGCAACTGAAAGAGAGGGTGGTGATTGGAAGGAAGAGCCCAACTGAGCCCAACTCACCCCTGCAGCCCATAGCTTCTTTGGTGGCGGCAGATGGGAAAAGGCTATGGGGAAGTGGGGAAGCCTAGAAAAGAGAGGGAGTACTTATTCCATTGTAGTTTTCAGGATCAACGGAGCAGTCTCTTGACTTTATCTTCATCAATGATGCTAAAGAGGGGATGCTAAAGAGGGGACTAGTTATAGCTCAGTGGGTGGAGCACATGCCTTGCATGTCTCCCAACTTTAATCCCTGGCATTAACCATAACTACATTCAGAGTAGAAAATGCTGGGCTAGATCGTGGCTGGGGAACTTCAAATGCGGCCCTGTCTGCCTGAATCTCGGGACTGTGTCCCCAGGCCACACACCCTCCCCCTTAAGACTATCCTTGGACAATTTTGCCAAAGTAAAATGTGTCCCTGAACTCTGATACTGTCTTTGGTTGCTCCCTGTGTTGAAGCTGAGAGTCATGGGCATGTCTAACTGGATTTTGTTAGGCTGTTTTGGTTATGCTCAGAGAATGATATGACATCTTCCTGTGTGATATCAAGATTTCGCCTTGCAGAGGCCCTTGGCTTCTAAATTCCAGCCCCAACCTTACTTCTGAGTGTAGAACCTCAGGCCAGGGGGGGAATGAATGTGCTGCCCTAGACCTCTGTACTGGGCCCAGATCCCCTCAATGACCTGAGTGTTTTTCTCTTGTTGGAATGTGTTGTTGAACTCTGACAATGTCTCTTGTTCACCTGGATGGGGGACGGAGAGGGGTGTGTGAGTTAGAAACTAGCCTAGTGTACAAAGGAAAAAATCGCGTCCATTGCTCTACCCACTTTTGTCTCTGGCCCTGCTTACCACTGACCTGTGGCCCTCAGAAGATTGCCCAGAAAGAAATGTGGTCCTCAGGATGAAAAAGCCTGTCTGCCCCTGCTCTAATGGCTGCCTACAGCTTAGTCCTTATTGGCATGAGACACGGCCAATCCAAAGCCTTCATCTTGCCAACCAATCATAGAAGCCAAATGTTGCATGCCTGTTCCTTTCTGTGCTTGAAGGGGGCTCTGAGGTTTGAACCCCGACTGTCCAAAGTAGCTCGTTAGGCCAGCTTCAGTTCACAAAGTTCCTTCACCAGAGTTCTGCAGGTTTCTTTTGGGTCCAACCCTCTCTGCACATCCTACCAAGGTGGCTTCAACGCCCTTAGGCCTTCATAAGCACCTTTAGTTCTGCACCTGACTTTTTAATGTCCCCACCCTGCCAGATCTTCCCCTGACAACATTCTTCACCCCATCCCTAATCCTCCAGTGCTTTGGAGCTGTGAAAGGAGTGTTTGTTGTTCTCCTTCTGGATTCCAAAGCTCTGTTCCGCAATCCTGGAAGTCTTACGGCATCCTCCCAAGAGTCTTAATTCCTCCTCCTCTGGTACAAATGTTAGTTTAGCAGCTGTCAGGCTGGCACAGGTTCAAGTATCTCAAGGAACGGAACAGGCACGGGTCTCCTCAATTTGTTTTTGAGAACCAATATTTGCATTTGCTTTGGCCTCCTGGAGAATTGCCTCCAAGTACTCATTTGTGACCCAGGTCAAGAGAATGGCTTCTTTGCAAGCTGAGATTCCTCAATGGTAGATTCCTTGCCTAACGGAGATCTCCCACCACTCAACGGAACCACGTGGGGCTCCAGTGGAGATGATCCTTCCTTAGTTGGGCCAAAGTTGAACAAGCTCTTAATTTGTGTGCCTCCTGCTGTCGATTAGCAACTAGGGTCAGGAGCAGAGTTTTAAGGAGGAAGATGCGAAAATAATTGCATTTCCATTTATTTATGGTTAAAAGAGGGGTTTTGGCCAAAGTAAACCCAAAGCATTATGTGATATAAAATGCAAACCTTACAACAAAATAGAACAGCCAGCATGTGCAAAATTCATCTCTATTTCCCCCTCTCTCTCCAAGGCTGTGTACATACCAACCCATTATAGCACAAAAAATATACTTTTTCTTAATCAGGAACTGTTCGTGCTCATCCTCAGCATGCTTTCAATCTAGGTTGATTCTAGTTGCTGCTTCCTACAAGGGTGGGTGTGGCGCTTGATACATGTTCGAAAACCTTCCTCTTGATTAGGCTATCCCCACTTCTTTCCTCCTGAACATGCCCCAGGTGAATGAAGAAGGAAATGGGGATTGTGATCAAAGTCACAGGGCAGGGATTAGGACCACCTGTATTGCTAGGACCCTCCATTGCTAGAACCACCTATATCTGTTTCCACCTCTTTTGAAATGGATGCGCTGCAAGGTAATGAAGCAACAATCTGCAACGAGCTTTTATTTTCAAAAGGAAGCCAGGTTTTCAAGAAGCATTTTTCAAGAGCAAAAAAAGGGCGATGGATCTATATTGTGTGTGGACTATGGGGGGGTGTAAACCCCAAGTACCCAGTCTCCATTGATTCTAGAATAATATATTACGCACCCCAAGTCAGCAGCAGCAAAACAGCATCAGAGTTGCTTACTTGCATCACTTCCTGGCCTTTTGGCTAAGATCAAGTGTAGCATCTGTTCTTATCAGAGTTGCTTACTTGGAATATTTTTGGGGGAAATTAACAACATGACCAGAGAGCTGCTCTAAGCAGCTGTAAAACATTGAAGGTAGAAATAGCCAGTCCACATACCACCTCTGAAGTACTTTTCATTCTTTCTTTAAAAGGGCAGGTTTTAAAATGATTTAGTCCTTTTAAAAATTCTGCCCACAAATGGGATGAAATGGAGCCAGTTTTGCAACAAACGTAACCAGCAGGGGATGGACACACACTGATCCCCAAAGGAACCTTTACCGCTTAAGGTCCCTTTCTAAGCAACCTCCATTGCAGCCCTGGCCAACCTGAGGCTGATGGGAGTTGTATGGCCCCAGGTTGGCCAAGGCTGTTCTATTTGGATCTCCAGCACTTGTGAGATGAAAGCAGGACATTGACACCCTAAGCCCTAGAAGCTGCTCCTTTTCTGTCCATTCTTCTCACTCAAGTCATCTAATCATGGCCCTTATTGCATAATCCTCCAAGGCAATTGTACCATCAGACTGACAGGCAACACACAAGGAGCCATCTGTCAAACCCAATAACCCTGCCACTTTTATCACAAGGAGGAGGAGAAGAGGGTTTGTCTCCGGTTTCTAAAGCAAACACACATGGGATCTTGGCACAGGCCTTTGCGGATTCGCTCAATGCCGGCTCGCTGCTTCTTCCCCTCCTTTGGCAAGTCAAAGCTGGTATCTCTAGCTAACCGTGAGCAAGTGGCTGTGTGTGCTAGCAGATCACTAGCTGGAGGCCAGCCAGAGCTTCTGCAGTGCTGTGTGAAAGAAATCATTAATGGGAGTTGCACTGCTGAAAGACAGTTGGGTGCTGTGGAGTCTGCACGCTGCATGAAGCTGAGCGTTGCAAGATTTAGGACAGAAGACAGAAAGTACTTCTTTTTGCAGCACATACTTAGAACTATGGAATTTGCTGCCACAAATGGTAGCGGTGGCCACCAAGTTGGATGGCCTTGAAAGAGAATTAGCCCAAACCATGGAGAAGGCTATTAATGGCTAATGGCCACAATAGCTATGTTTTACCTTCACTGCTGGCTGCAGTATGATGTTGAATACCATCCATCTAACATTTGTTAAGAAACCTGAAGCATTTCAGTTAGGGATTGTAGGAAAAGGAAGTTGAAAAATATCTTCATGTATGCGACAACGGCGGTGAGAGTTTTAATAGCACAAGGATGGAAGAACGAGGAAACCCCGACTAAAGAACTATGGCAAGAAAAACTGATGGACTATGCAGAACTGGCAAAATTGACACATAAATTACGGGACAAGGATAACTGTGACTTTAAAGATGAATGGGAACCTTTTACAAAGTACTTAAAGAAGCAACAAAGTGAACTGGACTCCTTGGCAGGCTTTGAATAAACACTCACAAATTCTTTATTGACAATAACCAGTCAGATAAATTAAGGATTTATACAATTTTGTAACATGCAGAGAATAGCATCTATAGAGAAACCAGAGATTGGAACTGAGAGAAGTCTAGGGGGGAGGGGAGGGTGGGTTGTTGTATGGGGGGAAATGGGGAGGGGACTAAGGATGATATGTTGTAAGCTAATATGTTGCGTTTAAATTCCTAATAAAAATATTTTTAAAAATAAATGATGTTGAATTCCAGCTGCTGGGAATTGCAGGTGGGCAGAGTGCTGTTGGACTCATGTTTTGCTTGCAAGCTTCCCACAGGCATATGGTTGGCAACTTTGAGAACAGGGTGGTGGACTAGATGGGCCACTGGCCTGATCCAACAGGCTCTTCTTGTGTTCTTGTTATACCTCTTCTCCCCAGGCTGCACCCATTACTGGCCTGGCTTTGCACACTCCTCAAATGTTTTTTGTCTGGCTGGAATGTATTTCTGGACTCCGATGATGCTTCTTAGTTGCTTGGATGGGGATGTGCAGGTCGGGTTCTGCTTTCAAACTTCCTAGGCATCTGGTAGTCCAAAGTGCTGGACAATATGGTCCATTCACAAGATCCAGCAGCCAGGTCCTTCTTACGTGTTATGTGCTCCTCTTTATCTAGAATATTTGATGTTTTCTCCCCATCTACCCACATCCAATGGAATATCCCTAGCTTGAACCTCAGTCATTTTGTCCCTCAAAATACCCATGCAAAGTTTTAGAGAGATGCTGATGCTTTCTCTGGGTGTTTTAATCCTGTTAATCTTTGTTTATTGTTCTATATATAAAAAAACTGTTTTCTATTTTGTAAGCTCTTTGGGAGCTTAGGTGGGGTAAAAATTGTAAACAAAATGAAGTGTGTGAACAGAGTGTTGCACAGACACAGAAGGCCCTCAGCAGGGGAGGCAGGAGAGGGTGGCGTCCTTGCAGGCGTTGTGAAAAGCACCCATTGACAAAGAAGTGTCACATCCAACATCTATCCAGTCTTCTGCTCAATTTGTGAGTCTCCCATGCTGATAGCTGTGTGCTAATTTTCACACGTCCTGCAGCCAGCCCTCGCAACTGGGGGATTTGACTAAGTAAGAAATGGACCAGCCGGATGAAAGCAACAGGGAAAGTTCTCCCATTGCTATACATTTTGTAACCTGGCGAGGGATTTTGGGGTGGGCAGGGGGAATAGAAAAACAGGGTGTTTATCAATCTCCTGATGGACCCTTGTACTTAGCTAATGTGCCAGTTGTTGAAAACCGCAGAAGAGGAGAATGCTCCTGTGCTTGAGTCTTGCTTGAGGATTTTCCACAGGCATCGGTCGGCCACTATGAGAATAGGATGCTAGACTAGATGAGTCATTTCCATCAGGGCTCTTCTTATGTTAATGAACAGTATTTGGCTTAGAAAACCACAACCTGCGTAAGGGCCCCTCTGGGTCTTCTTTTTATGGTGCATTGACGATGATTTGTGCTTAGGTTGTATTGGAGCAGCTATATGCAAACCCACTTTTACTACCGTTTGTGCCTGCAAAAGTTTTGGTGCGGACGTACTGCTTCGTTTCCAACCAGCGTATGCCCCCAAATTCCGTGCTGAAATTCTGAAACTTTTCATACCACAAATGTTCCGGGTTCGGTGTGTTTGCCCTAGTTTTGTTGTGCTATAATGACACATGGCCCAGAAGCTGTCTGCGGACAAACGCCAGCTCCCTCGGCCTATAGAGTGAGATGAGCACGCAACCCCAGAGTCGTCCACGACTGGACCTAACGGTCAGGGGTACCTTTACCTTTAATGACAGTGTGCCCCTCCATATGGCACTAATGAGGAAGCGTTGCATAACAACTAATAAAGCGGAATGATGTGTAGATGGTCCAATATAAATCCACCACTATGAGTTTATCCACACATCCCTTGCCCTGCTGCTCTCCCCGGGGGGGGGGGCGGACTGCTCTTTAGTGCTCAATAAGAGCAAATGGCAATTTGGGATTTCCCCAGATTGCCATTTGTTCCGATCTACCACTAAAGAGCAGGTTTTCCCTTGGAAAGGAGAAGGGCAAGGGGAGAACTGCTTGGACCTGTCCTTTCTAGGCATGGCACAAGTGGAAGTGCCAATGACATATTGCAGAATATACTCACAAAAAAATAGCGCCCAGGCTCGAGGACCCTAAGCATCTTTTGTCCTGTGCTTTCCCTCCCAATACACCTTTTGTTCTATTTTATTTAATCACCTCATTCCTTTTCTTTCCCTTCCTGTCCCTTTCTCTTTCCTCACAATTGTTCATGGCCTTGCCTTGCACCTTGTCTAGCAAAGGCTATGCCTTTCTCAGAAAGATTTGCTAATCATCCTTATACCTAGTCAGAGTATTTTAATAGCAAGTATATCTCTCTCTCATCATAGCTGTCAACCTTCCTTTATTGGGCGGGAAATTCCCTTATTCCAGCACCGTTTCCTGCTGCTTCCCGCTGCTATCCCGGATTGTTAGATATCCTGTAGACTGTCCCCGGGACAGGTGAGGCTGCTGATCCCTTATTTTCAAATCTGAAAGTTGACAGCTATGCTCTCTCATAGGGTATTACGTTGTTTTGTTGTTGTTGTTGTTAATGATGTTGTTGTTGATGATGTTGCTGATGATGATGGTATGGAACTCGCTCCCACAAGAGGCACTGATGGCCATCTTGGGTGCCTTTAAAAGAGGACCGGACAAATTCATGGAGGAGAAGGCTTTCAATGGCTACTAGCCGCAACAGCTATGCTGCTGTCGGAGGCAGCAATGTTTCAGAAGAAAGGAGGGAAGAGGGCTCTTGTGCTCAGGTCATACTTTGCGTTTCCTACAGGCATCTGGTTGTGAGAACAGGATGCTGGACTGGATGGGCCATTGGCCTGATCCAGCACGCTGTTCTTACCTTAGTATTATTATTATTGGCTACTCTAATTATTTGCCTGGGATACTGAATTTTAAAACTGCATGATTCTACCGCTGTTGTAACTTGTACTGGGAAGGCCAAGCAATCAATCATATAAAAAAATAAATATTGGTCCATCTCACCTCAGATGCTCAGCTCTGACTCACCATCACCCTTGGGGAATCCACCTTTGGGGTTCCTGTCCAGTGTTAGGATTCAGCGGTATTCCATCAATCTTCACCACCAACCTTCTGTATTGCAAAGTACTGACTCATCATCAGAACTAAGACTTACCCAATCCTGATAAAGCTCCGTGGTGATGAGAGACAACAGGCTGCTGAGTCACCCACAAGGTGCCAAGTGATGTATTCTGCAGTTTGGGAGAAGAAAAAAGAATAAATCTGGTGAACAGGCATGTACAGCCTCCTCTTGCCTCTCTGCCAATTGAAAAGGTGGCACATTTCACTGGTTGTAGATCATTGTCTTAAGAACTGGGCGCAGTTCCCACCACCTATCTAGTTTTTAACTAAAACACTAGTGAAGGAGGCATGATGACCAAAAATTGATCTGCCCGCTCCCCCTCAAAATACAGAACTACTCTGATGCTCTTCACATTCTTTGGGACATTTGAAGCAAATTGCTATTTTATTTTGTCCTCTAAAATGCTTGCAATCCATCCTGGTTTTGTGTCACTGTGCATTTCTTTTTATGAATGCTCTTCCAACTAACATTTAAGGGAAGACAGTTGGAAAGCTAAGATGCCACAGAAATCGCAAGTACTCTAAGTACCGTGTTAAAATCCGACGGTTTTGTGGTGCTCTGCACAGTCCGCCGTGTAAGATATGTTTTGCAAATCTATAGATTTCTGTGGATTTTCATCATGCCTGCACAATGTATAATTCAGTGCATGTGCATTTATGCAGGAAGATGTCTAGGGGCGCTTCTAGACATCATTTTTATTGCACGTATATGATGATTTGTGCTCATGATAGTATTGCGGCAGTTACTGTATTTTTTGCTCTATAAGACTCACTTTTTCCCTCCTAAAAAGTAAGGGGAAATGTGTGTGCGTCTTATGGAGCGAATGCAGGCTGCGCAGCTATCCCAGAAGCTATCCCAGAGGGATTGCTGCTTTCACTGTGCAGCGATCTCTCTTGCTGTTCTGGCTTCTGAGATTCAGAATATATTTTTTTTCTTGTTTTCCTCCTCCAAAAACTAGGTGCGTCTTGTGGTCTGGTGCATCTTATAGAGCGAAAAATACAGTATATGTGATCTTGCTTTCAATAGTGTTTCCGCCTGTAAAGGTTTTGGGGTGGGCATACTCCTTTGCTCTCAATCAGTGCATGTTGCACAATTTCCTGCTGAAATCTTGTAACTTTTTACACCACAAATTCTCTGCAGGGGTGGGAGGATTATACTGCTTTTGTTGTGCGATAGTGCAAAAGTGACCCTCTAGACAGCAATAATGCGGTAGCATTGAAGAACAACGAATAAAGCAGAACACTGTATGGATGATCCAGTAAAAATATACCACTAATGCACTCTTATTGCGTCCATGGCATTTGGAATTCAAGGTAGCCTACAACATACATACATACATAATTTTATTTGTATGCTGCCTTTCCATAGACAAAATCATGCTCAAGGTGGCTTACAAAATAAAATAAAAAAATACAAAACTACGAACAAAACAAAAGTAGTCATAAATAATAAATAAAATATCAAAAAGTACAATAAACAATTTCCACAAAAATCACAATGAGATCTAAAATAAAGATACAAAACATTAATATCAAAAACAGCAACAATACCCTCCAAACAATACCTCAACCCAAGAGTCTGTTCAGCAGCCTCAGCTTTTGTAGCTGGAGTCAATCGCGGGGCCCCGTACTCCCAGGTCAGGTGGAAACAGGCCTGCAAGGCAGGGAGCGGGTTTTCCAGGACTCCCAGCCCAGATGGTATACAAAAGTATGTGCAAGGTAATAAAAACAAACTACCGTCTGATTGTGTCTTGCACAAGGGTTATGTTCTGGGGATGGCATATATACACAAAAACACGTATACCTTTTTACTTTGCAATCTTACTTCCCGGTCCATCCCTAATGGGTTGTTGTGTAGTACAGTGGAGTGTGTGGTGAACCCAGAAGATTCAGGACAGATAAAAGAAAGTACAGTACAGTGGTAGCTTGGGTTAAGTACTTAATTCGTTCTGGAGGTCCGTTCTTAACCTGAAACTGTTCTTAACCTGAAGCACCACTTTAGCTAATGGGGCCTCCTGCTGCCGTTGCGCCGCCGGAACCCGATTTCTGTTCTTATCCTGAAGCAAAGTTCTTAACCGAAGCACTATTTCTGGGCTAGTGGAGTGTGTAACCTGAAGCATATGTAACCTGAAGCGTATGTAACCCGAGGTACCACTGTACTTCTTCACATAACACATAGTTAAACTACAGAACTCGCTCCATTGGAGGCAGGGATGGCAACCAGAGAGACAAGGGTAGTCTATCACTGGAGACTTAGCAACTGTTGGAAGTCTAACCAGGAAGCTTTTGTAGGGGGTCAGGTAGGAACCACATAACAGCACATTCTGATCTACAGTGGTACCTCGCAAGACGAATGTCTCGCAAGACAAAAAACTCGCTAGACGAAAGGGTTTTTTGTTTTTTGAGCTGCTTCGCAAGACGATTTTCCCTATGGGCTTGCTTCGCAAGACGGAAATGTCTTGCAAGTTTGTTTCCTTTTTCTTAACACCGTTAATACAGTTGCGACTTGACTTCGAGGAGCAACTCATAGAACGCGGTGTGGTAGCCTTTTTGAGGTTTTTAAAGACTTTGGTGATTTTTGAAGCTTTTCCAAAACTTTTCCGACACCGTGCTTCGCAAGACGAAAAAAATCGCAAGACGACAAAACTCGCGGAACGAATTAATTTCGTCTTGCGAGGCACCACTGTATTGTCATTTTCCTACTGATCTAGGATTTGGCTGTGCCTTATTTGGTCAAGAGTTTTGCAGTGCCAGCTGCAGGCAAAATCACAGCTTCATATCTCTTGGGACCAGTGGGCAGATTCTGTCTGAAGCCCCTCTCCCCAAATATGGGAATACTACTGGAAAAAGGAATAGTTCAGTGGCAGAGCATCTACTTTGCATACAGAAGGTCCTGGATTCAATCCCTGGCATCTCCAGGTAAGGCTGGGAATATCTCCTGCCTGAACCCCTGGAGAGCCACTGCCTAGTACTGATCTGGATGGACCATTGGTCTGGCTCAGTATAAATCAGCCTCTGAATTCAAGCACAGGGCGAGGGAAAAATTCAAGGAGGATAACATTTGTGGTTCCATAAACAGCTGTAAGGTATGTCTCGAGTCGAGTCTGACCGGTCTACGTTGACAAGGCAATGCCTCCAATTATACAGCATGCTCCGGCCTGCAAGAGAAAAATCAATTTGCTATGTATATTTATTTATTTCTTGTTATGAGAGTATGGAGGGGAGGTGGTATGCACATTTCTGAAGGCTGGGAAACCCATTGCAAACCAGAGAAGACTCTGTATGAATCCTGTGATTTATGAGAGTCTCATCTTCTCCCTCTTTTAAAACTAAGAACAGCCACAGAAGAAATTATCTGGATCTAGACCACAGCCAGAGGGGAGTTATTATTATTAATTTTAAAAGAAACCTATACCATGCAACATAAAATAAATTGCTCGGCTGAATTTATACATAAACATAATAAAACAACCAGAAAGCTCATTAAAAGTACATGCAAATGGGGCAACTGCAAAACAGCACGAGCAGACGGAAACATTTAAAAGAGGTAGCTTTTGACTTGAGATCCAGTGTAGCATAGCGGTTGGAATGTCATACTAGGACCTGGGAAAGCAGGGTTTGAATCCCAACTTAGCCAACATAGCTGAATGGTTGACCTTGGCCTAGTCAATGTCTCTCAGCCTAACCTACAGGATTGTTGTGATGACAGAGTGAGGAGGGCAGCGAGTAACCCTAAGCTTCTTAAAAGAAATGTGGGATATAAATGTAGCAATGACATAAACTTGGTGCCTGAGTTATAACAGTGCCTGCTATGCTTGAGAGGAGAGGGCATCCCACAAGAAAGGGACCACCACCAAATAAGGCTCAGTCCCACATTACCACACAACAGATTTCATCTAGCAGCAAAGCATGGAGATGATTCCCTGAAGATCTTAAGACACAGCTGACCCTTCTCCTTCTGTACCATTTTCCTGGTGAAAATTGCCCCCGAAGCTATTTGCTGCTATTGGCAGCTTAAAGGGAGGAGGAGGGGTATTCTCGTCAGGAAAATGGCATGGAGGAGAAAGGGTTAACACTCCCTCCCATGTGTATGGCATGGTCAGCCAATCATGGGATTCACAGGACCCCTCCAGAAGGGGTTACTCTGCTTTCATCTTGATTTGCTTGCAAAAAGCCTTACGCAGTGATTAGACTATGCCCAATATCCATTGAGCATCCTTATGATTTGCTTATGAGGGAATGAGACTCTTAATTTCAGGGTCATAGGTTTCAGGCCCACATTGGGCAAAATGAATCCTGCATTGCAGGGAGGGGGACTAGATGACCCTCAGGGTCCCTTCCAACTCTACGGTTCTGTGATTCGATACAGTCCTGACCACTCATAATTCCTTCATCCGAATTTGCTTGCAAGGTGATTACGCGCCTTCCCACGAGTCGTTTGTTCATCCCATACGTTTCCCACTTTCCAAACTGCAAAGAGTCTGATGTTTGTTGTTGTTGTTGTTTTGTGGGGAGAAAAGGATTTGTTCTTCTGCCCCAGGCTTGGGGAATCTTTGCTTCTCTAGACATTGTTGAACTACAACTCCCATCAAGCCCAGAAACTGTAGCCAGGGAGGATGGAAGTTGTAGTTCAGCAACATCTGGATCTGCAAAGGTAGGACGACAGAATGCTTTAACCCCCTACAGTTGTGCAAACCTCAAGTTTTCATCCATCCTGAAAATTACTGACAGTCTGGAGGTGCACATAGAGTCATTTAGCAAACCATGTGTTGTTGAACCCAAAGTGTCCCATTTTGGGCTGGGTCCTATTGGGGTATTCTGGCTAGGCATGTCCAAGATTCAGGTCAGTGCACAGATGGGGGCTTCAAGCATAGGGGTCAAATGCAGCCACCGAGCCCAGTCTGGCCTCTGGGGCTCTTCCTCAGCTACACCCCTTCTTCCAAGATCACACCCATCACCTGCCTTGCTTTGCACCCTCCTTGAATGTTTTTGCCCGACTGGAAGGTATTTTTCGACTTTCATAATAGTTATTGCTTGCTTGGATGGAAGGACAGGTGCATAGATGGCTAGAGAAGGCTATGCAGGTGTGTAAAGAAACTAGCCTATAGTACAAAGGGGGGGAAATCACATCAAATGCCCCACCCACCATTGTCATGTGGTCCCTGGGAGATTAGCAAGTGACTAATCAGAACCACGGAGAGCTCACTGGGAATCTGGATGCACAAACAGACTTGATACCAGAATACAGTCATAGCTCAGGTTGAAGTCGCTTGAGGTTAAGCCTTTCGGGTTGCGCTCAGCGGTGACCCGGAAGTAATGGAGCGCGTTACTTCCGGGTTTCGCCGCTCATGCATGCGCAGACGCTCAAAATGACGCCGCTCATGCATGCGCAGAAGTGGCGAATTGCAACCAGCACACGCGCAGACGCGGATTGTGTTCGCTTCAGGATGCGAACAGGGCTCTGGAACGGATCCCGTTCGCATTCAGAGGTACCACTGTAACTGAAAAACCGGGGGCTTAGAGGGTAACCACTGGTCTGCTGTTGACTGAGCACTGAATAAGTGTGGGAAAGAGGTGTGTAAAAGGTAAAGGTAAAGGGACCCCTGACCATTAGGTCCAGTCGTGACCAACTCTGGGGTTGCGGCACTCATCTCGCTTTATTGGCCGAGGGAACCGGCGTACAGTTTCCGGGTCATGTGACCAACAGGACTAAGCTGCTTCTGGCAAACCAGAGCAGCGCACAGAAATGCCGTTTACCTTCCCACCGGAGCGGTACCTATTTATCTACTTGCACTTTGATGTGCTTTCGAACTGCTAGGTGGGCAGGAGCAGGGACCGAGCAACGGGAGCTCACCCCGTCACGGGGATTCGAACTGCCAGCCTTCTAATCATCAAGCCCTAGGCTCTGTGGTTTAACCCACAGCGCCGCCCGCGTCCCCTAAGAGGTGTGTATGGGTGTTTAAAACTCCACTGCCCCTGAGGGACCTGCCCATGATTTAAAGGGGCAGTACTCTATTATGGCAGCATGTGTGGGCGAAGTCTCAATGTACTCTTGGCATAGTGTTGCCAATAGCTTCCCTCCTGGTCCTGACCACTCCTCTGGCATATCACATGCCAGTGTCCACCATTACTTTGGCCCAGGGCCAGCACTCTCTAAGCACTAGAAACTCCCTAGCCCTGGACAGGCATACCTGAACTGGTGCAGCAAGACTGTTACTGGAAGCCAAGCAGGGTAGATCATCTACTTAACATACAGAAGTTTCGAAGTTCAAAGCTCAGCATTTCCAGATAAGGCTGGGAGAGATTCCTTAGAAAGCTGCAGCCAGTTGGTGTAGATAATATTGAACTAGATGAACCAATGGTCTGTTCCTTTATAAGGCAGCTTCCTGTATTCCTGATATACTACACCCATGATGCAATACCCAGCCAAGGAAAGTGTGTGTGTGTTCCTAGCAGGTGCAGAACCAACCAGGATCATCACCCACACAGTCAGGATTGACAAGTGTTGGCAGGCAATGGCAATGGTGGCAGCAGGGGCCCTGACAAGGTGGTATTATTCCTGTGGGCCCTGGCAGTTTCCAGAGTAGACCAGGTGCTGACACCAGGTCTGGTTGTATCCCAGCATTGCCGGGATGCTTATGGCCCATGAGCTTGGTGGATGGGTGGGTCTTCCTGGCCCGCAGGTGGGTCTGGGGAGGTTGGAGAGTCAGGTACCTCCTTCAAAGCAGAGGATAGAGGTCTCACTGCCCCCTGGAATTTTTCATCAGTAGACATTTCTAGTGGGGCAGCTACTTCACTGATTACCTCATTTACTTAAATAAGTATCCGTTTCATTTCTGCCCTACTTTTCCTTCAATGAGCTTGAAGCAGCGTATATTCTCACCCCCCTAGACACAGGTTTTTCCTCACGATCACCCAGGAAGGTTAGGCTAAGGGAGAGTGATGGGTTCAAGGTCCCACAATGAGATTCATGGCTGAGTAGAGATTTAAACCTGGATCTTCCCAGTACTAAGATGATCATCTAACAGTTAGAGAGACCTACCACAGCATCACACTGCAATGATTCAGGACTATAGTCACTGAGTCGTTGGAGCTCTTCTCTGGGGTGTGTGGGGTGGGGGATGTCCTGGTCTATGACACAAATCTGTGGCAAGTTCTGGTCTGCAGCTATGATGAGAAATGACTCCAAACATGCCAACATTTCCCTGAAAAAGCCAACTAATCTTGACTTACCACCCCACTTCGTGAATTGCCCCAGGCTCGTCTAGAAGAGATGTGCTTTGTAAAGGCAGGATGATGACTCCAGTATGGAATTGCCAGTCCCTTGCAGCTCTTACCCCCAAAGTGTCATCTCCCCCCCCCCAGCACACTGCATTTCTTTGGGAAATAAATCACTAATCGGCTCATTACTCATTATCTAGTGAAGTGCCTTTCAGAAGGGTGGGTGAAAAATAGGGAAACTGCCTGTCTAAAGGTGTGTCCGGACCAACACATTCCATTTCTCATCATGGTGGCTGATTTAATTTGTCTTCTCCCAATACCCAAAACAGTTTACAATTTTTTGAAAACGTAATAAGCATCCTCCTCTTTAAAAAGTTAAAATCATCTCTATGATCAGTTGCTGTTCAAACATGCAGGAGATTACAATAGCAATTCACTACTTAAATGTGTGTGGTTTTTCTGGCAAGGTCCACATTCTGTTTAGAACAATCTGTCAGGGGCCACATACTGGCAGTTGCAGTAGCCGAGGTGAAACCAGAGACAAAAGTCTTCTGGATGAGCCAGTCTGGAAAGCCAGGTGCCCACTTGCCATGAGGGAGCTGGTCAGGTGGAGCAGCATTCTTACAGCCCTTGTCTACACAATCAAGGAGTCCCTGAGTGTGTCTAGCACACAAACACAACCTTTCCAGACCCTTGTGGTTCACTTGCAGGTCACAGAGCGGCTTCAGGGAGTAGGGAATTCCAAGTATCAAAGATGATCATTACAGTGGTACCTCGGTTTACAGATGCTTCAAGTTACAGACGCTTCAGGTTACAGACTCTGCTAACCCAGAAATAGTACCTCGAGTTAAGAACTTTGCTTCAGGATGGGAACAGAAAACGTGTGGCGGCAGCACGGTGGCAGTGGGAGGCCCCTTTAGCTAAAGCGGTATCTCAGGTTAAGAACAGTTTCAGGTTGAGAACGGACCTCCAGAACGAATTAAGTTCTTAACCCGAGGTACCACTGTACTTTGGAAAAGAATGCATCCTATGCAGCACTTTGAAAGGAGCTGTAGAAAACCCATCAAGCAATTTCAGAAGCCCCTTTCCAAGCACAGCAAACCCTCCTCCTTTGGGGCAGGTGGGTGTGGCTTGGATGGGACAGGCCTTGTGGGCCTAATTAGGCTTGTGGCCAGAGGTTACCCACTCCTGCTTTAGATGATCATAAATTCTAAGAGGAAGAAGAAATGAATCAAAACCCATTGGGGTTGGCTGGTGATTCTTTTTCAACTCATTCCGACCCCTGACTCACCACTTGAACACACAAACCAACAATGAGCTTGGAGTGAGTTCAGGGGGTGACTGCATTTCAACCATTTATATCTCACCTTTCTACACTGAACTGTTCATAAGGTGTCTTGCAGCAAAACACCAACAACTAAGAAGCTTAAATACAAATTGTAAAAGCAGATCACCAAATTAATGATGTAAACATTCAGCAATTAAAATATAAGTGGAGAAGCCAGATTAAATCAATGCTCAGGGGAATGGGACAACGTGGAAGCCAGCTGCACCTCCCTTGCAAGCTGGTCCGTCAGCTGGGGCCATACCTGAGAGGGTCTCCCCTCTCTCATGTCCACTCAGTGCCTCAGAGGGTCTCCATTTATTAATGTTATGTAGAAATATTTATAAAGTGTGCAATCAAAAAGTGTACATAAAATAAAATTTATTTTATTTGACAGAATTTGCATCCCACTGAATCATAAAAAAACTCCAAGCAGTTTACATAAAATTTAAATGTAATATAAAACAATTATCAAAACATGGTGAAAGTTCCTAGGACAGTTTATGGCGGTCTGCATATTGTGCAGCCAAGATCTGCCACAAATATGTCACTGAGCACGGATCTGAAACCACCTCTTAGGGCTCATCCATACTTCTGCTTGCCCCACCACTTCTCCCCGTGGAAAAGCAGCCCTTTTCCGCTGAATCAGAGTCCAACAACATCTGGAGGGCCACATTTTAGGCCATGTATACCAAACTATCTCTCAAGAGTTGTATCTGGGAAATTACAGATCTGCATAGGCAGGCTGGATGTGAGAGGCAAATGGGCTTGGGGAAGGGCTTTGGTTCTCTGTTAGTCAGTTGATCACTTCTCTTGAGAATGGAAAGACCACACTGTTCTCCTTCTCTTTTTAGGTCCTTGGCGATTGGCCATCAATATTCCTCCTTGGGAACTCAGCCCATCCTTTGTGGCAGCATCCCTGGCTTGGTGCCCAAGCAACTACGGTTCTGTCGGAACTACGTGGAGATCATGCCCAGCGTAGCCGAAGGGGTGAAAATCGGCATCCAGGAATGCCAGCACCAGTTTCGCGGTAGGAGGTGGAACTGCACCACTGTAAACGACAGCTTGGCTATCTTTGGGCCAGTGTTGGATAAAGGTGAGTACACAATGTTCTAAAATGAATGACATAGATGATCAGTTTGAGAAAATGGAATTGGGGGGGGGGGTGAGAGTTTAGCTGATGAAATCTCTTGAGAAATAGACAATCTCTGTGGTGTTTTTTCCTGTCTGGGGAGTCAGACTGTGCTTGTGGTTTCAGTTATGCTCCAATGCAGTTGTTGTTGTTGGCATCCATCTGTCTTGACATACAATGGAGTGCACCTCTGAGGGTAAAGTCAAAGCGCTATGTTAGCAGCACCAAAGTGACCTCCTTGTGTGCAAGCCTGGGCATGTGTATATGGGGCCTCGGCTGCCCAGACGACAGAACCCTCCTCTCGGCTTCACTGATGTGGTTCAAGGAAAAGCAGAGCAATATGTTTAGCATCAGCTTTGCTGCAGGAGTTGGTGGAAGAAGAAGAAGAAGAAGAGTTTGGATTTGATATCCCGCCTTTCACTCCCTCTTAAGGAGTCTCAAAGCGGCTGACAATCTCCTTTCCCTTCCAACTGTCTTAGGGACTCCACTCTGGATTTGTGTAGGGTTTTCTCCTTAGCCTTTTCTTCTCCCAAAGAAGGCAGCAGAGGTTTAGGATCAAAGCTTTCCTTCTCCTACACGGGCTACTTTCCCAGGTTGATGAGCCCCATCTGCCCCTCACTTCCCTCTACAGCACATGCAGAAACTACCTTCTTGATGGTTGGACCCACTATTGGTCTCGTCCACTCAAGTTGGTAGAGCATGTCTTCACATGCAGGAGATGTTCCTAACTTACCAAGGCTTCGAGACCCACCAGGTATCCTCACCTAGTTTAGTCAGGCAGTCAAAACAGTTTCCTGGGGTGCGGCTGCTGTCACAATGCAGTAGTAGAATTTCAAAGACGATGATAAGCAGGCATTGGTACCTGAAGAGATGAGTATTATGCCCAGGGAGGGTAGCTGGGGAGTGCAGTGGCCAAGGGCAGATGGCCAAGGGCAGAACTCGTTCTAAGATGATAGGGTGGCTATCACCATCTGGTTGCCACCACTGTGTGCACATACAGCACTCACAGTGAATCATAGAATAGAATAGAATAGAATAGAATCATAGAATCATAAAATTGGAAGAGACCACAAGGGCCATCGAGTCCAACCCCCTGCCAAGCAGGAAACACCATCAGAGCACTCCTGACATATGGTTGTCAAGCCTCTGCTTAAAGACCTCCAAAGAAGGAGACTCCACCACACTCCTTGGCAGCAAATTCCACTGTCGAACAGCTCTTACTGTCAGGAAGTTCTTCCTAATGTTTAGGTGGAATCTTCTTTCTTGTAGTTTGGATCCATTGCTCCGTGTCCGCTTCTCTGGAGCAGCAGAAAACAACTTTTCTCCCTCCTCTATGTGACATCCTTTTATATATTTGAACATGGCTATCATACACAGTGCTGAGTTTGGATGATGTTGTGGAATGTTCCCAAACATTCTCACTGATTAGATGCAAGTTGACAATTAGAGATGTTTGACCACGTGTAGATTTGGTAACAGAAATATAAGATCAGCTTGGATGGGAGGTAAACCTTCCACAGGATGTTGGGTCAAGAATGTCTATGTGTTTTTGATAGGAAGGAAGCACCAAAGCACAAATATTGAGGAAGTCTGGGTGCCAAGTGAATTCAGGTGGAAGTAAACCAAAGGACATGGTGTCCAAAACAGAGGTTGGAAGGCTGAATGCTCTATATGGCTTTGAAAATCTCACCCAAGATATAGAGATGCTGGTTGGGGAATCGGGATTTGTTCTCAAAGGTGCCCTCAGTAATAAGGTTTGCTGATGTGTAATGCATGAAATGGGACTTAGACTTCCTTATGTTGGCATTTGTTTGTTGATTTAGTTTATTCATTTATCTACCAGTTAGTGATTTGCATGAAATATGGAATATAAAGTTCCCAATAAAAGAAGTTAGCCTAATTTTCTTCAAAATAAAGTTAGCAGTACACACACACACACACACACACAGAGAGAGAGAGAGAGAGAGAGAGAGAGAGAGAGAGAGAGAGATTATAAAATGAAATTACATATTAAAATGCATGTCTGAGTAGGTTTGCTTAAACAAATTTTTTTTAGCAGATGCTAAAAATAGTCCAGTGAATCATAGAATCCTAGAGTTGGAAGAGACCACAAGGGCCATCGAGTCCAACCCCCTACCAAGCAGGAAACACCATCAGAGCACTCCTGACATATGGTTGTCAAGCCTCTGCTTAAAGACCTCCAAAGAAGGAGACTCCACCACACTCCTTGGCAGCAAATTCCACTGTCGAACAGCTCTTACTAATGTTTAGGTGGAATCTGTTGAATACCATCAGGCAGGGAGCAGTCAAGTGACCATATTATGGGCTAAGGGAACCCTAAGTAAACTGTTTCCAAGCTGTACTAGGCTTTATATACATTGAATTTTGCCCTGTAACAAAACAGCAGCCAGTGAGGATCTCTGAGCTGAGATGCAACATGCTGACAGAATCTCACTCCTGTCAGCAATAGTGATGCAACATTTTGCATTAACTGCTACTTCCTGGGCTAAGTGAAAGGAAACCCCACATAGGGCTGCTTGTTTTGCCATTTTCTGCCAGGAAGGTCCACTCAGAGCAAACGTCCACCGGGTTTTATGCAGATTGATGTTTGCTCCTACTCATAGAATCACAGAATCATAGAATTGTAGAGTTGGAAGGTATCCCAAGGGTCATCTAGTCCAACCCCCTCCAATGCAGAAATCTCAGCTAAAGCATCCAGTGGTATAGAGGGGTTTTCCAGGGAAAGTGGAGGGCAAGCAGAGAACCACTCAGACCCATGTCCAGAAAGCACAGCACAAGCAGAAATCCGCTCGAATTAGTGCTTTTTAGGCATGATACAAGTGGAAGTGTGGACAAGCCCACAGAATGCATTGCAGCATCTCTGCATTCACACTTATAGGTAAAGGTAAAGGGACCCCTGACCATTAGGTCCAGTTGTGACCGACTCTGGGGTTGCAGCACTCATCTCGCTTTATTGGCCGAGGGAGCTGGCGTACAGCTTTCGGGTCATGTGACCAGCATGACTAAGTCGCTTCTGGCAAACCAGAGCAGTGCATGGAAACGCCGTTTACCTTCCCGCCGGAGTGGTACCTATTTATCTACTTGCACTTTGACGTGCTTTCGAACTGCTAGGTTGGCAGGAGCAGGGATCGAGCAACTGGAGCTCACCCCCGTTGCGGGGATTCGAACCGCCGACCTTCTGATCGGCAAGTCCTAGGCTCTGTGGTTTAACCCACAGCGCCACCCGCGTCCCTATATTCACAGTTATACGTATCCCCAAATTCATTTTTTGAACATGACCTCTATTGAGATCAAAAGCCAGAGTCCTGCAGAATAAATAGTCACCTTTGGAAGGAAGCAACTTTAGCATAAACACAGGCCTGGTTTAACTGGACTGAACTTAAGCCTCTCTGGGTGTAATTATGGAAATAGTTAGCAGCCTCATGCACTTCCCCAAGGGACTGACACTGCTGTTAAGATTAGCTTACCCTAATGCTAGAGCAAACACCAATTGACCTCCCGTCAGAAGTGCAAGGCGACCCTTAGAATATGTTTAAGAGAGTCCATCTTGATGGTGATTTGTACGGTTGACCTTCTAAGTTCACCCTTGGGGGAGAGAAAGGCTAGGGCTTTCACTAGCAAACAGTATATAGGGAAATTGTAGAAAGGACTCTTCTTTCCTTCTTTATGTGTACTGAATGAGGCTATGAAGTTGGTTATAGCAACTCGTTAATAGCAATTCCTAGTTCCCAGTTTTGATTCAGTTGCAGTGGAGGAACTGGGCTAGCCTGGACATCTCTGTACCTGAAAATAAGCCCTAAACTACCCCAAAATTATCTATCTCCACCATCAGCTGACACTGCCCCGCAGACTGCCCTAGCGGTGGTGCATCTCAGAACAAGCCTTAAGAACACAAGAAGCTGCTCAGCAAATTCCCTAGATAAGATCTAGGGAAATAGTTGTAGCTCAGTGGATGCAGCAACCTTGTTCTTGCAACCAATCCATATTGTATACGTACTTCATACATATCCAATAAGGAAACATAGTGGTAGAGCACCCAATTTGAACATGGAAGGTCTCAGGTCCAATCCCTGGTGTCTGCAGGTAGGGTTGGGAAAGAATCCTCTCTGAAATCCAGAATAGTCCCTGCCAATCCCAAATACTGAGTGAGAGGGACCAACGGTCTTATTTAGTATAAGCCAGCTTCCTATGATCTAGTATGGGGAAGGGCTGTAGCTCTGAGGCACAGCACTAACTGGGACAGAAAGTCCCAGGTTCATAGATACCATTGTGTGTCACACAGACCTCAAGGCCGTTTCCATACAGTTATAATTATAATTAAAAAATCAACAAAATTTCATAAAATACAAAATGCACGCCTTACTTTATAACCATTTCATGCCATTTAACAGCAGTACCAACAGAGGAAAAATAGTCAACCTCCAGAGATTTTTTAAAAAACAAATGAGCTTTTACCAACCAACGAAAGCACATTGATGTTGTGGTCATGCATGCTTTCAAGGGGAGGCATTCCACAACTGGGGAGCCACTGCAGAGAAGGCCCTACTCCAGGTCCCTTTACAACAAGCAACACCAGTAGGGCCTCCTCTGCTGTCCTCCTATATACAGAGCATCCCACTCTGACTCCCAGCTTCTTTGCTTTGAGGGTTTGATTTCATGGCCTGGCTCCAGTGATGAGCAAATCTGCCCATTTCAATATCTCTCATTTTCTCATTTTTCCAATCTAAAATTCAGTTCCCCACCTTTCCACATCAGTTTGCAATTTAAAAAATTACATTTGTGAAAATTCATTAGCATTTTAGTGTCCATTTCTCCTAATATACATATTTTTGCAAAGTAATTTCCCCTAATGTATGCTATTTTTATGAATATGTGAATTTTAAAGGCATACTACTATAGTATTTGTATTTTTGTACATATTACTAGGCTGAAGAACTGCATTGCAAAATTCAGAGACATGCGAATTTCAAAGGATGGCTGCGTTTTGGCTCATGGGTTGTTTCTGAAAGTGCATATTTGATAAATTTGCCTTTGAATGCAAGTTGAATCAAATTTCTCCCCCATTCCTACCTGAGTCCTCAATAAACCTACCCCCATCCTGAAGGTCCCACATTTCCTAGGCCCTCTAACACCACAGCTGACCAATAGCCAACCCATATTTTGTGAATTTCACAAGAACGATGTGTAGTTTGATTTTAAATTATATTTGAGATTTGTTGCACCAGAAAGCAGTGATCTGTGGGTTCCAAACAATTTGGGAGTCCTTTGGGGAAACTACTATCAGGTCTGTGCTCGGCTTCGGAATCTTCTTCTCTGGGCCTTGATGGGCTTTTGCAAAGACATTGGGTCTCTCCGGACATCCTTCCTATTGTGTATGCATGAGGATTTGTGCTAATTCTGATATTGGGGTACTTATACGCAATCCCACTTTCAATACTTTCATGCCTGCAAGAGTTTCAGGGCAGACATACTGCTTCATTTTCGATCGGTTTATGTCCTGTAACTTCCTGCTGAAATCCTGTACAAAAATTTAATACCACAAATGTTCCAGTTTGTTTTTTGTCCCATTTTTGTTGTGCTGTGGCACAAAAGGGCCCCTGCACATGGCACTAATGCAATAACATTTAGGACGCATTCCCAAAAACGCAAGGAAGTGACTGAGGCACTATTGCCTCAGTGACATGTTGCAGGAAGTAACCACCCACACAAACAAAACAACACACCCGTCAGGAGGGGCCCATCTTCCCACTGGCCTAGGAAGTTCACCTTCACCCTTCAAAGTATGGATCAGGACCACCAACAAAGTTACGTGGAAGGTGATGTGAGGAGGGCCTCTGTGCCAAATTTCCTGCCATCTCCAGAGATAGCCTGCTTCATACTTCCATTGCTGCATGGTACAGTTATGATCACTCTGTATATGGGAACCATAGTCAGAGGCCTCTGCAAAGTTGTGTGTGTATCTGAAGGCAGCCCTGTATCGGGAGGTTTTTAAGGCTTAATGTTTTTGTTTTTGATATGCTGCAAGCGGCTCAGAGTGGATGGAGAAACCCAGCCAGATGGGTGGGATATAAATATAAATAATAATAATAATAATAATAATAATAATAATTAACACACACCCTACCTTTTTACTTCAAAAAATTAGATTATCACAAAAGAAATACAAAATGGCATCCAAATATGTCTAATAATATTCATATTATATATGAATATTTATGTATTCAACTATAAATTAAATTATGCTTTAAAGAGCTTTGCATACATTTAATAAGTTTCCATATTTATTATTTGGTTTTAAGCAAATGTTAAATTATGTGTGTGAAAGTAAGGTTATAATAATAATAATAATAATAATAATAATAATAATAATAATAATAAATTTTATTTATATCCCGCCCTCCCCAGCCAAAGCCAGGCTCAGGGCGGCTAACAACAAACAAATAATCAAACAATCAAATAATCCAACATTCTAAAACATTTCATTATAAAAATTAATTTTTTAGACACTGCTTTGTGATTTTGCATTCCTATAATTGCACTATAACTGGACTACATTTTTCAATGAATTTGTTTCATGCACGTTCCCTTTTATAATATGTAAGCTTTGTCAACAAAGCTATATCCCATGCACTTTTATACCATTGCAAGGTATCATCTGGTTTATATAATTTCCGGTTTCTTGCTATGACTATCCTAGGTGCAGCAATCTTAAGTCATTGCAAGTTTCAAACCTTTCTTGCTTGCCAGGCTTCCCAGAGATCCCAGTAAAGCATATTTGGTTATAGCAGTGCCCTTAAATCAACCCCCTGAATAATGTTGAAATTTGAACCATGAGGGTGGAAAGTGGATGCCCATATAATACTATTCAATTCCCCATTAATGACGGTGACAATGGGAATTAGAGTGTAATAGGAATCAGAAATGATGAGAGAGAGCTTATGTATACACTACTAAAGTTCCCATTGTTCTGCCCAACTGGATTGGCGAATTCTACACCACACTGGCTCCATAATGGGCTAGATTGGGTGTGACCAGGGCCTAACCAAGGAAAGAGCATATAACCTTAAAAAATTAAGTGCCCAGTGCTATTCTGAGGAGATGTTGCAGGAGTAAGACAGCAAGACTGGACTACTAGAATACTGAAGGCTCCCCTAGTATTGTTTCCTGAAAACATCCACCTGTGACACAGTGAAGTGGCAAACTTTGGCCTTAGGGAGACGATTTTACAGCACATCTTTTTTGTGTCATTTTCACAAGACCCTTGCTTACCTGGTTAGGCTGAGAAAGACGATGACTTGCCCAGAAGAGCCACTTAAGTGCTTTCACACCTGAGCAAGAGATTGCTCCTGAGCTCTGACCCATCCATGCCTTTACCTACCAGTGGCCACCCCACCACACTGGAAAGTGCAATGTCTTCATTCCCCACCCCCGCCACAAACCAATCGGGCAAAAAGTGGAGGGCAAGGAGGGGCAGTGTGTATGTCGGGGCAGGTGGGGGGGTGTTGCTACTATTTCATAATTGAAAAATGTTGTCCCTCAAGGGAGAATCAAGCCACCCTTCAGCTCTGCTTCACCTACAGCGGCGGCAGGGGGGAGGGAGGAAGAGAAAGGAATAAACATCTCAGACGCCTTCTTCAGAGCTCCCTCAGGGGAAAAACATACTTGAGCTACACAGGAAAGGGCTGGATTTCAGAGCTTAAAGCAACCGCCAACACTCTCACAAAAGCTAAGATTCTTCTCCAGTCCAAGACCACATTCACACCATACATTTAAAGCACTATACCACTTTAAACAGTCATGGCTGCCCCCAGAAAACTCTGGGTGATGTAGTTTGTTACGGGTGCTGAGAATCGTTAGGAGACCCCTGTTTCCCTCAAAGAGCTGTAATTTCCAGAAGAGGGATTGATGGTTAAACCAACATTTTGGTTGCTCATCTCTGAACCTTTCACAATGCTATAATATCTGTCACGAGGTGAGGCACCCAGAACTGTACACAGTAGTAATTCATATGTGGCCACACCATAGATTTGTATAACAGCATTATAATCTTGGCAATTCTATTTTCAGTCCTAAATATCTCTAGCATGGAATTTGCCTTTCCCCACACAACTGACTGATGTCAACAACCACTTCTGAATCTCAAGAAAAGGGGGAGTGAAAATGTGCATCTATTTCCTATGCTAAAATGTGCATTTCCCATACATGTAGAGTGGGGAAGCAACTCTCTCTTCCTGTGGTTCCTCCAGCAACTGGTATTCAGAAGCATTGCTGCCTCTGACTGTGGAGACAGACCACAGCCATCCTGGCTTGTTGCTGTCAATAGCCTTCTCCTCCCTGAATTTGTCTAAGCCTCCTTAAGGCATCTAAGAAGGTGGCCACTATTGCATTTGGTAGCTACATGTTCCATAGCTTAAACTATGTGCTGCATGAAGAGGTACTTTTTCTGATGTCCGTTTTTTCTAGTGTTATCTGAGAGGGAACTTTTCTCTATCAATTTTATTCATGCCATGCATAATTTTATAAACTTCTATCATGTTTCCTCTCACTTGCCTTTTCTCCAAACTAAAAAGTCCCAGGCACTGATACCCTTCAACCATTCTCTCCATGGCAGCTTCAGGAAGACATTCAGAGCTGCCCTCGGCGACTACATTATGCTAGCAATCCTGGTCCTCCTTTAGAGAAAGAGACTCTCATTATTCAATTAAATCCCCTCATCCACCCATTTACAAGATGCCAACTGCTCCAGTGTTTTCAAATGACCACTGATCTCCTAAAACAGCTTTTATTGGAAAATTCCTTCACTCAGAAAACTCCAGCCCTTTAAAAGTCCTCACAGCAGATAATTAACCCAGAATAAAAAAGTTCCCCTTCCCCTCAGCCCTCCCCTTTCCACTCAGAGTAAATTACTCACTAGTATTTAAACGCCCCCTTCTTTTCACCCCCTTCCCAGCCCATTCATTTAAATGTTTCAAAAGGGAAGCCTTCTCCATCAGTTTCCTCTTGTGCCAGCCCCTCCCAGCTTGCCTCCTCTCGCTCCACTACACACTGGCCAGAGCTCTAAACCTGCCAGACGGACTGAGAAATGGCCAGGAGTCATTGTGGAGAAGCAGCTTTTAATGAACTATTGGAAAGTGGATACAGTGATGGGTGTTGAAGTCACCCGGGTAAAGAAACCAGTTCTCAGTCTCGGGCTATTGTGGTGTAAATGCAATCCAGCCCCTCCTACTGTTTGGCTGGGGTTGAAGAGGAGAGGACAGAAGGGGGTCAACTTATAGGGTCTCTGCTCCAGTTAATCAATGTGATTGGATTAGGGTCACTGCGACCCCTAATAGTGTCAAAGGTCGTGCCCAATGGGATTAGAAGCTTTGTTGAGAGGTAGCCCGTATCCTTTCAGCGCTTGGGGATGAAGCTTGTTGATTAGCGTTTAACACTCCCACCACCTTTGACAGAAACAGCGTCCCTTTCTGTGGCCTTATGTCTTTGCCCATGTGAGAGGAAAGGAGGAGGGAGGGGAGAAGGGTTGTACGTCCGCCACACTTAGGTGTTCAGGCTGGCCTTCAGAACACATACATCAGATCACACCAAACACATCAGAAAGTCATAACAGGAGATTCAATGAGTGTGAATATGTTACCCTTTGGCCTACAGAAGTGGTTTTCAAACTGTGTCCTTAGGAATGCTTCAAGGATTCTTGAATGAGACCAGTCATGATGGACAAGCCACCTCGGAGGACTATTCATCCACCACTATCACCTTCCCGACAATGCACATTGGCAGGGGGATGTTGGCTACATTTGAGAACACACCTCTGTTTATGCAGAAGTGACCTAACGGGACAGGTCAAAATAGTGTGCGTACCCCAGAATGTTTCCCAGGATCTTCTGCAACACACATAGGTAAAGGTAAAGGGACCTCTGACCATTAGGTCCAATCATGACCGACTCTGGGGTTGCGGCACTCATTTCGCTTTATTGGCCGAGGGAGCCGGCGTACAGCTTCCAGGTCATGTGGCCAGCATGACTAAGCCACTTCTGGTAAACCAGAGCAGCGCACGGAAACGCCATTTACCTTCCCGCCGGAGCGGTACCTATTTATCTACTTGCACTTTGACGTGCTTTTGAACTGCTAGGTTGGCAGGAGCAGGGACCGAGCAACAGGAGCTCACCCTTCGCGGGGATCCGAACCGCCAAACTTCTGATCGGCAAGTCCTAGGCTCTGTGGTTTAACCCACAGCGCCACCCGCGTCCCGCAACACACATAGAGAGGCACTATGTCAGATATGCAGAGGTTTCCTAAGCAAACAAGTACATGTGGGAAAGGTCTCTGAGTGGTTGAAAGTTTGAAAAACACTAGCATACCATTTCATGTTTGTGGACTTCCCACAGGCACCTCCCAGGCACTGGGAGAATGGGATGCTGGACTATGTGGGCTTTTGGTCTAATCCAGCAGGTCTTTCCTTATGTTCCTATGCCGATTGGTTTCATATTGCGGAATCGAATGAATTTTTTTCTGAGACAGGTTCACATGGTGGAAACTTTCCACAATGCCTTAAAAATCCCAAAGGCCAGTCAGTCAGTCAATGGCTTTTAGTCACCCTATCCCTCTGTGTACCAGCTGCAAGGGAGCAACAGCTTCTTACCATCAAGTTCTGCTTGTGAGCTTCCTAGTGACATCTGGCTGACCACTGTGAGAGATAGGATGCTGGAATAAATGGACTCTTGCCCTGAACCCACAGGACTCTTGCTATGCTCTGTGTATGTGTTTGTGTGTTAGTGCACTTATTCTACTATAGGGAAGTATACAAATTTATGAATTAAATATCATTTTTTTAAAAAACCCAACCTGGAGCTAAGGGTTGTGGTTGTGGGACAAGGGTGGAATACAGGCTCCACCCAACCTTTGACTAACTTTATTTAGCTATTTTCATAAGAAAACATAGCTCCTGGTACTTATCTCTATTTAAAAATGGGTCACTTGTAAATGTTTGGAGACTGAAAGGGAGAGAAGGCCCGTGATTAAGTAGAGTAAACCAATAGGTAGGCTGCCAGTAGCTCTGCTTGTACACTGATCTTCTCATTGAGGAACCACTAATAAGCTTTGGAACTTCTCAGGAACACAGCACTACAGAAGAGAGACTCAATGGTGCACCTTTAGACCTTTTCCAGCATGCATTCCATTTTTAATACCTCCTAATTTAATAGGAGTCCTGCGGGGATGGACTAAGATTCCATCTAGTCCTGTATTCTATCTCCAGTGATGGTCAGTCCACAAGAACATGGGAAGCTGTCTTATACTGAATCAGATCCTTGGTCTATCTAGCTCACTTTTCTCTATGTCAGCTGGGATTGGCTCTCCAGGGCGTCTTTCCTAGCCCTATTTGCAGATGATGTGGGTTGAATCTGGGACCACCCTATATGTGCATAGCCCACAAGCAGGCATTTCCCATTTTATGTCCCCCCCATCAACTGATATTCACAAGTAAGATGCCTCTGAATATTGATGCACCACTGAGCAATGATGTCTAATCACCGCTATGGATTTATCTATGAATTTGATGGCCCATTAGAGAGCCTTCTCCATAATGGCCTCAAAACTGTGGAACTCCTGTATAAAGGTGCATCAGGCACTATATGTTTACAAGCTTTACACAGTCACTGAAAATGTACCTCTTTCTCCTTGACCTTTGACAGTTGAACTATTGTTAGTGTTCCACCTATATACCTACTGCTTTGTTGGGAGGTAGGTATTTTTGGATGGGCTTCTCTTATTTGTTTGACGGCCTTATATTGCTTAGATGTACTCTGCCCTGGGATCCTATGAGTAACTAATGTTCATCATTATCCTCCTTTGAAATAAAATTGTGTGAAAAGGCACATTGTATTGAATAACAGAGTCTTGATTGGTTGTTAACAGGGCCTTGTTAACCATAGGCACCAGGGGTGTGGGGCACCTGGGCACCAGGCTCTCAGGGGCGCCAGGCCAAGAGTCCAGGGCAGGAGAGCTGGAGTCTGGGGAAGAGCCCATCCGTTGGCTGGAGCGCCGCGATGGGCTCTTCTGCTGAGGGTGGCTCTGCGCCGTGAGTTTGGGGATGAGCGAGCCAGCGAGGTGCTGAGGTGGCTGGACGGCTCCGTCCTCCTACGTGCCTGGGATTGGCGTAGGGCTGTGGAGAAGCCTGCCCAGTGCACGCTGCTTACACCACAAAGCGCCTCGCCGACGCCTCAGGCTGGTTTGTTGAGCTGGGCCCCTTATGTTTCCTGTTTTCTTTTCCTTAGCAGAGATAAGTGTGGTATCAGCTTCCTCCCTAAAAAAAAGTCAACAACTTTGGGGTTCCCCCCTAAAAAAAGGTATGGGCAACCTGGGGCAGGGCACCGGGCGGATCTTTGCACCCCGGCGCCGCATATGCTTAAGACGGCCCTGGTTGTTAAGTAAGAAGGCAGGCAACTGAGAGCTGGCTGAGGACAGAATGAGGTTGGTGGGGCAAGTGCCCCATTTGTCCAAATGAACCATCCTCCACTGGTCTGCTCATACGCAGTGCACAATGTTCTGAGCTATGCATGAGCCACACCGCTTCATGGTCCTTGGCTCCCAATCACATTGGGGCATGTGTGTGCATACTGTGCGGGTGCAGTGATGCAATGGCAGGATTTCTAGTGCCTAAGCAGCTCAGTTGTAAGTGGCAAAATGGGAGAGGCAGTGAGCAGTGGTGAGTTATCAGAGGATAGAGCTGTGTGTTTCCATATGCTCTGTTCTACACCTACTAAGCTAGCCTGCTCCCCTTGTAAGATCCACCACCAGTGTGGTAGAAGATGGGGGAAGCACCATCTTGTCCTTCAACACACAGTGCAATATGTCTTGGGCCAGCCCTGAGAGGCGGCCAGCACTGGAGGAAGATTTTCTTAGTAGAAGAAAGCATGTTTGAGATGTTGAAGGGAAATCTGGAGGACTTGGCAACATCTTGAATATGGTAGACTGAGGAAAGGAAAATTGATGATCATCTGAGGAGTATGTGTCTGAGAGAAATGGGAGATAATGGTGTCTGACAGACAGATAAGAACATGGGAAGAAATGATATTAAGCTGTATGCTAAATGCCTAGGAGATATCACAAAAAGGATATTTTGGGTTAGAACTATTTCGGTAGTTGTAAAAGTCCAGTCATAAGTGAGAAAGAAAGTGATGATTCTTCTCTTCTCATGCCAATTGGTTAATTGTGTCAGAAGACACCGGAGCGTTACATGTTTTCCAGATTTTTCTTTTTCAGTTGTCCCATTAGCACAAATATTTTCCAGAACATTCTTTTCCCACTGGTCCCATTGACATGGAATGCCATGTTCTCATGAACTGGAAATGAAAGAAGGATAGGAGAAAAAGAGGTGTTCGTGCAGTTAATCATCACTAAATTTGTGTTTAATTGTAGGGGCATGTATAAGGCGAAAAGGCTGAGAAACGGTTGGCACTGTGATATTTGGTGAATCATTTCACATACTTCAGGTATGGTAATCTGGTCTCAAAATGGCTGTGCCTTCCACAGCTTTAGTCAGCCAGATGAGGGCAGGGTACCCTTCACATGCAGATTGCCAAAGTTTCTAATAAAGGATCTGTATTTGTTGGGGTTGGGCCTTTCCTGGCAACAGACAAACCAATGAAATAATTGAGAACCCTCCCAAAGGCCTCAGGCCTTCAACCCAAGCCGGTCATTAACTGTCAGGAATTTCCCTTCCCATAAATCATGGCTGGGCCTTAATCATTCGCAAGTCGCTCCAGTTTTGCCCTAGTCAGTTCCCCAGAATCTTTGGAGCTTCCTCAAAAATCAGCATAATAGCTGAGTCAGGCCCCCAATATCCAAAGCAAATTGTGCTACTGGAATGGAAATGTAGGAAGATCAAACATCAAATGTTTCCTTCACTTTTCTGCTACTAAAATGGAGCCCACTTGTTTTTCACTCACCTCCCAAACTTTCCTAGAGAATGCTGAAAGTTTTTTGCTTTTGGAGCAAGGCTTGCTCCCACTACTCATCCCCCTCCAGGCCTCTCTATCTGGCCCTTAGGGTTCTCCTCCTCAGGCCACATCAACTCCCTATCATCTTGCATGCAAAGGACCCAGGTTCAATCCCTGGCATCTCCAGGTAAGACCGTCTGAAACCCTGGAGAACTGCTGCCAATCAGTGTGGACAATAGTCAGCTAGATGGACCAATGGTCTGGCTGGTGTAAGGCTGCTTTCTCTGTTCCCATAAACATGATCCTCTGATAAATATGATATTTTCCCTATAGGCATGATCCTCACTGAACCCTCTTTGCATTCACATAGAGTGTTTTTGCCTTGATGGAATGTGTCCTTGAACCCTTATAATGATTCTTGGTTACATAGATGCAGGATGGATAAAGGTAAAGGTAAAGGGACCCCTGACCATTAGGTCCGGTCATGGCCGACTCTGGGGTTGCGGCGCTCATCTCGCTTTATTGGCCGAGGGAGCCGGCGTACAGCTTCCAGGTCATGTGGCCAGCATGACTAAGCCGCCTCTGGCGAACCAGAGCAGTGCACGGAAATGCCGTTTACCTTCCCGCCGGAGCGGTACCTGCTTATTTACTTACACTTTGACGTGCTTTCAAACTGCTAGGTTGGCAGGAGCAGGGACCGAGCAACGGGAGCTCACCCCGTTGCGGGGATTCGAACTGCCGACCTTCTGATCGGCAAATCCTAGGCTTTGTGGTTTAACCCACAGCGCCACCTGTGTCCCTTTCGCAGGATGGGTAGGGGTGTGCAATTCTATGTAGAAATTAGCCTATGGCACCAAGGTAAACTTTACATTAATTGCATTATGCATTTTGGCCTCTGGTCCTGCCCATCACTGGTATCCTGGCCCCACATTTTTCATTTTAGCAGACCAGCACAAATGACTAATGCAGGTGGAGGGTTACCTGAATCGCTTGCTAAATGTGTTTGTCTCAGGTTACTGTTAAAAGCATAGGAGCAGATCAGGGGAAAAGGAAGTTGGCAATAACTGTACACAACAGCATGAGGTGGAATGAGACTTCATCAGGCACTGGGTTTCCATTGCTGAACAGCTCCTTTTTCTTTGCTTCTTTGGTGATGGTGAAAGATACAATAAAAACCAAGCTGTGTCGATACCATCAGCATTACAGCCCTATGAGATCATTGCATTGCACACTTTGGAGCTCTTTAAATAGCAATTTCATTTCAGAAAAGGATTGACCAATTATGCATTTCATCAATTGCAAGAAGGTTCAGTAGCGTCTCCAGTTAGGGTTAGGCCCATTGGTTTTGTGATGATATCCCATGAGCTTCTAATTCCCCTCCCATGGATTCTAGAAGCTGCTGGTGGTGATTGTGGAAAATCTCAGGTTATTTACTTAACAGCTTGTCACCATTTGACTTTAAATAAGAATGCACAGGATAGCCCCTTTTTGAGTGGGATGTTTCACTCAAAGAAGTTCTCCAAACACAGCCAGATGGGTGGGGTATAAATATTATTATTATTATTATTATTATTATTATTATTATATCTCATAATTTCATTTTAGGTGACATTCACTAATGACACTAGTTACTTCAGACTGTAGAGCTTGTTGGGTGGTTCATCATGGCAAATGGCAGGGGCGGACTTTGGGGTCTCAAATTTTAACAGCATCCTGTGCAATGCCACAATTTGGTTTCCCTCCACCTTTCACCTTCCAGTCTACATAATAGTTGTGGTCCCCTGAGGCTCTGCGCCCAGTGCGACCAAACCGGCCATGCTCTCCTAAATCCACCTCTGCAAATGGGACATTACCCCACCAAACTCAGCCATCCCCCATCAATCTGCCTGCCTTCCTACTTATAAACAGTCCAGTGGGTGGCACTGCCTGTCTTCCTCCTCCTTCATCTCAGTGTTACCCTAGCAGAACCCTGCAGGGAGGATGAAGTGGACAAAACTAGAATTAGTTGGTTCTGTCTGTCATTGGCTCTAGTGCCACCTACTGTTGGGCTCCCTGCTTTCTGACCCATCAGCCCCAATGGGCATCAATCATCACTGGCTGCAAAGCAATACATGAAGAAGTATCAAATAGCCACCCTTGAGCCACTGCTAAATTTCATGCACTACAGAGGATATGTCATTCTGCAGCCATTCGCCATCATGTATTTTTTTTAAAAAAAAAAAATCATATACTTCATGGCAACAGATTACAGGTCAATTTCGACAATTCAAGTAAAGCAACCAAACAACCAAAAATGATAGCAGCAGAGGTAGGGGAACCCAAAGCACAATATTTAAAATGGCTGGATAAACAGAAATGCTCCACCAACCTGGTGCCCTCCAGATGTCTGGAACTCCAACTCCCATCCACCTCAGCCTGCACTGGGCTGGTGAGAACTTTATGGGGGGCACCAGGTTGGTGAAGCCTGGGGTAAGACAGAGGTTGCTAATGTGGCATCTTCCAGATGTTTCTGGACTCCAACTCCCATAAACTCTTATTATTAGCCACATTGGCTGAGGCTGCTGGAGTCCAGTGGCATCTAAAAGGCACCATATTGGCTACCCTCAGGGGCACCAGCTATAGGGGGCAGAAGGGGCTTCAGCTACCTCAAAATTTCTAAGCAGGGAGCTGACCCCCCCCCCCCAATATTTAGGGAGCCGCCATCCCCTGCCGCTCCCGGGCAAGTGCTCGCACCTAGCCTCAGTTCTGCTCCCGAGTCACGTCTGACTGCAGGAGAGACGGTGGCAGCAGTGAGCCATGGTGGCACCCGTCTCCTGTGGAGGGCTGCACAGCCGTAGTTCCACTTCTGGGTCAGGTTTAACCCAGGATGCAGAGAGATGCAGGAGAGTTGCAGAAGTTGCCGCCTCTCTCCTCAGCTGGGCAGCACCATGTGAACCACGTGAACTCTTTGTGAACCAAGAGTGCATCCTAGAACAGGGGCTGATGGACTTCAACCCCATGGGATCTACTTGGCTTTTTACTAGAGTACCCCAGTGTCCAACAACCAAAGCCAGGCACAAAATGGTAGTTCACATGGGATGGAGCCAGAACCTCGGAACCCCAGAATAAGTGACAAATGTGTAGGAATGGGTGAATTTGCTGGCTTTGGTTCTCTGCATTTCTCGTTTTTCCAATCTTAAATTCAATTATCTACATTGCCTCCCACAGCAATTTGCATTTTTAAAAAAACAACCCTCATGAAAATTTGTTTGTATTACAGTGTGAATTTCTCCTTATTTTTGTATTTTGTATGTCATTTAGGCTTATATTCGCATTTTTGCAAAGCCATTTGCTGAAATATAACACATTTTTGTATGTTAGCTTCATTAATATATGCATTTGAATGCATCCTCTCCCCTAACATAATGCACTGGACACATTGTTGGGTTTGGGAAACAGATAAAAGCACTTATTCATGCAACACATAGTTTAACTATGGAACTTGCTCCCACAGGAAGCAGTGATGGGTACCAAATTAGATAGCTTTCAAAGAGGACAGAACAGACTCGTGGAGGATAAGGCTATCAATGACTACTAGGCATGACAGCTATGCCCTGCCTCCACAGTCAGAGACAGTATGGCATTGAATACCAGTTGCAGGGAATAGCCAGTGGGCAGAGAGCTGTTGCACTCAGACGCATCTGGTTGGCTACTGTGAGAACTGAATGCTGGACTAGATGGTCACTAGTCTGATCCAACAGGCTCTTCTTAAGTTCTTAAATGGGGCACTACCCCATGAACCTCAGTTTGCCCACAACCAGATCCCACCTAGCTATTACCTTACAGCCAGTCCAAAGGGTAAGGGACGCGACTGGCGCTGTGGGTTAAACCACAGAGCCTAGGACTTGCCGATCAGAAGGTCAGCGGTTCAAATCCCCGCAACGGGGTGAGCTCCCATTGCTCAGTCCCTGCTCCTGCCAACCTAGCAGTTTGAAAGCACGTCAAAGTGCAAGTAGATAAATAGGTACCGCTCCAGCAGGAAGGTAAATGGCGTTTCCGTGTGCTGCTCTGGTTCACCAGAAGCGGCTTAGTCATGCTGGCCACATGACCCGGAAGCTGTACGCCGGCTCCCTCGGCCAATAAAGCGAGATGAGCGCCACAACCCTAGAGTCGGTCACGACTGGACCTAATGGTCAGGGGTCCTTTTACCTTTACCTTAGTCCAAAGGGTGGCACTGCATCCCAGCTTGCTCCTCCTTTGTCTTAGTGTTGCCCCTTGCAGAACTTAGCAGGGAGAAGGATGGGGCAAAACTAGAATTCATTTGATGCTGCCTGTCACTCACTCTGGCTCCACCTATTGTTGGGCTCCTGGCTTCTGCCCTACCAGCCCCAGTGGGCAGCAACCACCAGTGGCAGGCACTTTCAGCATGCTTTTTTTAAAAAAGCTTTTTTGGTGGACTGTGTAAGTCTGGCCTAAATGGGAAACCCAAAAATTCAGAAGCGTGTGTGTGTGCATTTACAGATTGTACAGTTCCAGGAAAATCGAGAGTGCCTTGCTCACTCCACACACCCCAAATTCAGCAGACTTCCAGGGTTGACTTTAAGAGCTGAGCGGTCTACAATTCTTCATACTGATTTTGTTTGTGTGTGCGCGCACGTGCGCATGGAAATGATAGAGATTTGGTGTCTTGCTGAAACAGTCCCCACTTTCTTTATAATACATTCCTGAAAATGTGGTTGTGGTTTATTTTTATTTTTATTTTAAAAGCAAGATTCTTTATAATACTGAACCTGATGGCTTTGATTTTGGCAAAGGGTGGGGGTGGAAGAGAGAGAGAGAGAGAGAGAGAGAGAGAGAGAGAGAGAGAGACTTTGCAACATACTTTTCTGGCATATAGTTCCTAATTGGAATATGCCCTTTGGATATTTGAAAATTGGCCCAGATATGGTCTTTAATGAATAACACTTTAATTAAATTTTTACATATTTAGCATGCAGCAGGAGAAATAGTTAGGCAAATGGCACAAGCATTAATCACGTACAAGTGAGTCAGTCCGAGCAAGCATACATTAACAGAGCTTAGGAAACACCCTTTCCTTTGAAGGTGATGTAGAGGATGCTGGAAAAGCAAGGCAAATAATTAAAATGGGAGATGGATACAAACGATAGGAGATAAAGCGTGTGTGTGTTGAGGGGTGTAGGGAAGTCTGAGTAGGAAACATTTAGAACCACAAAGGATGCTGCAAAGCTTTCTGCACTTAAAAAGAGATATTGCTAGAGCTAGCTCTAACATGAATTGAGGTTGATATGCAGGTCCAGCAGCAGAAAAACGGCCCCAAACTGGGTCAGGGGATCAGGAGTGTTCTGAGGTTAAAGAAGATTAATCAGCTAAGATGTTTTTTAATTAGTTGGCATCCCTGCTAAAGATGTTTATATTTATCTATTGCCTCCAGCCCTCTCTCTACCTTTGTTTCTTTCCCCTTTAGGGTGAAGGCAGACATATTTAAACACTGGGTACAGCCGGTGGAGGCTGATCCATCAGGGCAAATGGGGCACTGCCCAATAACTTCAGACTACCCTCAGCCAGCCCCTACTTGCCTGATGTCTTGCTTAAAGCCAGTCCAAGGGGTGACAATGCCTATCAGCTTCTCCTTGGTCTCAGTGGTGCACGTGCAAAAATCAGCAGGGAGGAGGATGGCAACAAAACTAAAACTAGTCAGCTTTGCCTGCAATTGGCTTTGGCTCCATCTACTGTTGGTCTCCCTGCCTTATGCCTGACCAGTCCCAATGGGCGCTAATCACCACTTGGTACAGCACCAGTGTGATCCTGCCTTTGCAACTGAAATTGCACCTGCATATACAGCCAAATGAGCACTGTATCAGTCTTTTCTTCCACCCACACACATCCCCAATGATTCAGTTCATTGCTTACAGCAAGGCCAGGGACCCTGGTGCCCTTAGTCTATTGTCATTTTGACTTCAATTGTTGTTATTTTTTTCTTATTGATCATTTTATTGTTTTATCTTTTTTGCAAACCGCTTTCAGGGTTGTTGTTTTTTCAATCCAGCGGTGTATAAATTTCATTAAATAATAATACATATGTTGTTGGATTACAACTCCCATCGTTTTCTGTTTCTTGGGTTTCTATCCTGTTCTTCATCCTAAAGATGTCCAGGGTGGCTAAAATAGTTCCCCACTACTGGCTTGTAAATATTTTCACTCAGGGCCAACAAACTAGAAATGCATGTGACATATGGTTTTGGGGTTTACTTGGATGCAGGTGTGTGGGATGGGGTTCTGAATGGTATCAGAGCAGCAGAGGAGAGAAAAGATGCTTGTTTTAACTCTTTTCCCATGGTGTGTTTTCCCAATCAAAATATCCTTCCGGGTGCTTTCCTACCTATGGAGCTGATGGTACATGGGCACCTTTCTCCCTGGTAAGGATAAAAGCAGTTGAGGCAATGGTGGCTTTGAATGTGAAAAGGATTCACCGGGAAAGGAGTTAAGCATCTCTCTCCTCCCTGCACCCCCTTAAGGTTTCCCATATTAAGTTGTGTTAAGGTCTGCTACTCACATCTAGTTTGGCATTCAGCATTGAACTCGGTGGGATTTATGAGATGCATATGCAAAGGACTGTGTGGTTTACCCTACTCCTCTTTCAAGGAGATCAGCTTACAAGTGTCTCCAATCCAGACATATGTGTTTAGCTTGAACTTGATTACATGCTCTCCAGTAGTCAAATGTTGTGTACACACAGCATTTTATTCTAGCATCAGTGGAGATGGAGTACTTGTTTTTCTACACAGTCCACACACAGTCCAGTCTATTACAGTGTGGTGCGGATATTGCCAAGGTTGCAGGTTCGATCCCCATATGGGAAAGCTGCATATTCCTGCATTGCAGGGGGTTGGACTAGATGACCCTCAGGGTCCCTTCCAACTCTACAGGTCTATGATTCTATGATTCTTGAGAAGCTTGCTGCAAATTGAGTCTGCATTACTCCACAGTGTGTCCATTTGAAAATAAATATAGGCGATCCCAGCATTTGAGGAAGGGGTGTATCCACACCTGCCTCATGGTATGGGTGGGCATATACCAATATCACAATCTCCACTTCCTTCTTCATTAACTTGGGGGATGTGCAGAGAGGAAAAGGTGTGCATGATCCCATAAGAGGAGGGTTAGCCAAACTTTCCTTTTCAAAGCGGCTTTTGAGTTGTAGATGGCTGGATTATTATTTTTTATGCCTTAAATATGAAGATGCAGAATACAAATAAAAATATAGAACATGTATACATGTATAGGGACGCGGGTGGCGCTGTGGGTAAAAGCCTCAGCGCCTAGGACTTGCCGATCGAAAGGTCGGCGGTTTGAATCCCCGCGGCGGGGTGCGCTCCCGTCGCTCAGTCCCAGCGACTGCCATCCTAGCGGTTCGAAAGCACCCCCGGGTGCAAGTAGATAAATAGGGACCGCTTACTAGCGGGAAGGTAAACGGCGTTCCGTGTGCTGCGCTGGCTCGCCAGATGCAGCGTGTTGCGTTGGGCACGTGACCCGGAAGTGTCTGCGGACAGCGCTGGCTCCCGGCCTCTAGAGTGAGATGAGCGCACAAACCTAGAGTCTGTCAAGACTGGCCCATACGGGCAGGGGTACCTTTACCTTTTTATACATGTATAAATAAGTTTAAAATGATATAAACATACAATTTAACAGGATAAACAAAAAAACTACAAAGGAAATTATTCCTAATATTATTCAATTTATACTATTTCCTCAATAGCAAATAAGGGTTTCATTCATGCTCCATTCTCTCATTCCAATAGGAAACAAACTCCATTCTTTAATCAAGGTGTTATCACTTTGTCTTCCCTCACTAACCCTAAACATATTTATGAAGTTGATCATTTGGGCAATGTCCCAGATTTTATTTAACCAGCCTTTTTCTGGGTACTCCTGTCTTTCTTGATGCCTGCACTATGCTCATTCATGGTACTTTATTGCATTGGTTTTTGAGAAATTCCTTGGGTCCCGTACTGCACCGAGTGCATCCTTCCATGAATGGTCATCACCAGTGCTTTTTTTCTTTAAAAATAATGTTTAGAGGTATCATTTTCCTACCGATATTGAAATAATGCCCCTCAAGGAGGTCAAACTTAGATTCACAAAATGTTTAGGGGTATGCATACCCTCAGAAAAAAGCACTGGTCCTCACAATGCCACCACCTACTGAATTACAGGGAGTAACAGGATGCCAATATATATGTTTATTCGAACAGATCCATGCAATATGCAAGGGGTGAGCTATACTAACTTTAGAAACCACTCCTATGCTTGAAACACAAGCATTAATTCTAATTAGGGAACAGAACATTCAGAACAATGAGTAATTTTATGCAGAATACAAAGGGTAATAAACTTAAGTCCACTGATTGCCATGGGACTGCTCTGAGTATGACTAATGTTGGGTATTATCCTAACACAACCATTTTTTCCCTCTTTAACAGCTATCCTAACCCTTTACCTGTGCTTTTATGACCTGAGGAGACACCTGAGAATCCTGGTGGTCCACTTTCCCACCTCCCCAGGCCTGCAGTTCCTCACCCCTGTTTTAAATGATAATAAATAATCACCTACTTCATCAGATAGGCACATAGGAAGCTGCCTTATACAATGTAAAGCCATTGGGCTATCCAGTTCAGTGTAAAAGGTAAAGGAACCCCTGACCATTAGGTCCAGTCATGACCGACTCTGGGGTTGCGGTGCTCATCTCGCTTTATTAGCCGAGGGAGCCGGCGTACAGCTTCCGGGTCATGTGGCCAGCATGACTAAGCTGCTTCTGGCGAACCAGAGCAGCGCACGGAAACGCCGTTTACCTTCCCTCCAGAGCAGTACCTATTTATCTACTTGCACTTTGACGTGCTTTCGAACTGCTAGGTGGGCAGGAGCTGGGACCGAGCAATGGGAGCTCACCCCGTTGCAGGGATTCGAACCGCCGACCTTCTGATCGGCAAGTCCTAGGCTCTGTGGTTTAACCCACAGCGCGACCCGCGTCCCTCCAGTTCAGTGTAGTCTACCCTTAGTGGCAGCAGTTCTTCAGGGTCTCAGGCAGTCCCACCTGAGGATGCCAGAGTTTAAAACAGGGACCTTCTGCATGCAATTGGGGCCTTCCCTACAGGATATTTGTGAAAGGTAAATGAGCATTGTGCTCATAAGGAGTGTTGTAAACAGGATAGGAAAAAAGAAGCACCCTCTTCAGAGACTCCATAGAAATTCTGAATGATCAGAGGGGGTGGGATGCACATGGAAGCTTAAGAGGCAACCCTATGTTCCCCCATTGGGCTCCATTGAGCTCAACAGGACTTGGCTTTAAGTAAGTATGCAGAGCATAACTGGACTTTTAGATGTTTTTCCATATTTCTTTTCAATATATGCATTTGTTTGTTTGTTTGTTTGTTGGTTGGTTGGTTGGTGATTCACATAGCCCACCTTCCGTAAAAAATGACCCCAAAGTGGTTCCCATATAGCAATCAAATAATACAAAAAGAAATGGGAAAAAGAAAAGAAACATAATAAACCAACAGCAATCAATCAATCAATCAATCAATCAATCAATAAAGCTGAACACGTAGAGACCAAGGAATCCCTCAGTGGTGGGAAATCTAATGCATCTAATGTTATTTTTACACAAATCCTTCCTACCCTATTCCATAGTGTCCCCGGATACCTCAGACTGAACCATAAAAATATAAGAGTAGTTCTAGTGGGTCAGAACAAAGACCAGTCTCCAATGTAAGTCTGAACAGAGCTTCAAATGGGATGAGCATCCTCTGCTGCCTGTTTCTACCATTTAGTAATTAGAGGTACACTGCCTCTGATCCTGGAGGTGAACAGTCATTGGTGACTGCTATCCTCAATAATTTTGCCTAAAAGCTGCTGGTGTTGGTGGTCTTTAATATTCAGTCCACCCCAGGAAAAAATTAAAACACCACCAGAAAGCCAGAAATGAACAGAGCAATCCAAAGGAGATCAAGGAAATTAATTGTCGGAAATGAGTTTCAGGAAGGGTGTGTGTGTTTAAGCCAGGTCCTTGGGAACAACTCTGAGCTTCAGTCATCTTTTGAAAGGGGGGCTGGTAGACATCCCAAAAAACACAGGTTATGACCTGTGACCTTCCTATGAGAAATTGTTGCCTTTTAGGATGTGTTAGTAGGACCATCCTTTTCATCAAATGCGTGTTTCTCCTGGCGGTGGGAGGCAATCACACCAGTATATCATTAACTTGCAGAGAAAAGGGGCCGTAAAAGGACTTGATGGGGGACCTTAGCCCACACCCTGCTGGGGTCTGCTAGGAGCACAATATCCCAGAGACCAGGAGATTAAGCTAAAGAGAAAAAGTGAAAGTGCTTTTCACGATTCACACGCCCTTTAGATTGTTTTATTAAACCACTTGAATAGGGATTTCCCTTGCGGCTGGCGACGGGGCCCGGCCAACGCATAGTTCTAGGTTGCTATGACTTGGTTGGTTCTTGCTAATCAGTGCAAGGGCGAACTTCATATAAAATATCTTGGGCCATTGTTAGCCTAACGTGCCGTGACACCTCCATCACAAAAGGGGATTCATTCACCCCAGCAGGTAATAAGGACGACTTGCCATACCAACCAAGCTGGGCTGTCAAGAGGGATCATGCCAAGGGCGAGGGAGCTCTTGCATTCCGTTCTCAGGTGGGCTGAGGGCGATCCTTTTGTCTAGCAGAGTCTGCTGATCACAGAAAATGATTTTCTGTAGAATGGATGGGGGAAGGGGGGTGTTTTGGTTGGTTGGTTGTTGGGGTTTTTTTCTTGTTTTTAAAGTCGTTGTGCAGACCCCAGAAGAACTGCAGAGGAAGACTCATGGGGCTGCAAATATGCAGATTGTCCTGGGACAGGATGCTGCCCTACTCAGAATCATAAGGGTTGGGAGAACAAGGATCATTGGGCTTCAAAATGGCCTTGTGGTGGCGGCTTCTACCTTAAGCGGCTTTTTAAAAGGATTAGACACTAGGGATCGGCAAATCTGTCAGTTTAGGTTCCTCTCGGTTTCTCATTTTTCCAATCTTAAATTTAATCAGCCACATTTCCACATTAGTCTGCAAATTTAAAAAAAAAAACCATCAGCATTTTAGTGTGTATTTTTGCAAGGAAGTTTCCTTAATATATGTATTTTTATGCACACTTCCCCTTAAAATATGCCGTTTTGTACACATTTGGTTGGAGGCTTGTATCACAAAATTTGGGGAGCTGCTAGTCTTTTGATATGCATGTTGTTTAGAGAACTGCAAATCAGATAGGTTCACTTTCAAATGTGAACCAAACCAAATTTCTCTCCTTCATTACCCATATATTCTATCCTTCTTCCACCTTCTGTTCACCTTCATTACCCATATATTCTGTCCTTCCTATATACTATGCCCCCTCCCTTCATTTTGCCTTCATCCCAACCCTGTGTGGCAGGCAAAAAGGGAAGCAACTGATGGGCTCACGGTCAACCACTACGCTTTGTGGCCAAGCCTAGGGAATGGTTGCACTACAGGAGAACTGTGTCTCTGAATATTAGATTCAGGGGCAGGGGGTACATTGAAGGCTCTTCTGTGCATGCTCTTCTTGTGCGTTTCCCAAAGCCATCTAGCTGCTACTTTTGGAAATAAAACGCTGTGCTAGGCCAGGAGTGGGGAACCTCAGGTCTGGGGGCAGTATGTGGCCCTCGAGGCACCTCTAGCTGGCCCTTCAATCTCTCCCCAGGTCACTCCCCCTCTCCCCAGACTAAGCACCTCAGTAGCCCTTTCTTTGTACCCTTCTTCTGTGTTTTTGCCTTTCTGGAATGTGCCCTTGAACTCTGATAATGCCTCTTGCTTGCCTGGTTGGAGGAGGAGGAGTGTGTGTGTGTGTGTGTGTGTGTAGAAAAGAGTCTACTGTATAAAAGTAACATTTGCATTCATTGTTCCACCCACTTTTGCCTCTGGGTGGTTGCCCAGGAGAGAATGTAGCCTTTGGGCTGAAAAGGGTTCCTCACCCTTGTGCCAGATGGACCCCTGGTGTGATTCAGCACAGCATATTTCTGCATATTTAGCTACACACCAGCTCCCTAGTCCCCCAAGAATAAAGGGGCCACTGAAAAACACTAGCACAGCAAACACATCCTGATGACTCGAGTGAGTGAGCCAGGCCATACACAACAATAGGAAGCAAATAAATTAATATATAAATGAAACCCTCGCTCCTTAGAGCAAATACATTTCCTATATGATGATGAGCCTGTTCCTGAGCTTCACCAACCCCACCCACCAAGTTTTCCCATGGGAAATTGTGTTCTGCAGGAAGCCCATGCCATTCCCCACACTATCTTTGTATTTCCTGACAATTATTTGTCCAGTTTTTCTTTTGACACCTCCCAGGGAGCATATTCTCTAACCTCCCAAGGTAGCCTGTCCCATTGTTGAACTATCTCTTAGACTTTGGAAGTGGACCCAAATGTTACTTATACTTATATTATATTGTGACTTTGATCGGTAAAGTCTCTTATACAGATTGGCTGAGCTGGTGTGATGGTAGAGAATATTCACAAACATTCTAACTTCTCAGTGAACAAAGAATGTTTGCAGTCCGATTTCTGTGAGGGAAGAAAATAGTGGTTGGTTGGGAGACAGCACTGGGACAGGCCAAAGTTAAGAGGTTCTAGGAGTTAGGGGACCTAAAGGGCAAGAAACCCAGAAGCAAGGTCGTGGTAAGGAGGATGCAGACGAGCCACCATTTTAAGAAACAGGAAGTGTAGTGAAAGTATTCTTAAGGACATGGGCAGAGGTGACAAATAAAGGAACTTCACGTATGCAACAACAGCAGCAAGAATACTCATCGCAAAGTATTGGAAGACACAAGAACTTCCCACGCTGGAGGAATGGCAGATGAAACTTATGGACTATATGGAATTGGCGGAAATGACTGGTAGAATCCGTGACCAGGGAGAAGAGTAGATGGAGGAAGACTGGAAGAAATTCAAAGACTATCTTCAGAAACACTGCAAAATTAAGGAATGTTAGAGTGATGTTGGACTGAAAACAAGTGGTTTCCAGCTGTACAGGTTAAAGTTAAGGATAGATTAAGATTAAAGATCAAGATTAAAGATGTTTAAAGAAATGGAAATTTGATAATAAAAGGAAAAAATTTAAAGTTATATGACATTAAGATCAAGGATTAGGTTTAAAAAAGTTGAAGTTATATATCTTAACGTTTTATTAAATTAAAGATTGGGATTAAAAAGTGGGAAAGAAACTGCTGGACAAACAATGTAGATTGGAATACAAAAGAGGGAGGTATGAGGAAGTCCAGAAAATAAGTAATTTAAAATTGGAAATGGAAAAGAGAGTTTGTTTTTAATTGCTATGTTTTGTGTTTTTATTGTTAAGTTTTGTATTGTTTTGTGTGTGTGTTATTTTTCTTTTTTTGTTAGTTTAAAACTTTAATAAAAAATTATTTAAAAAAAAAAACAAATAAAGGAACTTCACATATTGAATGAGCCAACTAATAATTTTGGTTATAGGCTTCTAATAGTATATATATTTTTCCTATAAATTAAACTTCATTTTCTACTGCCATAAGTAAATACAGTGGTACCTCGGGTTACATACGCTACAAGTTACAGACGTTTCATGTTACAGACTCCGCTAACCCAGAAATAGTACCTCGGGTTAAGAACTTTGCTTCAGGATGAGAACAGAAATCGTGTGGCGGTGCAGCAGCAGCGGGAGGCCCCATTGGCTAAAGTGGTACCTCAGGTTAAGAACAGTTTCAGGTTAAGAACGGACCTCCAGAACGAATTAAGTTCTTAACCCGAGGTACCACTGTATGTTAAGCAGTATTTAAAAACAACTCCTAAGCAATTTGGACCCTGCATATTGTATGAACTGAAGCATTCCTTACATCCCACTGCAATCTCTCAGATCTGCCAAGGCTACTAACTTGGGCTACGAGGGGATAAAGCCTGGCAATTTCATTGGCTATCCCATAACCCCTCTCTGCACAACATATGGAAATTCATGACACAGAAAATGCTATTGCTCACTGGTAGAGCACAAACTTTGCATGCAGAAGGTCCCAGGTTCAATCTCTAGGTAAGGCTGTGAAGGATTACCTGAAACTCTGCTGGTCCTCTGCCTAGTCAATGGAACAATACTGAGCTAAATGGACCGATGCTGCGACTTGTTATGAGGTGGCTTAAGATGCTCTTAGGGACACGGGTGGTGCTGTGGGTTAAACCACAGAGCCTAGGACTTGCCGATCAGAAGGTCGGCGGTTCGAATCCCCGCGACGGGGTAAGCTCCCGTTGCTCGGTCCCTGCTCCTGCCAACCTAGCAGTTCGAAAGCACGTCAAAGTGCAAGTAGATAAATAGGTACCGCTCCGGCGGGAAGGTAAACGGTGTTTCCATGCGCTGCTCTGGTTTGCCAGAAGTGGCTTAGTCATGCTGGCCACATGACCTGGAAGCTGTGCGCCGGCTCCCTCGGCCAGTAAAGCGAGATGAGCGCCGCAACCCCAGAGTCGGCCACGACTGGACCTAATGGTCAGGGGTCCCTTTACCTTTACCTTTTAAGATGCTCTTATTTATTTAGCTTGAACAGATCTTTTATCATGCATGGTTTTTTTAAATGGGATGGGCTTGAGAACCAGATGGTCAGCAAGATGCATGCCCTGACCAGCAAGCATGGCCACCTTCAACCACCATGGCCAGGAATGTTGGGAGGAATGATGGGAGTTGTCACCCAGCTACATCTGAAGCATCACGGGTTGCCCACCCCTGTTTTATACTGGTATCTCTTTAACCCAACCACATGTCTTATCTTTCGTCAATTGTCTGTGTGGAATTCCTGGCATGATTTGCTCCCTTAATAATTTTTCCTTAATTATTTGCATGGCTGTTTATCTGATGGAAGCATTATGCCTCCTGAGGGTAATTTGGTGCATTCAGACTTCAGACATAACAAGGCCTTATCAAGAATTGCAGACAGTACTCTGACACTAAATCAGAGGTGGAACTTGGAAACTAGCAGAGATCTTCATAATACCCTACACAAGTCTCACAGTGAAGGCTGGTCCATTAGGATGCGTGGAGAGCTGCCCCACCACACTTAGTCTGCCCTCAAGCAGCCCCCACCCTACCAGCCTTCTTCCCTACAAGCTGTCAGGGGGTATGTGGCTCTGCCTGTCATTGGCTCAGGTTCCACCTACTGTCGATCTCCCTACCTTTCACCCTGCAAATCCCAAGGGCATCACCCACCACTGCTCTCTGAAGTGGGCATTTGTCACCCATGCACAGCAGAACATCTCTTGTTTTGAGTCAGAGTACCAAAAGGTACAAACCTATACAGCATCTTAAAAAGGAGACATCACCTTGCTGACAAAGGTCCATATAGTTAAAGCTATGGTTTTCCCAGTAGTGATGTATGGAAGTGAGAGCTGGACCATAAAGAAGGCTGATCACCGAAGAATTGATGCTTTTGAATTATGGTGCTGGAGGAGACTCATGAGAGTCCCATGGACTGCAAGAAGATCCAACCTCTCCATTCTGAAGGAAATCAGCCCTGAGTGCTCACTGGAAGGACAGATCCTGAAGCTGAGGCTCCAAGACTTTGGCCACCTCATGAGAAGAGAAGACTCCCTGGAAAAGACCCTGATGTTGGGAAAGATGGAGGGCCCAGGGAGAAGGGGACGACAGAGAATGAGATGGTTGGACAGTGTTCTCGAAGCTACCAGCATGAGTTTGACCAAACTGCGGGAGGCAGTGGAAGGCAGGAGTGCCTGGCGTGCTCTGGTCCAGAGGGTCACGAAGAGTTGGACACGACTAAATGACTAAACAACAACAACACCACAAGGTGCAGCACATTTTAGATGAAATGTGAGCTCATGAGAACAAACATGGAATCTTGGGTCAGGGTTTCATATTCTTCTTGACTCAAAACCTGGTTCAGAATGTACACCAGGGAGGGGTGCATAAGAAGAGTCTGGCTGCTGTATCAGACTTGTGGCCCATCAGGTCCAGCACCCTTTCCTCGCACTGGCCAATCAGATGCCTATAGGAGTCAGGCAAGTAGAACTTGAATGCAACAGCAACTCCTAGCAATTAGTATTCAGGGGCATATCGCCTCCAACAGCGGAGGTAGTATCATAAACCTTCATCCTTACCTCTGATTATCTATCTGATAGAAGTCCTTCCTGGATCTGGCTAAAATTACAGCTAAAAGCCACCTGTCAATACACCACCCCATTTTTTTTCTCCCTTCATAGGCCCAAGGCTATATTTTGCTGGTACACATCCTATTGATTTGGCTGTGAAGTCATGAAGGTACATGGGAAATTCCCTCACCCAGGCACCTTTTTTTCCTGGGGCATAGCAAAGATAGAGAATACATGTATTTTTAAAGGCTTTTATGCTTACACAGGAACAGATAGTTTGGTAATCAAAACTATTAAACCTTGGCAGGGCACCAAGCCGAGATGGAGATCATCCCAGAAAACAAAACAAAAAAAGAGTTAGAAGAGACTTGGAAGTCTTTGGCATGTATGTAATTTACGGAGAATGCTGGGAATGTGTGGGAGGGAGTGCCCAAAGGCGGGAAGGGAGTAATATGTTGCTTCCATCCAAAAAAAAAGAGGAAGATCCAAGCTGTTGGGAAGTTGACTTCGCTTATGGCAAAAATATTGGGAACGTTGGAAACCAAATATTGACGCAAAGCTGCTTTTTTAGGGTGAACTCAACTGAGGTAGTGAACTCAACTGGAATAAGGTGAAGAAAGGTTTTTCTTCAAATGCATAAACCTTGTGGCTTCCATTGCAGTTGACCAAGTTAAAATAAGGAGATAAATCCTGTAGATGCAATGTTCACATAACATACTATCCCACTTCTTGCAGATCAGGGATATGGAATGTTACCTCCAAACATTGTTCGACTCCAACTCCCACCAGCCTCAGACAACATGGATAATGGTCAGGAATGATGAGCAGTGGTGTTCCAATATCTGGAGAGAAACAAGTTGCCCATCACTATTATAAGCAATTGCATGGGCCTCTGGAAAGTTCTACTAAATTGTGAAGGGTGCTCACATAGAAAGCTCTTCTCTTCTTTGCCTCAGAGCTGTGCCTTTTCTATGATGACAATCCTGGTGAGAGATGCAGGACCCAAGATGGGGAGGTGGAGCTTTTCATGGGCCCGCAGGCCCATAACCAGGTGGGGGGAAACCCAAGGCATAATTGTAGAATGGGGTGAGGAACCTCAGGCTCACGAGCCAAATGTTGCCCCCAAGGCCTCTCTATCTGGCCCTTGGAACTCTGTATTATATGGACTGTCCAGATCTTACTAGATTTGCTTTTGAACAGAAAACACAATATTCAGAACCCAGATCTGCTTGCTCCACAGCATGCAGACATGCGATGTGCATGTACAAGAGAGAGAAAGAGGTTGCAGTCTGGGGTTTACCCCCTCACACACTGCAAGCTCATGTGAGAGGTTTGTAGGGTTGTACTGATTAGCTCCAGACCCTTGCCAAGGCACTTTTGCAGACATCACCTTTCCATTGCACACATATTTTGGTTGTGTGTAGGGGGCATATGCATGTATGGCCCCTTCACAAATGCATGGTCAACAGGAGGCATGGGCACTAACCATTACAAACCCAAGACACCTTCACGACATGAGGTCAGAGGCAGTGTGCTTCTGAAAACCAGTTGCTGGAAACCACAATGAATGGAGAAGAGTTGAGCGGTCCACGTCCAGTTTAAAGATAATGAACTGCTAGAAGGAGCAGGAGGGGCCTTGAAGTTGCCTATCAACAGTTAGTAGCAGGCAGGCAGGTCACCTGGTTACAGTCTTCTCCACTAGGATAAGATGCGTTGTATTTCTATTTCAATTATAGAAATTGTTTGAAATATGCATCTCTCTCTCTCTCTCTCTCTCTATATATATATATACATATATCAGCAAATGCAAATTTTGTACACACTCTTAGCACTTTGGGGGGGCTGCCCAACTTGAAATCAAGCAACCAAATGCATAAACAGCTTAAACAAAGGGGTTTAAAGAAGCAATAGACACCAATCAATCCTCTAGTTTTCTAAAACAGAAAAGGGAGCATAGTATAGTAGTGACTCAGTGAGTGGGGCCCAGGGAAATTAATCATGAGCATTTAGGGAAATGCATTCTCAAGGTGAGTACCAGCCTCATTCTCAGGTGGAATTTTGCCAACAAGTTAAAAGGCAGCTTATTTTTTGAAAGTGTTCTCTATTGGTTGATTTTATCTTCTTTAAGCTTGCTTTAAAGCAGTGATGATGTAATGTAGTTTTCTTACAGTTGGGGTTTTCTACTTTATATATGGAATTTTAGTTTATGATGGTTTTAGTTGGGTGGTTTTATCATTTGAATTCTGTACAAATGGCAAAGAATGAGGCCTCAGGATACCTAAATAAATGAGATGTAAATACTGCTGATTGGCTGGTTAGGTGAACAGTAGTCAGATCCTGCACAGCAGTCCTACAAGACCACTTGATATGGCTTATGAATACAACGCAATTTTAAAAATATTTTATAAAATCAGTATTAAAATAGCAGTTCCAAACACAGGTAGCAAAGAGTTCAGAGTCAGAAAAGAGCTGCTTTAAGTAAACAAAGGCATTATATACTTTATGAACAGTCCTATATCTGGAATTTTGTTTGTGTGTTTGGTGGATTTTGCTTCTAAATTGATTATGTGAAAACCATAGGACTTGCTTTTAAAAATAATTTTAAAAATATATTTTTGAGAGTTACTTCTAGGAATGGGCGAATCTGCTAATATTTGTTTCTCTGGGTTTCTTATTTTTCCAGTCTTAAGTTCAGTTTGTGATTTTTTTTTTAGTTCTCATGAAAATTCATCAGCATTTTCGTAGAAATTTCTCCTAATATACAGGGTTTCTTGAATATAATTTTGCCCAATATACACATTTTTGCAAAGCAATTTCCCCTAAAATAATGCATTTTTCTATGTGATCTTCATGAATATATGCATTTTTATGCACACTTTACCCTAGTAACGCATTTTTGTACACATTACTAGAAAACTGCCTTGCAAAACTCAAAGAAGTGCAAATTTTCAGTGCTCATGTTGTTTTGGAAAATGCAAATTAGAAAGGTTTAGCTTTAAATGCAAACAGAATCAAACATTTCCCTCATCTCTAATACATCCAAGGGATATTATATTGCACACCAAGGTCAGGCTTGGTGCATTGTTATTGCATAGTGCGACAAGGACCGTTTCTCTGTAGCATTAGCTTTTAGCAGGGGTGGGGGAACCTTTTTAAGCCTAAGGGCCACATTGTCTTATGGACAACTCTCTGGCAGCTGCAAAAGTGGGTGGAGCAACAGATGTGACTATTACCTTTATCCAGAAGCTACATTCCAGCCACAGAAAAGTCAGAGGTTCCTATACACCCCTCTCTCTATCCAGGCCAGCAAGAGGCATCATCCTTGTTCAAGGACACTTTCAGCTAAGCAAAAGCACTAGAGCATGGAGCAGGACAGGTGAGGAACGGAGATCTGGGAAGAAGGGTTGTTCCTTGTCCTGGTGGTGTTGCTTGCAGACAGTCCAAAGGGCTGGAAATAGAGGCCCAAAGGGCTGCATTTGACCTCTAGGCCCAGGGTTCCCCAACCCTATCATAGCTGGCTTTGAAAGGGGAATAGATAAACTCTTTTGAAAGGATATGTGCCAAGTACACTCTGGTGGGGCTCCTCCTCTCTCAGTGGGCCTTGTCAGGTTTCTCTGGGAAAGGCAGTGAGATCAGCAACACTGACGCTGGAATTGTCCACAGTGCTCCAGAGTGGTGCTGCCACACTGGGAGCATTGTGCAAAATTTAAAATGGCACCTAAACGCTGCTGCTTGGAGCACCAGGCCAAGCCCCAAATATGCCGTGGACCCTACTAGGGTTTGGGGGCTACAGCAAGGAACCCAGAAATTCCAGGTGCTGATGCTACCAGTCCAAAGCAAACTAGTTTCACAAGCCTAACTTCTCCTAGCCCGCCTACTGGGCCTGTGAAATATACTCAGAGTCAAGAGTGGATTTCATGCTCTTTATTCAGCTCATAGTGGTGAGGAGGAATGAAAGTCCCCTCAAAGTATCTGCTTTATATACCTTATTTACACAATGGGCTGCACGTGATTGGCTAATTCCGGGATTCTCCTGTACGCCAATCAGGTTGTGGATTCACTTCCATCTGGAGCTGGATTGGGTGGCTCCTGCAGACCAATCATGCGGCTGCATTGTTCTAGGACCAATCAGACTGCTGCATTCTGAATCCTATTGTTCTAGGACCAATCAGACTGCTGCATTTTGGATCCTATTCAACTCAGTACATAACAGCCTATAATACAGGTAGCTTGCATCTCATGTGAGGATTCTGTTCCGGATGGCCACATATAAATGCAAAAACATGTAGAGCCAGGAACCTCCCAGAACCGCCGTCATGCCATACTCAGCTTTGGGAAGCAGGTACAAGGGCTCTGGCATGGTCCCAGAGCCTTCCCAACTGTCTGGTAAGCAGTTGCCTGGCTTTGGGGAGGAGACAGAGCACTCTAGGACCCTGCCAGAGACCTTGCATCTCCTTTCCAAAGCCCAGGTCCTCACTTACCGGGCTTTGGGAAGGCCACAGCCCTCACACTGCCTTTGTCCTTTGTAAAGCTGGGTAAGCCCACCATCATAGCTTGGTGTGGAGGTGTGAGGGAGGGAATAATTGAAGAATAAGTTTCCTCCACACGCCTTTTATTTATTTCCCCCCCCAACCCGCACAAAGCTGCAATCATGTAAGTAAAATAAGTAGAATTGTAGAGTTGGAAGAGACACTGAGGGTCATCTAGTCCAACCCCCTGCAATGCAGGAATCTCAGCTAAAGTATCCATGACAGTTGGCCAGCCAAACTCTACTTAAAAACCTCCAAGGAAAGAGAGGCCACAACCTTCCGAGGAAGACCTTCCCACTGTTGAACAGCTCTGACTGTCAGAAAGTTTTTCCAGGTGCTTAGTGTAAGATGCAAGTTACCAGTACAGTCATACCTTGGACTCCAAACATCCTGGAACTCGGATGTTTTGGCTCCTGAACGCCACAAACCCGGAAGGGATTGTTCCGGTTTGCAAATGTTCTTTTGGAACCCGAATGTCCAACGGGGCTTCTGCAGCTTCTGATTGGCTGCAGAAGCTTCCTGCAGCCAACCAGAAGCTGCAATTTGGTTTTCGAACATTTTGGAACTTCCAAGGTATGGAACTTCCAAAACGTTTTGGAACTTCCAAGGTCTGACTGTACTTTTCAGGGCGTCTCCCTCTCTCCTCACCCTCCATTGCCACAGCCAAGCCTCGTCATAAAGTGCACCCCACAGATGTTCAGTTCAACCCTCCCCCCAATTTCCTCAGACCCTTGGAAGGAGCTCCTTTGGAGGCTTCATGAGAACTAAAGAAGAGCCTTGCTTGATCAAGCCAAAGGTCCATCTAGTCCAGCATCCTATTCTCACAGTGGCCAAACAGATGCCCCAATGAGAAGCTCAAAAGCAGGAATTGGGTGCCACAGCTGCTCTCCCCACCTGCAGTTCCTCGCAACTGGCATATGGAAGCACATTGCCTTTGACTGTAGAGGTAGATCGTGGCTAGTAACCACTGACAGCCTTTTCCTCTGTGAATTTGCCAAGGTGTGTGAAATGGTGTAGGCTGGCTTTTCTCTCACTTTCTTTTGCGCTCCTCTGTTAGGAATGCTCTCTGTTCCCTCTAGGTAAGGATTCCTCCCCGTACTTCTGTTCACTGACAGCTGACTTTCCAGAAAGGCCTCGTCTCTCTCAAGTCGCGACCTGCTGCCTGTCTCTTCTGCAGCTACCAAGAACCACCCAGGCTGGCTGACAAAAACAAGCCCTGCCGTTCTCCCTCTCCCGCCTCTTATCTCAGCTGAGGCTCTTACATTTTTATATGGCAGCTAAATAACCCCTCATTTCCATTACAAGTGCGTGCTTTTCCTCCTGTTTATCTTCATCTCCAAGGCCAGCCTTTCTCTTGGCCCTGAGGCCCAGGATGCCTCAGGTAAGCTCACCAAAGCTAAAGAGGGTCAGGCCAGCTATTAGCCATTGATGGTGGTGTGTGGGGAGGGGAGGGTTAGACAGTCAGAGCCAAACCCTTTATCAGGCATAGGAAGCAATTCACAAGTCTCAGAGGCCTTTTCTCTCTCCCCTTCTCCTTCTCTGCGTCAAAGCTGAACCCAGATTGCTCGCTCCAGAGATAGGAGTGGGGGAGAAATTTGGTTTGGCATACATTTTCATGGAAACCTATGAAATTATTTGATCCAGTCTAAGTTGTTGTGTCCATCATTCATAACCACTCAGGGAAGGCAGGAGTGCAGAGCCTGGGCACGCAATAACTACAAAAATGCACATATTAAGATGCTTATATTAGTGAATATAATATGTGGAAATGCACTATATTAGGGGAAATTCCTTGCAAAAATGTGTAAATCAGGCAAAATTCCATACAAAATATGTGTATAATAAAGATAAATTAGCACTAATATGCTGGTGAATTTTCCCAAGGACTTTATTTTTTTAAGTAAATGCAAACTGATGTTGGACCACCCTATGTTAAGGTATTCATTCATTCATTCATTGGAGGTCACAGCTATTAAACAGGTTAGGTATTGGATTCAATTTGTACTGTAGACATGAAAAGGGCTCAGTGAGTCTTAAACAATCATATCCTGGGATGGCTATAGGTTTTTAATGAATGGCCTCCAATATTAAAGGGGAGGTTAAGGTTAAGGGTCCACGTCTGAGTGTGGCTTCTGATTGGACAATAGCCCAGAGCAATAATTCATCCAGAGCTGCAACCAGCAGCACACTGGAAATAATTCTGGTTTCTAGTATTTCTAACTGGTACATTTAACTCCTGTGTATAATATTAATATAAATAAATAATTTCCGATTAATGTGGCTGATGAATTTTCTACTCCAACCTTCCAGTCTCCAAGCTATATTTGTGAAAGTAACCCCGTTCTCCTTGAGTAACGGATACTGAGCATGATGTTAATTTTTCCCCCCCACAGCCACCAGAGAGTCAGCCTTCGTTCATGCTATTGCCTCTGCCGGTGTGGCTTTTGCAGTGACCAGATCCTGTGCGGAAGGATCGGCCACCATCTGTGGCTGTGACACACGGCACAAGGGTCCTCCAGGAGAAGGCTGGAAATGGGGAGGCTGCAGCGAGGATGTGGAGTTTGGGAGCATGGTGTCTCGGGAGTTTGCGGATGCACGAGAGAACAGGCCAGATGCTCGGTCGGCCATGAACAGACACAATAATGAAGCTGGAAGGACGGTAAGGAAAACTGTGGTTTTGTTCTATTCCCTCAGTGGTGACTGCAACACTATAATAATTTAGCAACTTGCTTCAGATATAAAAGCAGGCACCAAATTACACAATCAGTGAATCCAGTTGATCCTGTTCTCCTTGACTGCACCATTTAAGGCTGCTAGGGGGCAATCGTCTGGCTGACGAACTTTTCCTCCATGGTCAGAGGAGGAGAGAAGAAAAAAAACAAGCAAGTTGCATAGTCACCTACAATCTCATTGTTTTCACTATACTTCTACTCTACAGCTAGCTAAGGTTTTACTGTCAAACATATTGGAAGCTGCCTTATAACAAGTCAGACCCCTAGCTCAGTATTATTGTCCACATTAGCAGCAGCTCTCAATGATTTCAGACAAGTCTTCCCCAGCCCTACCTGAAGATGCCAGGGACCTTCTGCATGCAAAGCACATGCTCTTCCAAATGTCAAAAAAGACATCCCCATAGTGACAACTTCAACAGTAACAGGTAATGGTGGCAGGAACATTCAGATTGCTCTGTAGAGCAGAAAGGATGAACCTCTGGCCTGTGGGTCTAATTAGGCACATCCAGAAGGACATTATGTCCAAGATACACCCACCTGCCTTGCACCTGATGTCATATGTGACATCAGGTGTAGGGGAGGTAAAAGCCTGGCTCAGCTAAAATGGGTTTTACCCCTAATCTGCCTGATTGAGTTTCAAAATCTGACCTTACACATTAAAATCAGTTGGCAACTCTCAGGACATGGACATAACAAAAGTACTACAGTGAGGGAAGATTTCTAGGTCCAGCAAATGCACGAATATTAGACTGTAAACTGGTACTGTGCCAGCATCCGAAAATGCTGAGATATTTGTTGTAGCCATTGGCAGAGCTGCGGCACACGCCTGACTTCCTGCCACAAGTGTCATGGCTGTTTACCAAGGAGGGAAAGGGGTGAGGCCGGTGCTGTGCAAATGTACCAGCGGAGCCAATCTGTCATTCCAGCTGGTGCATTTGCACCGCAGCAACCATGCTGCCACCTCTCTGCTCCCCCTCCAGGTAAACCACAGAGACAATGACAGGAGGTTAGATAAGCAGCACTGCACCACCAACAACTACTGGATAATTGGGAACTGCCAACCCTCCAAAGTTTAAAAATGCCATACTGAATGTTTCCTCATACTACAAACTAATGTTGTCTCTCCTTCTTCTGCCTTCCTTGCCATTCTCCCCCCCCCTTTCCTTTTTCAGTCTATTATTGACCACATGCACCTCAAATGCAAGTGTCACGGATTGTCAGGCAGCTGTGAGGTAAAGACCTGTTGGTGGTCCCAGCCTGACTTCCGGGTTATTGGCGACTACCTCAAGGACAAATATGACAGCGCTTCAGAAATGGTGGTGGAGAAGCATAGGGAGTCCCGCGGCTGGGTGGAGACACTGCGGCCCAAATATAACTTCTTCAAAGCACCAACCGAGAGGGATTTGGTCTATTATGAGAACTCACCCAACTTCTGCGAGCCAAACCCTGAGACTGGCTCCTTTGGCACCCGCGACAGGATCTGCAACGTCACTTCCCATGGGATTGATGGTTGCGACCTCTTGTGCTGCGGGCGAGGACACAACACACGGACTGAGAAGAGGAAGGAGAAGTGCCATTGCATCTTCCATTGGTGCTGCTACGTCAGCTGTCAGGAGTGCATACGGGTCTATGATGTCCACACGTGCAAGTAAGATGGGATGGCCACGGAAAAAGAATCAAAGATTACTTTTTTCTATAGGAGAAAGTTGACTTCTTGAGATCCACACACACACACACACACACACTCACTCGCAGAAGCTAGCATTGGTTGGCTAGAATAGGTATCATTTCTTCTCGACCATCACATCTGGATGTTAACCTTGCAATTCCTGACAAACCGAGATGCCAACCAACCAGCTGTTTTTGACCTTTTGCGCCACAAGAGACTGGTTTCTTTAACTAGTCAAGAACATAGAGCTGGATAGTGGATGGCGAGCAGGTTTCCAGAAGGTTCTGGAGTGTCTGCTCTTTCCTTTCAACTCACATGGCAAAGCTCGTGCTATTAAGTGTCCTTTGAATGTTGTGCGTCTTCCTGAAACATGGCCTATTTGTGCATTATGAGCATGGAAGAAGCTTCTAGCGCAATGACTCTTAATGTTCCAGCCCAGCCTGTAGCTAAGTTTCTATGTATAGAATTAACAACAGGTGGTGTGTTGTTGTTTTTAAAGGCCCTTGTTCAACCTCTCACAGGAACTGGAGGAACTTGCAAATGACTCTTCACTCTGTGGAACTGCCAAACTTTGTAATATATTCAAATCCTGAACTGATTGACGATTCAGACAATGCTTCTACTATGGGAGAAGGAAACAGGAAGTGAGGTGGCACTTGTGTGTTATGCTTGTTAAACAATGTAATCGACAGCCCACAACTGTGACATTATTTCCTATGGTAAAAATCCCATATATATACACACACACATACACACACACACACACACACACACACACACTGTTACATATATACATACATATGTACACCATCTCACAGTTTCAAGTGGATACTGCTAAGGCACTGCTTATTAGCCCACTTGTACTGGGTGGGATTTTTGCCATAGGAAATAATGTCACAGTTGTGGACTGTCTACTGCGAATATAACATTGTGGCTTAAACAGTTGGCTCCCTCAGGATCAACAGCCTCTGAGGACAAAATGGCTGCCAGGCCTTACTGCAGGAGATTGTTAAATGACATAAAAACACAGGATTCAATAGGATAGGAAATTATACCCTTTCACCTTCATACTATGGGTCTTCATCCAAGCCATGCAATACGAGAAGTGAAATGTTGAATGGGCATTCTTTGGAGCCATCATGAATGTTCAGGCAGGTTTCTGATCAATGAAACCATTTCAGCCAGAGTTTCTCAACTGATATGTGCAAATTGTCCTTTACCTAGACATACCCCCTCAAGCATAACCCCAGAATGGCGTACCTGCAGTTCCCACAAAATCAAAAATTTGGTAACTGACTCATTTTTTATGTAGGTCATGTTTTCAGAAGAAAATCCTTCAAAGCTAACCTATGGAGTTCGTACCATTTCCATTTTCCAGGGCAAAGATGCACATTTCCTCTTTTGTTCATCGCATGACTATTTGTGTGATCAGACCACTGAAACTGCAGACATTGCAAACACTCTCCCCACCATGGTTCAATTTCCTCAGCAGATACCTTGTTGGGGGTTTTCCTTGTTGATATATACAGGGGTCAACAGAAGTCGTTCCAGTCAACAAAGCTGGCCTCCCACATTGAGGACATAGATCTCTGAGGGGGCAGAAGTACCTGTCTTTCACTGGCACACTCCCCAAGTTCCTAGTGTGCCCTGCAACACTCAAGCAAAAGTTCTGGAAGCCCTTTCAAGATGGAATGATGTGTTGGCTGTGGAGATGTACTTGAGGGTGAATACAGACAGCCATTTACCTTAGCCTTACAAAGATGTCCAGAAAAACCCATTGAAAATATGCTGACTAGCCTTCCCACACATTTCTGGATTTAGCATGTGTGGCAGGGAGAGCCAACCTGGTATCTCCAAATGTTATTAAATTCCAACCCCTAGCAACCCCAACCAGCTCTACTACTGAGCTACAGTCCATGTAAAGGGAGGCAGAGAAGGGAAGGGAAAGCATTATTGGGAAGGGTGTCAACACATCTTCTATAATCTCAACTACAGTGGTACCTCGGGTTACAGAGGCTTCAGGTTACAGACTCTGCTAACCCAGAAATAGTACCTCAGGTTAAGAACTTTGCTTCAGGATAAGAACAAAAATTGCGTGGTGGTGGCGCGGCGGCAGCGGGAGGCCCCATTAGCTAAAGTGGTACCTCAGGTTAAGAACAGTTTCAGGTTAAGAACAGACCTCCAGAACGAATTAAGTTCTTAACCCAAGGTACCACTGTAATGGTTTTATATAAATCGGGGGTGGGGGATATGACAAGTTGAACCCAGTCAAAGTTGCAACTATGACAAAGTTAAGCACACACTTAATTCTCTCCTACTGAAATGAGACTTTACAAGTTTCTCAGTGTCAGCAGGATTGTGCCCCAATACAAGTGTAGATATATGCTGGACTATGTGCTAAATAGGCATAGATCTTTTCAGTGCCCTCGACGGACTTGAAATGAATTTTCTGTGCTCTTCCAGTGATCACAGATAGTTTAAATGGTAGAGAGCTTAAGAATCCCTCTGTATTCACCCCAGGGCAGAAACACAGCTGCAATCATAGTGGAAATATGATATGTCGAGTCTCAAAATGAATGAGGTCCTCTTCAGTTGAGGTTGTTTCTTTTACTTTTGATTAGACATCTCTCTCCCTCTCATTCCAGCGTCCCAGGAGGCTTTCAAAGGACCCTGGAGAAGGCTCAACAGCCCTGCTGAGAAACATTTTAAAATCCTTTTGTTTCCATTTTTCCAGAACTCTCAACTCTATTTATTTGTATTTATTTGTGATTGTGACTGACATCTTGGAATCATCTCTCACTGTTACAAATGGCCTTTCCCAGTCAGTAGCTCCTCATTCTTTAGCTGGAAAGACATCTCAGGGTGAATATGAGGAGCCTTAATGTAGCACCAACCTTGTAGGGGCCCTTTGTAGGTCAGGAGGAGCTCCCAGGAAACCCGTACCCTGTTCCCAGGCAACCATGGGCAGAACTACCTTGATTCTGCAACTTTATAAACCAAATCTCTTGTGCTTAGCAGCCACTCTAGGCCCACACAGTCGCAATCTATGACAAGAGTAGCCAACATTGTGCCTTCCAAGTGTTGCAAATGCCCAACTCCCATCAGCTTCTTCCAGCATATTCAATAATCAGGGCGGAAGGGGGTTGTAGTCCACAACATCTGGACAGCACAAAGACCAGAAAACTGTGATCCTCCAGAAGCTATTTTTTGTTGCCCCACGAGAGAATGGCAAATGGTCAGGGATAATGGGAGCTGTAGTCCAACAACACAGGTTCTCGATTTCTGACATGGACTGTCACAGACCTGGTTTAGATTGAGGTGGTAAAGCTGTATTGCAACTGCAAGGGTGGGGTGGGTCACAAAATGTCCTCTTAACATCTAGTTTGTATGTGTGTTGTGCATGTGCTGATACGAGGTAATACTGTAGTCAAGTCTGAGGTGGTAGACCCCAAACAAAAAATTTCGGCCTGTGTGAGAATAATGAGGTCACAGTCTTAAGAATCTACCATTCTTAGTGACAGATTATATAGATTGCATGTCGGGTGTCTCCAGTCAGTATTTTGTGGGAGGGATTCATGTGCATACCAGCAAATTTAGATTTTTACAATGAAAGGGGATTAAAGAGTTTTGTTGTCCTAGAGCTGAATCTACACCATACATTTAAAAGCACCTCCCATCCCCAAAAAGGAATCATGGGAACTGTGGTTTGTTAAGGGTGCTGAGAATGGTAGCTCAGTGAAGGGTAAACTATAGCTCCCAGGTTTCTTTGGAGGAAGTCATGAGCTTGAAATGTGCAGTTAGGAAAGCAATGCACTAAAAGGTGTGAGATGAACAAATGACTAATGGGAAGACACATGAACACCATACAAGTAAAGCAGGATGAATGATCATTATTGTATAGCCTCCCTGCAAACAAATCAGAATGAACACTCAATAAAGACCAGATAAAATCTAACTTCCTCATGAAGTTTGTGCGAGCAAATCAAGATGAATGCTGAATAAAGAGGAGGAGTGCTGGTTATTTTGTTGCTGTAAATTAGCAGCCACAATGGATGAGGAATGGGACCATGGTGAACGGAACAGCAGGGTTTAACACTTTCTCCATGTACTGTAATCCTGAAACCCACCCACCACATATATACTGAATATCTAGAAATTGGAGCCGGAAAATGGCGCCCCCATCTGGAATCTGTGGCCACTAGCAGCTGCTTCACATTGCTTCATGACTGGCCCAACTCAGAACATCTTAGCAGTTGCCCCTATTTCCTGTTCAGTCACCCTTTATAATGAACCCATGTATTATCAAAAATAAAGCAAACCCTGAAATTCCAAAGCTATTGTACAAAAGAAGAGTCGCCACCTTTCTCTCTTTATCTTCCTCCCCCTCTTTGGTATTTTGTTAAGTCTGATGGGTTTTTTATGATTATTTATTTTATGAATAAATGTATATATTAGTAAGAGTATATATTTGCAGAAATAACTCCTTGGGAACAGTGTTGTCAATCTGCTACTTCACTTGTCATCTAAGTAAGGAGCGATCTAGTGGATCACATGAAACTCAGCCTGAACAGGGCCTGCTACGATCTCCCTGTGTTTAGAAATATCCTGCACACACTTTGGAGATGCTTGTACAATGCTGTTGAAAATGGGGTGGCCCACCCTTTGCTCAAGTGGATCCCTTCCATTTGTGTGTTGCAGTCTTCAGAGTCCTGGATCGTGGCCCCTTGTCTTTTTATCCTGTTTTTTACCGACAACCTGATAGCAATGTCTTGTATTTTTTTTTTTTACCAGTTATGTTTCATAGATGTGTTTAACTTTATAATGAAAATTAAAAAATATGCATTAATTTTAATTTTGTTGCCTTAAAAGTTATTGTACTGGGGGGGGAAACAAAGGAGTTGTATTGTTTTAAAAGGCCAGACTATACACTTGGTGTTTATCATGTAGCTTGGCCTCGAGTGCCAGTGTTGGGGCCCAGTTCACAACAGGACACTGCATACCCTCCAACATTTCTCTGATGAAAATAGAGATGTCCCCTCCAACATTCCTCCAATGAAAACAGGGATTTCCTACCATGCCCTTCAACATTTCTCCAATGAAAATAGGGACAGCCTAAGGGAAAGCAGGACATTCCGGGATCAAATCAGAAACTGGGATGGCTTCTGTAAATCTGGGACTGCCCCTGGAAAATAGGCACACCTGGAGGGTCTGCAGGGAGGGGGTTGCACCCTGCTGTGGTTCTCATCTGGATCAGGCCCCTTTCTTAAACCTGTAATTTGCATTGGATGAGGGACTCCCCTTTGATCTACTGAGAGGTTCCCCTCCACACACAATCAATTTGTAGGAACAGCAGGACCCCAATGCGGATCTGACTCACAGCAGGAGCAAAGAGTTAAATCATACCACCACCAATGTCTCATCCCATTCCATTCAAGGAGGAACCATGTGATTAGTGTCACATGACATTTGGGCCTTGAAATCTGCCCACTGGCATGCTGAAGTAGATCAATGGTCCTTACTGTTGCTCAACAGTCTCCCTGTTAAGAACATAAGAGCATATGAAGAGCCTGTCTGCTGAATCCGTCCAAAGGCCCATCTGGCCCAGCACTCTGTTCTCTCACTCACCAGCCAGATGCCCCATGGGAAGTTGGCAAGCAGGACCTGAGCACAACAGCACTCTCGCCTCTTGTGCATTCTCTCAAGTTATGGCTAGTAGCCATTGATGTTGTTTAGTTGTTTAGTCATGTCCGACTCTTCATGACCCCATGGACCAGAGCACGCCAGGCACTCCTGTCTTCCACTGCTTCCCGCAGTTTGGTCAAACTCATGCTGGTAGCTTCGAGAACACTGTCCAACCATCTCGTCCTCTGCCGTCCCCTTCTCCTTGTGCCCTCAATCTTTCCCAACATCAGGGTCTTTTCCAGGGAGTCTTCTCTTCTCATGAGGTGGCCAAAGTATTGGAGCCTCAGCTTCACGATCTGTCCTTCCAGTGAGCACCCAGGGCTGATTTCCTTAAGAATGGAGAGGTTTGATCTTCTTGCAGTCCATGGGACTCTCAAGAGTCTCCTCCAGCACCATAATTCAAAAGCATCAATTCTTCGGCGATCAGCCTTCTTTATGGTCCAGCTTTCACTTCCATACATCACTACTGGGAAAACCATAGCTTTTACTATACAGACCTTTGTTGGCAAGGTGATGTCTCTGCTTTTTAAGATGCTGTCTAGGTTTGTTGTCGCCATTAATTGATGCAAGCAGCCAATTAAAGTCAACTAAGAAGCTGACATACGAGGGCAGACTATTTGTCCAATCCAGCCCTTTGACTGGCAGCAGCTGTTCAGGGTCTCAGGTAGACAGGGGTCTTTCCCACTAGTCCAATATCCAATACAATAATCAACCAGATGCCTCTGGGAAACCCCTAAGCAGGGCCAATAGTCCTCTCCTACCATTGGTCCCCTTCAAAAGTTGCACTTCTCCAAATTTTGCAGTGCAGTTCTCGAGTCAAGTAATATGCACAAGAATGCATATACCTGGATGAAGTGTGCATGGAATGCATTCATTAATAAAAAAAAAAACCATATAAAAATACATTATATTAGGGGGAAATGCTATATAAAATGTGTAGATTAGACAAGGACCCCTGACCATTAGGTCCAGTCGTGGCCGACTCTGGGGTTGCGGTGCTCATCTCGCTTTATTGGCCGAGGGAGCCGGCGTACAGCTTCCGGGTCATGTGGCCAGCATGACTAAGCCGCTTCTGGCAAACCAGATCAGCGCACGGAAATGCCATTTACCTTCCCGCTGGAGTGGTACCTATTTATCTACTTGTACTTGACGTGCTTTCGAACTGCTAGGTTGGCAGGAGCGGGGACCGAGCAACGGGAGCTCACCCCGTCGCGGGGATTCAAACCGCCAACCTTCTGATCGGTAAGTCCTAGGCTCTGTAGTTTAACCCACAGCGCCACCCGTGTCTTACATTAGACAAACTTACCTGCAAAATTGTGCATATTAGGAGAAATCTGGACTAAAATTCTGATGAATTTCGATGAGGACTTTGGTTTTTTTTAAACGTACACGCTGAAATGTGGAAATGTGGAGAACTGAAGATTGGGAAAATGAGAAACTGAAACGCATCCTAACAATCTCTCAGCCTAATCTACCTCACAAGGCGGTTCTGAGGATAAAAATCGGGGTGGGGGGGACATGCGTAGCACCTTGAGCTTCTTGGAGGAAAGGCGGGATATAAATGTAACGATAATTAATAATTTAATTAATTAATTAATTAATTGCCCCATTCATTCTCCCTCATAGCCCCATCCTCTACAGAAACACCAAACACTGTTTGGCTTTGCCTGTGTGAACCCAGTCTTAGAACATAATCAGCAACTGGACGTCTCCGTGCCCTGGCTCTGGAATTTGCTTGCTAAGGATACCTTACCCTTATTCGCAGGTGGAGAGTCAATGTGTGTGTTCCATTATAAATGCACTCTTAGGCACTCAGCCAGAATGCATTCCTTGGGGCTACAAGCTACTCTGGGGCTTACCTGTGTGTGTCAGCAGGTGAAAAGTGTTAAGCAATGAACTCTGTGGTGGGAGTTAAGGAAAGGTCAGTGCCGTCCATCAGAGGGCTGGCTCAGAGCAAGGAGAGTGTGGCAGGCAAGACTCCTGCCTCTAGTCGAAAACAGTCACAACAGACCAGAGCATTGACACACATCCCTTCTGTGGCCTCCTTGAACCACACCTGGGTGGGCATAGCATCAGTTCCAGCTCCACCCCCACTTCTAGTTTATCTTGTCTTGACTATCACTGACAGCCAGCTTGTAGCTGTTGAACATCCTCAACATATCAGACTTTTTAATTGCTTATATTGGTACCCAGGGACCTTCACGGACAGCCAGGGATTCAAACTCATAGAGGAAAATACTATTAATGGCTACTAGCCATGATGGCTGTCCTCTGCCTCCACGGTCAATGCAGTAATGCTTCTGAATACCACTTGCTGAGAAGAGTGCTTTTGTGCTCCTGCTTGTAAGTTTCCCATGGGTATCTGGTTGGTTACTATGAGAAAAGGATGCTGTACTAGATGAGTCATTGGGCTGATCCAGCAGGGTCTTCTTACGTTCTAATGCTTTTGTGAACTCATGTGAGAGCCAGTGTGGTGGTTAAGAGCGGTAGTCTCATAATCTGGGGAACCGGGTTCGCGTCTCTGCTCCTCCACATGCAGCTGCTAGGTGACCTTGGGCCAGTCACGCTTCTTTGAAGTCTCTCAGCCCCACTCACCTCACAGAGTGTTTGTTGTGGGTGAGGAAGGGAAAGGAGAATGTTAGCCGCTTTGAGACTCCTTAAAGGGAGTGAAAGGCGGGATATCAAATCCAAACTCTTCTTCTTCTTCTTCATGTCTTTCCCATCCAAATCTGACACTGATATGTGGCCTGTGGAGTGGTGTAGTGAATGAGGGATGGACATATTACTAATTAATTAATTAAGGAATCACTTCCTGTGAAGCATCACAAAGTGATTTCACAATGCAATAAAAACATAAAACAGCTGCATCTATAAAAACAAATTTGTGAACATTACTGATATTAAAAACAGTTAAAACAAAACGTGCTGTATATAAAAAAAACAATTTCAAATCCAAGACAGGTATCAGCTGGGATAAGGATCTGCCTGCTATGTAATGCGAAGGAGTTCCAAAGGCTAGGTGCCACTCCACTAAAGGCCCAATTCTAATATTTCCAGGATGGATCTCCTGATAAGATGGTATCTGCAGGATGCCCTTTCGTGGAGAGTTCGGTGACTGTTTTGGTGCAAAGAAAACTGGAAGGTTTCACATAAAGGGCTACTTCACACATGTGTCAAAGAATTATAGAATTGTAGAATTGTAAGGGACCACAAGAGTTGTCTAGTCCAGCCCCCTGCAACACAGGAACCTTTTGCCCAAAGTGGGGCTCAAACCCACAACCCAGATGGGTTGCAGAGTCTCATGCCCTACCAACTGAGCTGGATCACTCTGGTGCTTCCCTCAGAAATATGTGAACTCAGAATGGAAAAGGCACATCACTGCATACATTTGAAAGGGCACGGGAATGTGAGTTCAATTCAGTTCTGATACTGAACAAATTCAGTTCTGATACTGAACAAAGTTCTTAAGCACAGAATGTGCTCAGAAGTACCCTGTTCGTTCATTATAACTGTATGTCTTTCCCACTTGGCTCTTCTTTGTAGATCTTGGGGCTGTAGTATAAAGCAAAGTACAGTGGTACCTCGGGTTACAGACGCTTCAGGTTACAGACGCTTCAGGTTACAGACGCTTCAGGTTACAGACTCTGCTAACCCAGAAATAGTACCTTGGGTTAAGAACTTTGCTTCAGGGTGAGAACAGAAATCGCACAGCAGCAGCACGGCGGCGGCAGGAGGCACCATTAGCTAAAGTGGTGCTTCAGGTTAAGAACAGTTTCAGGTTAAGAACGGACCTCCAGAACAAATTAAGTTCTTAACCGGAGGTACCAGTGTAGTTCCAACAAGGCTGAAGTCTGCACACCCCTGTTGTAGAGAAGTGCACACCCCTGTTGTAGAGAAGTGGCAGGAAGAAGATAGGTTATGGCCTACTGGACCATTGGCCAGTTTCCAGAATATCCTGTGGCTGCTGGGAATCTTGAGAAGATTGTTGGACTTGTCAGCAGTTGTTAAGAAAGTAATTATCACTTGGCATTTATTAGTAATGCCACACCTGTAAAGAGATCCTGACTGCTACTCTTGTTTTGAACACTGAGAAACAAAACATTGGCAGACCTTTTTCCAAGGGGCAGAAAGAGCGAGAGACATGCAAGAGCAAGGTCCCACTGCTGTAGAGAAGAAAATTTATTATTATTATTATTATTATTATTATTATTATTATTATTAATACCCCATCCATCTTACAAAACATAAAAAATTGTAATACACCAGACACTAAAAATTTCCCGATACAGGGCTGCCTTCAGATGTCTTCTAAAAGTCCTTGACATCTGATGGGAGGGTGTTCCACAGGGTGGGCACCACTACAGAGAAGGCTTTCTGCCTGGTTCCCAGTAACCTCACTTCTTGCAGTGAGGGAACTGCCAGAAGGTCCTCGGAGCTGGACCTCAGTATCCAGGCTGAACGATGGGGGTGGAGACACTCCTTCAGGTATACTGGGCCAAGGCCGTTTAGGGCTTTAAAGGTCAGCACCAACACTTTGATTGATTGAAATATTCTGGGAGCCAATGTAGGTCTTTCAGGACCGGTGTTATATGGTCTCGGTGGCTGCTCCCAGTCACCAGTCTAGCTGGTGCATTCTGGATTAGTTGTAGTTTCCAAGTCACCTTCAAAGGTAGCCCCACACAGAGCACATTGCAGTAGTCTAAGCACAAGTGGCACTGTGGGTTAAACCACAGAGCCTAGGATTTGCCAATCAGAAGGTCGGCGGTTCAAATCCCCGCGACGGGGTGAGCTCCTGTTGCTCGGTCCCTGCTCCTGCCAACCTAGCAGTTCAAAAGCACATCAAAGTGCAAGTAGATAAATAGGAACCGCTCCAGCAGGAAGGTAAATGGCGTTTCCGTGCGCTGCTCTGGTTCGCCAGAAGCGGCTTGGTCATGCTGGCCACATGACCCGGAAGCTGTATGCTGGCTCCCTCGGCCAACAAAGCAAGATGAGCGCTGCAATCCCAGTCGGTCACGACTGGACCTAATGGTCAGGGGTCCCTTTACCTTTACCTTTAAGCACAAGATAACTGGAGCATACACCACTCTGGCGAGACAGTGTGCAAGCAGTTAAGGTTTCAGTCTGCATACCAGATGGAGCTGGTATGACTCTCAGGCTGTGCACCTGGTCCTTCAGGGGCATAGTTACCCCATTCAGGACCAGGGAGTCCTAGTCCACCCTCTGTCCCCCGAAAACAGTACTTCTGTCTTGTCAGGATTCAGCCTCAATCTGCTAGTCACCATCCATCCCCCAATCACCTCCAGTCACTCACACAGGACCTTCTCCGCCTTCACTGGTTCTGATTTAAAAGAGAGGTAGAGCTGGGTATCATACGCATACTGATGAACACCCAGCCCAAACCCCCTGGTGATCCCTCCCAGCAGCTTCATATAGATGTCAAAAAGCATGGGGGTCTGAACACTCACCCCCCAACACCACTTTCTGGACATGGCCCAGGAGGAAGGAGTGGAACCACTGTATAGCAGTGCCCTCAGCTCCCAGCTCCTCTAGATGGACCAGACGGATGTCATGGTCGACGGTATCAAAGGCTGGAGAAGGTTCAGAGAATAGTGATTAAAATGCTCAGGAGCCTGAGCACACTGCCTTGTGGGGAAAGGAGCTTTGCAGCTCCTGAATAAGAAAGAGAAGGACATTCAAGGAGGGAGCAAATGTTTATAAAATGACAGATGATTTAGAGAGAAAGACAGAACCCAAGAGACCAGGGTTCAGATCCCCATTCAGCCAAAGAAGCTCACTGGGTGACCCAGTCAGTCTCTTAGCCTAACCTACCTCACACAATTATTGCAAGGATAAAAATGGGAGGGGAGGAGAACCATGTAAGACACCTTGAGTTACGTGGAGGATATAATAGGTGGGATATAAAAGTAATAATGAAACAAACAAACAAACAAACAAACAAACAAAGTAGCATCAACCTATGAAACTGACGGGAAGCAAAAGCAAACAAAATGTAGGCTTTTCATGGTGCATAGCTTCCTTGATTTTATGGGATTCAGTTCCACAGGATGTGACGGCTATTAGCTTAAACAGCATTAAAAGAAGAGTAGGGAAATTCAGAGGGTTTTAGCGGCTGAAAAAAAGTTGCTTGCTCAGGGGCATGGTACTTCTTATTTCCAGTGGCCAAGGAATAAACATGGGAGGCACGTCTAACACCACCATGCTTGTGAGCTTCTCGGGATGCCTGGAGACAGAACGCTAGGCGTGATGGACTTGTGGCCTGATGCAGTCAGGCCATTTCTAATTTTCATTTCTGCAATATGGAATATATTATCTGGATGCATCAGAAAGCTTTGTTATCATTTGTATGCTTCTCCCTTTTTCTTCCCTTTGTGTGTGTGTTTGACCTCTCCTACATGCTACATATATTTTAACAAGATTTATACTTTAGGCACAAAATAATAAATTATTACAAAACCACATTATGCACCACTGGTTCCCAGCAAATGTAATGGGCCCACATCAAAGGCAGAGGGGAAACACCCTCCTTATTCGCCCTATGGTGTGATATTTGAGGGGGTGGGCCGCTGGGAGCCAACTGGGGCGGGGCAGGTTATAGTAATGCAAAAATTTCTTCTGGCCCTCAGGCATTATCAGCATTAGCCTAGGGATCTTCTCTCAGGTGGAGATGATGAGAGGGTTAGAGTAGTTCTGACTACTGGGGGTGGGTGGCAATGTAACCACCTCTGTTGCATTTACAGGGGTCATTAGTGGAGGGACCAGCTTCGCAAATGGTTCTCACGCCTCTGCCAGCACCCTCCCCCATGGCTTCACCCTCCATTTCACACCCTCTCAAGTACTTGCTAACTTCCATTTCCCTTTGGCCAAAGTGGCAGGCCCAAGAGCCTATATCCTCAATGAATAGAGAATCCAGGGAAATGGGGATGAGTTCAGGGGTCTATTGAAACCCAAAGCCATAAACCCTTTCAAAGGCAGCAAGGCACCAATTGATGCTGTCTTTTCAGTTGCAATTTCCAACTGCTTTTGTGGGCTTCAGCGGGTTTGGGGCAGGATAGGAAAGGGAGGGGCAGAGAGGAAGAGGAATTTTTCACCTAGAGCAGTCTTCCCAAAACTTGGTGCCCTCTAGATGTTTATAACTCCCATTAGCTCCAGCCAGCACAGCAATAATAAGACATTTCTCCTGTTTTTCACACAGGTAGGACCCAGGTGGCATGAAGCCCCTGCAAGTGCTTGCTGTGCTAGCTGGGGCTGATCAGAGTTGTAGCCCAAAACATCTGGAGAGCAAGAGGTTGGGGAAGCTAGACCTAGAAAGAGCCCTATGACACAATGCAGGCCTCACACCAAGAAGACCATGGGGGATAAGGAAAAGGCATTAGATGTGTATAAGCTTCCTAGGATCATAGGAAGTTGCCTTATACTGAATCAGCACACTGCTCCAAGCAGCTCAGTATTCTCTAGACTGGCAGTGGCTCTTCAAGTTTTCAAGCAGAGTTGTCTCCCAGCCCTACCTGGAGATGCCAGGGATTGAACCTGGGACTTTCTGTAGTCAAAAGCAGATGTTCACCCACTGAGCTGTGGCCCATCTAGACCTGGAAGTATTTTCTTACTGCTGGGAGTTTCCTCTCATCGATTTGGCATGACATACTTTGATTACGACATCTGGGGTACACCTGCTGGCACCCTGGGGGCTCCCAGCATCCATTTCTCCCATTAATTGCCTGCCATTGTTAGTGATGCTTGGCAGAGCTCACATCTGATTTCCAGGGTGGGAAAGTGGGCCCAACAGGAGGGCAGGATGCACAAGCGACCAGCCCTCTGTGAGCCACTTGGTGGGTGTACAGCCATTTTCAAGGGGCGGGGCGGGGGGGAGAAAAACACATAATAATATTTTGCCTCTTGAGTGTGGAGAGATCATAGTGAATGTTGGTTGGCAAAATTTTGAAACATTATCTTGTCGCGTTACAAATACACATGCGTACATGTGCCATTAGGGAACGCGGGTGGCGCTGTGGGTTAAACCACAGAGCCTAGGACTTGCCGTTCAGAAGGTTGGTGGTTCGAATCCCCGCAACGGGGTGAGCTCCCGTTGCTCAGTCCCTGCTCCTGCCAACCTAGCAATTCGCAAGCATGTCAAAGTGCAAGTAGATAAATAGGTACCACTCAGGCGGGAAGTAAACGGCATTTCCGTGCACTGCTCTGCTTTGCCAGAAGCGGCTTAGTCATGCTGGCCACATGACCCGGAAGCTGTCTGCTGACAAACGCCGGCTCCCTCAGCCAGTAAAGCGAGATGAGCGCCGCAACCCCAGAGTCAGCCACGACTGGACCTAATGGTCAGGGGTCCCTTTACCTTTTTTTTATATGTACCATTTCCCACACAATCACTTAAGGTTCATCCACATTTCCATTTGCCCTGCTGCTTTCCCCAGGAAAAGCCACGCTTTAGCGCCAAATCAGAACAAATGGCAACCAGGTTTTCCACAGATAGCTGTTTGTTCCAATTTAGTGCTAAAAAGCATGTTTTCTGGAGGAAAGCAGCAGGGCAAAGGCATAACCACTTGGACCTGTGCCTAGAAAGCAGAAAACCACTCAGATCTGTGCTTTCAAGACACAGGACAAATGGAAGTGAGGACGAGCTCTTATTGTGAAGCAAGGCATCTAAAGCATTATGCTTTACTATAGCTACCAGCCTATTTTTATGTGGTCTTACCTTGAAGACAAAGCTTCATCTACTAATTTCGCTTTGACATTCTAAATTATCCTCTGCTGTAAACAACAATAAATCAAGATAATTGAATCTCAGTTACTATAAATCATTGTATGCCACCCTCTTCATGAATAATCTTCCATCAATTAGGCTCTTTTTCATTTCCTTCATTATAAAGTCATCTGCAGAGGTAACTGCAGCTTCTCTCAAGCTTAACCTTAGGGAGAGAGGGCTTAAAAGTTTTATTTGTGCAGAGAACAGCAACACACACTACCATTACTCCTTTTTACCCTTAATGTTTACTCAAAGCACATCATACAGAACAGGACCACAAGATTAGCTCCTTATCGCTCTCCAGTCTATTTATACATTCATATTTCAGTTCTGAACTCTTACTTCTTTAGGCTCTCCACATGTCTACCCCTGACCAGGAACACCATTAGCAAAATAGCTAAACATCTCAAGCTGTGTGCTGGTTCTTATGGTCATAGTAAGACTGCCAGTGAGTGGTATTGCTTCAAACTCCAGATGGGGGCTTACATGATTGGCTTTCTGTATAAAATGGAAAACTATCATGTCAGGAATAAGAATTTTAGTCTGGACATATCTTTAACATGCTAGTTTTCTACACACAATCATTGTTTTGGTTTTGCATGGAATCCCATTCAATCCCATGAGCCCCAGCCCTACTCCTTACAGCTTAAAGTGGCAGAGGCCCAGAAATAGTTTTACCACCTCATCGAGAGCTGGGACTATGGGCAACTCCAGATGACCTGTTTATTGAGCATTCATCCTGATCTATTTATGAGGAGAAGTTCTGATGATGTTGCATGACGCAAGTGTTATTCCCCACTTTCCTTATCGCAAAAGGTCTGATCTTTTGGAGAAGCAGGTTTCTTGTGCAAAACCTCCCAATTAACTGTAATTACCTGAATTTGCTGGTATGTTATTGAATCCCGCTTGAAAATAATGACAGTCATGAAGAGCTCTATATTACTCCAGTTTGCAATGAAGATGTGCGTATCATATTTTTAATGTTCTCCTAGGTTGAAAACAAAGCCTCCCACTGTAAGGCTCCAAATGTCTTGAATCCAGGAGTGTGGTAGCAGGGCCCGATAATATCTTAACCCCTGTACAGTAGCTTGCACACAGCAAGGACCTAATATGTACTACATGCAGCACCACCAGATTTACAGAAGCCGTCCCGGTCCCACTTTTCCTTAGGTCTAGGACATCCCTATTTTCATTGGAGAAATGTTGGAGGGTATGGAGTTATCTAAGCCCTGAGTCATCTGAAGCAATCCTGTACAGTGGTACCTCGGGTTAAGTACTTAATTCATTCTGGAGGTCCATTCTTAAACTGAAACTGTTCTTAACCCGAAGCACCACTTTAGCTAATGGGGCCTCCCACTGCTGCCACTTCGCCGGAGCACGATTTCTATTCTCATCCTGAAGCAAAGTTCTTAACCCGAGGTACTATTTCTGGGTTAGCGGAGTCTGTAACCTGAAGCATCTGTAACCTGAAGCGTTTGTAACTCGAGGTACCACTGTATAGGGAAGGTCTTTATAATGTTTAATGCTTTATTATGTTTCTATAGGTTGGAAGCCGCCTAGAGTGACTGGGGCAACTAGACCCAAACGTTTCCCACCTTGCATCCTTGGCTATCAAGCCTGCTTGCCTTTTTGCTCCAGGAACACAGGATGACCTTCCATCGAGTCAGACCATTGGTCCATCTAGCTCAGTACTGTCAGCTCTGACCAGCAGCTGCTCTCCAGGTTTTCAAGAAGGGTTCCCTCTCAGCCATAGCTGGAGACAACAGGGATTGTATGTGGGACCTTCTGCATGCCAAACAGATGTTCTGCCACTGAGATACAACTCTTCTGCTGATAGATGGATTCCTAGGAAATCCTAAATTAGTGCCATCCCATTCAGTCATGGCCTGTTCTCAGGGCTGTCAGGAGCAAAGCTACCCGCTGTCCCAGGACAAGAAGCTTTGGGAAGCAACTGAACATCTACAAGTAGAGATGGTACAGAGAGGATTGTTGTGCCAGTCTCTTCTGATCTCAAGGTGGGGCTTTAAGTACTATCAGGCTGATGAAAGGCCTCACTTTCGGCAAAACTGCAGGAATGCTGGGGAATATCAGTTTTCCGAAAGAGGCAGCTGAAACCACTAAATGGCAGTTTCTCATCTTCAAGTCACCTCTGCCCTAGGTTGGCTCCTTGGCAGGAGTATTCTGGAAAATACTCAGGTCCAGGGCCTGTTCATGGCCATAGCTCAGTGGCAGAGTGCCTGTCTTGCATGCAGAAGGTCCCAGGTTCACTTGCTGGCCTCTTCAGGAAGGGTTGCAGAAGGACACCTCTCTGAAACCCAGGAGATCTGCTGATAGTTAGTATCAGGGGTGCCAACTTGAATAAAATATGGGGAGGGCAGGTAAGCACTGCCCTGCATAATCAATCACATGACACAGTGCATGCACACCATTTGAATGGAAATCACAATCAACTTGGGGGAGCACCCCCTCAAATATTTTATGGAGAGGGGCGAAGACCCCTCAGCCTCGATGGTCAGTATAGACAATCTGGAGTTTGTTGTCCACAAACACCCTGGGTGGGGGTGTGCTCGTGTGACACACCCCCCCCGCAGGAGTATACTACCCCAGCACTCGTCACTGTGAGGGGGGGTGAAGAACACCCTCTACGTTCACCCAGCGCCCATCAGCTGACGGGGGGCTCGTGCTGGGCACATGGGGATGTCTGATTTACATGCCCCAATATTCTGCACCCAGGGCCATGGCCTCCCTGACCCGACCTCCCCCAAGCCACTGGATGGGCCAATTGTTTGACTCAGAATTCCCATGTTCCTCTCTTCCCAGGCCACATCCATCTCTGGCCTGATCTACACCTCAATTGCTTTTTGTCTGCCTGGAATGTGTCCTTAAACTGTGATAACATGTCTTGCTAGCCTGAATGAAGGCTGGAGAGGTGTTTTTTATGGGAGGATGTGGAAATCTTCAGACTTCTGCTTAGCTGGAATGTAGCCTACTGTACAAAGGTAAGAGTCACATCAATCACTCCACACACTTTTGCCTCTAGCTCTGCCCACCCCTAGCATGTGGCTTCCCAGAAGGCTGACCACTAGGAACCCCCAGACTGAGAAAGGTTCCCCACCTTTGGACAATAGCTTAACCAGCTAACTGAGGGAGTTCAGAGTGGTGAGCCCTCAGTACAGTGCAGAACTGTGCTATGGGATCTAATCTTCATAGCAGAGATCGTGTTTGGACCCACAGGTGATTATTGGAAGATGACAATTACCACTGTTCCATACAGGTTAGAAGGTAAGTAGGTGTCCTTCACCTTTAGAGGCAAATTCTGTATATTCCAAGATCAGCCTCGGATGGCCCAGGCCTGAGGAGTTCCACATGCCATCCCGCCTGTCCATTATGTCTGGAGGGCAACTTCAACACGAGAGGCGTGAGTCTGGCTGCTGCTGCACACAGAGGGTTAAACACCAGTAGACTGAATGCCAAAGGACTTAATAACGATTTGCTGCTCACCACACTGCTCTCTGGGAGCAATGCAGCACAAGAAAAAACACGTCAAGAAATGCCAGAAAAATGCAGTGCACCAAATACACACACACACACACACACACACACACACACACACGGTGGGAAGACGGGGGACGTAAAAATGTAGAAGCTTCATTAGCAGTTAGCTGTGGGCAACAGTGTTTCCAGCTGATATGGAGATAGACATAAAATTTTGGAATGTGCGATGCATGAGATATTAGTTCCTCCTCACTGACCTTAGAAGTGCCACCTCTTCCCCCCCCCCAACATTGCAACCACCCCCTGACCTTTTCCACTGCCCTGGTAAGTGATACAGGCTCTCTGTATGCTGGTGGCACTTTTGAGGGGAGAAAAGGATTGTTTATTATTATTATTATTATTATTACTACTACTACAATAACGATAATTAGTATAGCATTCCACTCTCCTTCCATTGAAGTCTCCTTCCATTGAAGTCAGAGTGATCTACAAGATTGTGGGTTATCCTTCTTCTTCCTCACAACAGCCCCCTGCAGTAGCAGGCTGAGAAAGAGTGGGTGATATAAAAGTTATTGATCTGGGATCACCTGGTGAGCTTAAAAACATAAGATCTCTGCTGTAGCAGACCAAAGCCCAGTAACCTATTCTCACAGTAACCAAACAGGTGTCCCAATGGGAAGACCGCAAGCAGAATCTGAGTGCAATAGCAGCACTCTCCACACCTGTGATTCCCATAAACTGGTATTCAAAAGTTTTCTGTAGACTGCTGTTTGCTCAGATTCAATGGTAAACAGCAGGTTTTCCTGGGGAAAGTTGCAGGACGAAACAAGAAGCACTCAGACACAGACCCGTGTCAAGCAAAGCGCAAAAGCAAGTCTGGATGAGCCCTTACTTAGAAGCCAGTCCTACTGAACAAAGTGAAACTTTTAGAATCATAGAATTGTAGAGTTGGAAGGGACACCTAGGGTCATCTAGTCTAACCCCCTGCAATGCAGAAATCTCAACTAAAGCATCCATGACAGATGGCCATCCAACCTCTGCTTAAAAACCTCCAATGAAGGAGAGTCTACAACCTTCTGAGGGAGTCCGTTCCACTGTCAAACACAACTTACCATCAGAAAGGTTTTCCTGATGTTTAGTTGGAATCTTATTTCTTGTAACTTGAATCCATTGGTTCGGGTCCTACCCTCCAGAGCAGGAGAAAACAAGCTTGCACCATCTTCCACGTTACAGCACTTTAGATATTTCAAGATAGTTAAAATATCTCCTCTCAATCTCCTGTTTTTGGCATGCCTGACCTTCACCCTGCACATGTTGGCTCCTCATGTATACTCCTCCATGATTTCCCCTTTCTTCCATTTCTTATACATGCCCTTCTTATGTTCAGTTTGTCTTCAATATTCCAGATCAAGAATCTCTTCACAAGTACAAATCCTTTACATATAATGCTACTCCTTCTTCCTTCCTTCCTACCCCTCAATTTCTACATTCCAGCTATGAGCCTCGTCCCACCAGGTTTCAGTAATGCCTATTAGGCTATACTGTATTTATGATCCTGTGTTCAAAGCTACAATTTGTCTTGCTTGTTTCCCATACCCTGTGCATTAGTATACGGACAACTGAAGCCATGAGATTCCCCCCACCTGCTTCTTTCTTGTAGTTTTCTGCCCTTTAGCAGGTTTGGGGGCACCATCTCAGTGCCCTGTACTTCAATGAAGCTATTATCCCCAGTACCAGGTGTTCTCTTGTTGTCTGGAATGTTGTCTCCCGCCCCTTCAGGATTTAGTTTAAAGCTGTCCTGATCAGGTTCGCAAGACTCTTAGCAAACACATTGTTGCCAACTGCTCTGAGATGCTGCCCATATCTTGCCAAAAATCCTTCCTCAAGGAAGTGCAGACCATGGTCCAAGAAGCCAAACTCTTCCTGACAACACCACCTGTGCAGATAGTGGTTTACATCCAGTATTTTCCCCTGTCTTCCAGGGCCACAACCTTCAACAGGAAGGTGTGATGAAAAAAACACCTGTGCCCCAATGCCCTTCAGCTACTTGTCCAGAGTCTCATAGTCCCTTGTATATGTCAAATGTGTATGGCAATATCGTTTGTACTCGCATGAATCAAAAGGAAGGGTTTGTGGCCAGTGGACTTTATAAGACTTGGCAACTTCTCTGTCACATTGTGAATCTTTGCACCTCCCAGGACACCGCATTATTTCCGCACAGTACCACCTCTATTCCCCTCAGTAGGGAGTCATCTACCAACACCACATGTCTCTGCTTCCTCTGTAGAATAGCAGGAATGCTTGTATGGGGTGTGTGTGTAATTTGTATATGATGATAAATGTTTCGGAATATTTTTGGATATTTAATAAAATTTAAAATGAAAAAAAAAGTGTGTACTTAAATCCCTGATACTGAAATAAATTAGAAGTAAAAGCATTTTAGATGGTTTGTGTCCATTACTTGGACCAGTCTGTTAGGAGTATGTTGGATAGGCACAGATATTTGGTTAACAAGAATTCACAATAGGCATCAACTCATGACTATCAAGTTCTTTCCAATCCTCCAGAGAACCCCAGCCAAAATTGCCACTTTCCAACAAATTCCCATTTCATTTCTTCTTCCAAGCCTGGAGCTACACAAGCATCTCTGTTAAAACTCCCAATCTCATCTTGAAATGAAAAATGAAACAGCGTTAGGGGTTTGGTTGTCAGCCAGAGTGTTGACAGAGCTCTGACATGGTTTCAATGGTTCTAAAGGGTGCAACATTGCCAAACATCATCAGAATTGTTTTTCTTGATAATTGTTTTTCCCCAAATTATTTTTACAGTCTAATTAATTTCCACGTACCTTTTGTAATACAGTCAGCGTAAAAAAAACCAAGCCATTTTAATACATACTGAACAGACAAACAAAAACAAACAAACAAACTACAGTATCTACGGACTATGTATAGTCTGGTGTATGGATCTTTAACGAGCAAAACCATAATGGGGGGCAGAGAGGAGAGACAGTTAAAATTTTATCAAGCCAGTTCATATCCACTCTGGCTGAAATACAGGAATGCCAAACGATGAGCTTGGTTCCATGCAGATAAATACGAGCAACATGTATATGTCTTTGTATATAGAAAATTAAATGTAAACATTCACCCATTTTTAATATTGTGCACCATAAACTACCCAATACAAACAGTCTTTTAAATTTTCTGAAGTAGTTTAATATAATAGACTAGATGGCAGGACTAGGGGCTGAGAGAGGGGAGGGGGGTTGGGGTCCCCAACTATAACCACTGAGATGCAGGTCAAAAAGCCTATGTTATCTCAACTTAATACATGAGACCCAACTGTTACGTGAAAGTGAGTCACCGAGGGACAAATACAAGAGGCACTGAGATTATGAAAGGCTTCCAGGCTGCTAAGGCTTCTGGGAAACAACCTCAACAAAACAAAACAAAAAAACCTTACAAGTTTTTAATGAACTTGTGCAACCCCCCCCCCCCCAACTCTGCCTCCTGAGGAATGTGGCTGTTGCTTTGTCCATGTTTTGTAATTTGTGTGTGTGGCACAATTAAGAACTGATATGCTTAATATGAATGGAAATACTTGCACTGAATAGAGACAGCAACTCCCGAAACACTGGGGGGGGGGGGAGTCCACTTCCCCCTAGACACCCCCCCCCCACCTCCCCGGCTTCCAGCTACCAACTCCGCCTGGGAGGGAAAGTTGTGTATCAATCTAGGCCTATAATGGTGTAATTTAGTAGGTAGGCCTGGACTCTGGTGGTGATATTGTACTGGAATGAATGAAACTGTGGGCTTCAGGCTGCGCCATACTGCTAGGCCCTGCCTGGTTCTATTCAGCCCAGGCCTAATCTGATTCATTTCTTCTCTACACCAAAGCTCCCTTCTCAGTAGTAGGTTTTTCTCTGGGTTTTGTTACTGTTTCTTAAAGAGCTCAGCTGGCTGCTGGGGCTGAAAAGAATCAAATTATTAAAGATTTTGTGGAAAATCCAGTGAGAATAGGGCCATGTAATAATGATAGCATTGTGCCACCGTGGACCATTCCCAGCTTCCACTGGGGAGAAATTGTCAAGTCTGCCTTTGTTTTCTTAACCCTTTCAATAGAAACAAAATAATATTTAGCTTAGCACAAAATACCTTCTTTTTTATTTCTAATCCTTTAAGGGTTTTTTTTCCCACCCCTTATCCCCTCCAACCCTCCCTCCCTCTCTTATTTTTTGGCTTCTCTCCCAAAATAGATTTATATATTCTATACATTCTGCTTTCCCGAGCAATTGGCTGGAGGGCTATCTGTTATCAGGAAAGCACTACTTGTTAATTAGTATGTAAAATGAATAATTAAACCAGCAACCAGACAATACAGAGGTATCTAGATAGGAGGGGGGGGCGCGCATCAAAAACAAAAGAGAGAGACTTTTACAGCCACCATCCAACACAGAGTTAAATATTTATATTTGGGTATTATTTTCCATCAGACATTCCTATGCATTGTTTAATTTAACCGTTATGGGTAAAGTTCACCTCTGCAAGCCTCTGAGCATTGGTGAACATGTGTGGGCTTCATGTGGGCGGAGTGGGATGCACATGCAAGAACGATCTCTGAAACGCACACACTTCAGAGGTTGGAAGTAGGGCCAGAGAATTGTAAGGGTGGGGCACGTATGCCTTTGCTCCCTTCCCCACTTTAAGCCTACACATGTATATCGAAATGCCTGAACAGGGTTAGTTACAAGGTGGTTTCATGTGATTGTTGGGAGCCCCATGAAGGCCCATAGCTCAGTAGCAGAGCATCCGCTTTGCATTCAGAAGGTTGCAGATTCAATCCAAAGCAACTTCAGGTAGGGCTGGGAGAGAACCCTGGAGAGATGCAACCAGTCAGTTTAGAGACAATACTGATCTAGATGCACCAATTGTCTGGCTCCAAATAAGGCAGGTTCCTATGCTCCTATGACTGTGAGCACTTCACAAGTGCTGACACTGTTATGTAAGAAGGATGCACATTTAGTTAATGTTACACTCTGGAGCTAATGGTATAAAGGACTCCCACTTTAGATGATAATGTGTAGCACATCATTTGATTCAAAATGTGTCAAAGCTGCATTTGGAGGGGCCCCCTGCTCATGATGCTGAGTGGGATCATAGACTTCTGCCCCAGATGGCTTCCAGTACCATTGATTCCTTGGGCTAGCATTGTATTGCTAAACATGAGGCTGGATTCTCATTTGGTGCAACCATCTTGGCAAGATGTGTGAAGACGCCAAGCGAAGGAGGATGAGCTGCTTACAGAGAAGGTTTTGAAATCAAGGCCACACTCCTTTCTTAAAGATGCACATTTACCAGTTAGAAGAACCATAGCTTAGTGGTAGTGCTTTGTGTGCAGAATGTCACCGGTTCAATACCTGGCATCTCCAGGCAGGGCTGGGAATGTCCCCAGGAGATCCGCTGCCTGTCAGTGTAGACAGTATTGAGACAGATGGACCCTTCCGAGGGGCGGCGCGAACGGCAATGGCGGTCCTCTTCTGAAAGGGAGAGGAGGCTCCGCAGAAAACGGGTCGTCCGCTACGGCGAAGCGGAGACCCACTCTGGAAAACCCCAGGCAGCAAGAGCTTGGGGTCCTGAGGCTCGGTGGGCGCCTTAAGTGACCCTCCAAACGCAGAAGGAACCTCGTAAGGGGCTCCGGAGCGTGGAGGGGGGTTGCGGCGCTGAGAGCTGCTTCACAGTCTGCGGAGTGAAGCCGCGCTGCTGCTGCCGGTGAGCGCTGATCCTTTTTCCTGCTAAAACACGGATTCGGACGAAAAGCAACTTACTCGTGAGTAAAGACTGAATCACTTGAAATCAGAGACTTTATATAAAAAACCTTAAATTGGCTTGAACTTGGCTGAAAGCGGAGAGACGTGGAAACAGGAAGTCCGTCTTCCGCAGCCATTGAACTTGAAAAAAGCAACTAAGTTGGAGGAGTGGAGGCTGAAAGGAAGAGATTTTAAACTTTACAGATCTAAGCATCTACTGAACCTGCAATTTAAAGTAAAGACTTTAAGCTAAAGACTTGGAATTTTAACTTGCACTTGACTTTACCCCTTTTATTGGATTACAAATTAGAAGGTGAAACCCAGAGTCAGGAGCTGCCTGAGCATTGAGAAATTGAGCTGTCAGTATTGCAGATTTGGATACTGTATATTGGAACTTGCAACAATCTGAGGGTATTGAGACTTTTTAAATTTGAAACATTCTTTTTGGAGACAAATAAGCACTGTCTGTAACAAAGTGACTACTTATAAACTCTGCTAAATATTTATATTTGAAGGTTCTTGGACATTAAATTAGACTCTGAAAGACATTTTAAGCTCCTCTAGAGGACTGGATGAAAACAGTGACTTTACATTTACATTTACTTTCGATTCCCTTGTTGTTTGCTTGCTCTGGGCCTTTCTATTCCCATGGGAAAAACTCAGTGTGACCTTGACTGATAGACAACGTTGGAATGAGTGGCACAAGGAAAAGAGGGAGAGTTAGACAAACAACTTTAACAACTCTAACCTCAGCCTCGCAGACACGTAGATCATCTGTACCTACTTTGCCCTCAGAAGTAGAACTTGAAGAAGTTGCCTTGCCACAGGCAAAAGAGGGAGAGGGTGAAGCAGAGCAGTTACAATTGGAAGATATGGCCTCAGGAGTATCTGTTTCTGTTCTAGACAAAATCTTTGAAAAATTGGAAGCTTTGGACAAGAAAGTAGATGCGCAATCAGCAAAGATTGACAAAAATACAGAATGTCTAAATAAATTAACCATACAAGTTGTACAGAATACACAAGCAATTGGACAGTTAACGGAGGCCTCAGCAGAAAATCGGAAACTGGCTGAGGATACTAGACAAAAATTGGAAAATTTAGAGCAAGAGGTAAGGCCACTCACCAAACAAGTTGGGGAACATCAGACTTATCTTTCCATGATAGAACTGCGAAATCGTGAGAATAATTTGAGGATTAGATCATTACAAGAGGCAGAAGAAGGAAATTTAACTGAGTTTTTGACCAAAGAAGTTTCCAAGTTCTGGAATTTGGAAGAAAAGGATTTTAAAATTGTGTCGGCTTTCAGACTTGGAAGATTCACAAAGAAGGAGAGGCCCAGAGACTGTTTGATTACATTGAGATCAAAGGAGGAAAGGGATAAGATTTTGGGCCTACATTACGGAAAGTCACTGGAGGTTTTGGACAGAAGAATTGAAATTTATAAAGATATTCCAAGACAACTGCTGGATCTTAGAGCCGCCTATTCTGAACTTGCTAAACTACTAAGGAGCAACGCAATTCCATTTAGGTGGGAATTTCCACAAGGAATATCTTTTACCTTTAAAGGGAGAAAGGTCAAAGTTAGAACATTGGAAGAGAGAGACAAATTTTTGGCTACATACGGAGAGGACCTTCAAAAGGGAATTGAATTACCTTCTGGGCCTGGGGCAAAGCCAGTATCAACACCAGCACCTGGGGAACCTGAAGATCCAGAGAAGACACCACCCCTGGAGAAATAACCAGATAGATCCAGGATGTCTCTGCAATTGCTGAGTTGGAACATTAATGGTTGTAACATTCCGGAAAAAGGAAGAAAATATTTCATATATTAAAAAAGAACAATTGGACATCATCTGTTTACAAGAAACACATGTGACGAGGCTCCACAGAAAAGTGTTAATAAATAAAAGATTGGGCCAGGAATTTGTTTCGTCGGACAAAGTTAAGAAGAGAGGCGTGGTGGGAGATGCGACAGAGAGCCTGTCACCTAAATTCTTATTTAAAGATGAACATGGAAGAATTTTGGCCATTGAGATACAATATCAAGGAGAGAAACTGTTGATATTAGGAATCTATGCACCTAACGAAGGGAAATCGGAATTTTACAAGAAGCTGCAGGGGACAATGCTGGAATATCTGGATTACAACAACATCATAATGATGGGAGACATGAACGGGTCGTGTCAACTAACATGGACAAGTCACAAAGTCAAAATGTTACAAAAGACGGCAGACTACCTAAAACTTTTTTGAAATGACTGACAATATGGATTTGATTGACATTTGGAGGACAAAGAACCCACTAGGTAGAGAAGGAACATTCTTTTCTGAAGCCCAACTGACCTGGACAAGAATCGACCAAATATGGATTTCCAGAGGCCTGGCACCTAAGGTCAGAAAAGTGGAAATCTGCCCAAAGACCTGCTCTGACCATAATGCAGTAAAGATGGATATGACACTACTACCAACTGGATCCTTTAGATGGAAGATGAATGACAATTTGTTTAGAGATCAGGAAATTACCAAGAAGGCCCAAAAAGTTTTGAAGGACTATTTTGAGATAAATATGAACAATTCGGTGGAAAAAGAATTGTCTGGGACGCAAGCAAAGCTGTAATGAGGGGATTCTTGATACAACAGAATGTAGTAAAGAAAAGAACACAAAATGAGAAAAAAGATAAAATCTTGGACAAATTAAAAGAATTAGAGAAGAAATTAAGAGCGAATCCAAAGTCACAGCCAACTCTGAGAGAAATTAAACTCTATCAAACACAATATTCTAAATTGATAAATCAGGAAATTGAATGGAAGGTTAAATTAATGAAACAAAAACGTTTGAGTCGGCGAATAAATGTGGAAAACTGCTAGCTTGGCAGTTGAAGAGAAGACAAAGATTAAACACGGTTACAAATTTAGAGGTTGATGGAAAAACATTCAGAATCCAGTGGATATTAGAAAGTGTTTCCAGAGATATTTTAAAAATTATACACCCAAGGGCCGCAAGACGAAGTTGAGATTAAACAATTTTTGCTAAAAATGGACTATCTAAATTGTCACAAGAAAATAGGACAATCCTGAACTCTAAAATAACACGACAGGAGATTGAACAAGCTATTCAGAACATGCAACTTGGCAAATCTCCAGGGCCAGATGGGCTGACCTCCAAGTATTATAAGATATTAAAAGACTATTTGATACAACCCTTGATGGAGGTCAGCAATGAAATTATCGAGGGAAGAGGGCACCGGATTCGTGGAAGGAAGCGTTCATCACATTAATACCAAAGTCAGAAGCTGAAAAGACACAACTGAAGAACTACCGTCCCATCTCTCTTTTAAATGTGGATTACAAAATATTTGCAGACATTTTGGCAAGTAGATTTAAAAAGTATTAAATGAAGTAATTCATAAGGACCAGGCCGGTTTTCTCCCAGGTAGACATCTGTTTGCTAACACAAGGAACATTATTGACATCTTGGAACTTCTGCAAACAGATATAAATACAAAAGCAGTTTTAATTTTTATAGATGCGGAGAAGGCCTTTGACAATATTTCCTGGAAATTTATGATGGGAAATTTAAAAGAGATGGGAGTGGGACGGGGTTTTGAGAATGGGATTGAGGCGATATATTCAGAACAGAAAGCTAAACTGATAGTTAATAATGTGGTTACAGAAGAGTTTAAAATTGAAAAAGGGACACGACAAGGTTGCCCTATTTCCCTTTGTTATTTATTTCGGTTCTGGAAGTGCTACTGAACATGATTAGAGGGGATCGGTTGGTGGAAGGAATTCAGGTTGGTCAGAAACAATATAAACTAAAAGCTTTTGCAGATGACCTGGTTTTGACCTTGCAGAAGCCAGAGCCCAGTACGAAAAGAGTATTACAATTGATTAATGATTTTGGTCGGGTGGCGGGATTTAAATTAAATAAACAGAAAACTAAGGTTTTGGGGAAAAATTTGACTGATACAGAGTCAGAACGGTTTCAGAATGAGACGGAACTTAATGTGGTTAAAAAGTAAAATACCTAGGGGTAAACATAACAGCAAAAATCTAAGTCTATTTAAGGATAACTATGAAAAATGTTGGACAGAAATTAAGAGAGACTTAGACAGTTGGTCAAAATTGAAACTTTCTTTGTTAGGCCGAATTGCTGCTATTAAGATGAATGTATTGCCAAGGATGTTGTTTTTATTTCAAACACTTCAGGTTTTGGACAAAACGGAGTGCTTTCAGAAGTGGCAGAGAGATATTTCGAAGTTTGTCTGGCAGGGCAAAAAGCCCAGAATCAAGTTTAAGATATTAACTGATGTAAAACAAAGAGGGGCTTTGCCCTGCCGGACTTAAAGTTGTATTATGAAGCCGCAGCGTTCTGCTGGCTAAAAGACTGGCTACTTCTTGAAGACACTGATGTGTTGGACTTGGAAGGGTTTAATAATGTTTTTGGATGGCATGCATATTTATGGTATGACAAAGTTAAAGCAAATAAGGCCTTCAAGAACCATATTGTCAGAAAATCATTGTATAATGTCTGGACAAAATATAAAGACTTGCTGGAAAATAAAACACCAAGGTGGCTTTCACCTTTGGAAGCTAAGGCCTGAAAAAGACCCAATATGGAGGCTAAATGGCCAAAATATTGGGAAATACTAGAAAAGATGGAGACAATTGGAAATTGCAGAGTTTGGAGAAAATGAAAGACAAAGTGCGAGATTGGTTACATTACGCTCAGATTAAAGAAGTTTTTAAAAATGATAAGAAACTAGGGTTCCAGGTGGAGAAATCGAAATTAGAAACAGAATTGTTAGAACCAAAGACTAAGGTACTTTCAAGGATGTATAACTTGCTGTTGGAATGGAATACACAAGATGAAATGGTTAAATCGGCTATGATAAGGTGGGCACAGGACATTGGGTATAATATTATGTTTGAGGACTGGGAAAAGTTGTGGAGTAATGGATTGAAATTTACTGCATGTAACGCTCTGAAAGAAAATGTAATGAAAATGATTTATAGATGGTATATGACCCCAGTTAAACTTGCAAAAATTTACCACCTGTCTGATAATAAGTGTTGGAAATGTAAAGAGTGTGAGGGAACGTTCTTCCACCTCTGGTGGACCTGCCCTAAAGTGAAGGCGTTCTGGGAAATGATTTATAATGAATTGAAAAAGGTATTTAAATATACCTTTACCAAGAAACCAGAGGCTTTCCTTCTGGGTATTGTCAGCCAAGGGGTGGCAAAGAAGGACCAGACATTTTTTATGTATGCAACAACAGCAGCAAGGATACTTCTTGCAAAACATTGGAAAACTCAAGATTTACCCACACTGGAAGAATGGCAGATGCAACTGATAGACTACATGGAACTGGCTGAAATGACCGGCAGAATCCGTGACCTGGGAGAAGAGAGAATCGAGGAGGATTGGAAGAAATTTAAGAACTATCTACAAAAATATTGTGATTTGAGTGAATGCTAAATAAGATGCTAGACTAAATAACTGAGCACCACTTAACTTAGAAGTTTTTAAGAAAATAAGTAAGACTGTGAAAGTTTAACTCTTTATGAGAACTATAAGATTATGAAACATTGAAGAGATATAAGAATTTAAATAAGATGATAAATTGCTGACAAAATGTTATAACGATGAAAGTGGGAGCGGGGGATGTGAGGAAGTCCAAAGAAAATGTGAAACTATGTTAAGACAAATGTTATATTGTTTATTATGTTTATTTTTATTGTAAAACCCAATAAATTGCTTTAAAAAAAAAA